ACTGTGGCTACTTGAGACGCGATTTCCTCATTCAACTAATTTCAATTGCGGTTTCATTAGCCGCGGTCTGCCAAGAGTCTTGGTGTTAATTTTGTTGGTGCTGAAACAATGGCCGTGGCAGTGCGTGCCTTGCCCGCCAAATTTTGTTGCCGCAATTGCGGCCATTGATTTTTTCCACATTCGGCCCATAAGCAACATTAAGCCAACAACGTACCAGCATGGTAGGACACATCAGTTGGGTGCCCATGATACCGCCCCGGCCCACAACTATGAGCAACTCCGTCCGGCTTCAGCTCCAGTTCATGCTCATTTCAGCAAATGCAATTAACAAAACACGCTCATAGCATAAAGTCATTAGTTATTCCATTTCATGAATATCCTCTCATTCCGAATGTGCTATAAGCATATGGATGCGGGTAGCCTACTAAGACTTGGGCTAGCGCAGGCACAGGCAGAGGCATAGACATAGGCACAGGCACAGGCATAGAGAGCCCAAGGACTTCGGCAATTATGTACAATATTATTTGGTGGATTTTCGGGCAGGAGCAGGCGGCTACTTGCAAAACTAGTGGATGCTAACGGCATAGACGGCGCGTCGCTGCCATCGTGCCAGTTATACACAATACCCCCACTGCCACCACTCCCCATCAGCCCATCACACCCTTTTCAGGCAGCCATGCCGCCTTTTGCCATCAGGCCGCCACTAAATTGGCATTCGATGTTGCTGGCCAGCCAGAAATAATGTACATAGCTGTTGGTGTACGGCGCCACATTGTTTGCTTTTACCTCAAGCAAAGTTTCCACATATTTTGACCAAACAGCCGCTCCCCCTGCTCTGACTGTGCCGTGCGCCCGACGCGTCGGTCGGATAAAGTTTTGGCGTGAGTTCTTACATGCAAAATGGTTTTCAATACTTAAAGATTTATGAGTGCATGAATCTTGCATATACATATGTACATATATGTGTGTGCGTGTGGCGACATGAAATACTGTTTCACGCCAGCCAGTCAGCCAGTTCGCCAGTTCGCCAGCTAGTCTGCCTACAACGTTCCACCAGAACCCCCTTACAAATACCTATAAAAACGTTACGCACAGACAGGTTTGGTTTGGTTTGGTTCTGTTCGGTTCGGTTGGTCTCACTTCAACTCTGTAACGGCACGGCACATGTACGGCTTTACGCCGTACTTTGCATAAGCCAAAAAGCTTCGGCCGGCAGCCCAGAACCAAAGCACACCTCTGAAATTAGTCGGCGTAATGCACTCTGTCCCGCAGATTGAGGGACACTACAATGAAATAGAAGAGCAACCAGTCGGGTACATTCTCAGGCACGGCTTTGCTGGCAGCACCTCCCCCATTTTCACCTCCTCACCACTAGCCCTCCCCCTATAACCCATACTCGCAATCAACCAGCCACACAAGCGTCAAAAGTTTTGCCTAGCGGAAAAAGTATCAGCTGCAAGATAACAAAAAAAACCTCACATGAATCAAGAAAAGTCTAAAAGTTCGTCGATGATTTAATTAGAATTCTTTAAGGTTTCCAACTCCCACGTGGCATCCAGCCACGTTTAATTATGAATATTCAATGGTGAGATGGGCAGCCCATAGAAATGCCAACGTGTCGAATGATCAGCCGCTGTCAGGGCTTCTTGGAACTTTTGCGGCAAAATAACAAGAAAATTAACGCCTACTTGAAGAAGCAGAAGCGGAAACACACTAAAGCTGTCAAAAAACTCTAGTCATTCGGCTAATCATGGCAGAGGCACAGTCCAAGAAGAAATTAGTGTAGCAGCTTAAAATGTATACAGAGGAACACATCAAAGAGTAATTAATTAGCGGTGTCTATTTACGGCGCCTGCCCTTGAATCGACTTTTACAAGAACATCTTAAGATATTTTAGCATTATTAACATTGATATTATTATCTTTGATATATAATTAATTAATTAATTAATTCGTTACGATGCATTACAAAGAGACGGTCTAAGCCGACCAAATCGGAATCAAAAGAATATCATCTGCTACATATACTATGTTCTCCAATATCTTCTATAACATAAAATTGTCATTCCTTGGCCAAGAGCAGCAAATCTAGTTTAGATATCGAGTACAACTATCACCTTGCATTCATCTCATTTGGCTCCAACATAAGCCAAATAGTACTTCATAAACAAAAGTCTTTTTATATCATTTTGTTTTTGGGGCAGCTACAAACCACCAGAATACTGGTCCGTCTTGACATATTATCTGAGTGCAATAAAAAATATCGGATTTAAACAGTGGGCGGAATACCAATTGAAAGATGAAGCGAAGGAAAAATTGATAGGTTTCACAATCTTCAAAATAGTTGTCATCTGCGCACTCAAACGAGAGAAAGTGCTAAAAATATTGCTCATACGCAACAGTATCTGCTGTCGAATTTTGGCACTCATGTAGCGTAATCCTTCCAATGTCACGCCTGAGCTACTGCTCTAAAAAAACTCAGAAAATTAAACTATTGAACCTATCGAGTTTCTCATCACGAAATTCCCACCCAACTTTGTAAGTATAATGAGAACACCAACTCTGCTTCACAAATTCAATCCACAAGGATTAAACGCCTCGCACGTGACATTTTTACGTTCTGCGGCTTGGGTGTTGGATCAAAGTAGCTCGAGGCATCAGCCAGCATTTGCATGCTTAGTAACTTATTTATTACAACAAACGGCGGGCAGGAAATGTTTGACTGTAAGTTCTTGGAATTGGTCACGATGGTTCAGCAAAAACGAAATTACAGAAATAGCAATTATAAGACGATAATTGGCATAGCAGGCCGCGCTCCTTCTCCCGTCTAATTAAACTCCAATCATTCATTGAACGCCGCAGGCGCTGCTAACGATGCGACGGCCGCGCAATTGGATACTTGAGAATAAATAAATTGGCTGTTTCAAATTTATAAGCCACGAACGCAATAAGAGGATATGGCGAAAAGTCGCGCCAAGATTAATGTTTATTGATTTTCAAGCCAATGATAATTTTCACCTCGTCCAAATGCTGGATGCCGCGCCGTGCCGGGCCGGGCCGTGCCCCCCCAATAAATACAATGAAGCGATTTTTCTGGCTTACTTTTCTATTTCTTTGTAAAGCCATTCTAAGGCGGCGATAAGCTCCTTTTAAAAATGTGTCTAGGCATTTGGTTTTCGTATTTTTGGTTCAGTTCAGTACGATTCGGTTTGGCTTGATTCGGATTTTTGGCCGGCATGTTGCAAAACATCCAAAGTTTTGGCGCTTAATGACGTTGGGTTGTTCTGTTGCTACATTACTTGGATTTGCTTATCAAAGATCAAAGCGTTTTGCGGTGTGGCCACTTCAACGCCTAACGGGGGATGAATGGCGTTTTCAGAGTTATTGCCAAAGTGCTACAAAATAAATAAATATCGGGCACTGTCAACAGCAACCAAAACCAAAAGCAACAACAACAACAACAGAGTTAATGTCAACAGCTAACAGCAGCTAAGTGCGTATTGTTTTTCTTTCATTTGGAGAAATTAACTGGAAGTGAAACCGAAATTGAAATCGCGCGAAATTGGCAACAAGAACCAAAGCCAACCTAGTTTCAACGAGCGGACGACGTCGGCGTCGCTGCCAGCGCAACAGACGAATGTTGGGCACAAGCAAATGGCAAACAACATGAAACACATTGATGTGGGCTGATGGTTTGGATGGGACTGATGGGTTGCTGGGCTGACGAGCTGACAAACTGTTTGGGGTTAAAGCAGTGCGCTGTGGCGGATTATTGAATTTTCCAACATTTTGACTGACACTTGCACTTGGCGCTCTAATGCGCTCCTCTCACCTTCTGCGTTGATTTCGCTGCCGATGATGCTGTGTTGTCCAAAGTCCAAAAGCGTTTTATATAATTTACATACTATTTATGAGTCGGGATTTGCCAAAGATGTGAGTATGTTTTTCGAACGGAACCCGTCAACGCCGAACATGCGTGCAATTCTAATGTATGTATAATTTGATATATTTACGTATGTATGGGACACGACAACAGCCGCTGCCACTGCCGCCGCCGCTGTTGCCGCAGCAGCCACGACGATGCTGCTACTTTGATGTGTACCCGTTTTTTCGCAGGCGAGACCTATTTTTTTTACGAGTACCGTTGACTTTTAACCGAAAAAACTAAATTACAGTGCAACGCGTGTCTCTGTCGTCTGTCGTTTTTGGATAAAGTAATCGCGTTTGTCTCACGCATACATTCTCACACACGAGCCAACAACAATAAAGCACAGCACTCGGTGCAGGACATTGCACATTTCAACAATTGTTACTTTTTTCTTTGGGTGCAAACAATTGTGTATTTTGTGTGATTTAATTAAATCGCAGTTCACAGTACAACGGCAGCAGCCTCCTTTTTCACTCGCGGCGCAACGAACAAGTACTGAAGAAAATAGCAAGGAGATGCTTAAACGAAGCTGCAAATTTTCGGCGAAATCACGTACAGCAGCCAATTGGCCGCAATCAGTGACAGCGACTGGTTATGCGCTCTCGTTGATGCGCAATGGCAGTGCTACCAATCGCGGCGAATTCAGTTACGTGGGTGGACGTTTCTGAATGGTGTGCGCGCGTGTGTATGTGTGTCTGCAGGAACGCTCGACGGAATGCAATAAAAAACGAAGCGTTAGAACAAAATGAAAATGTAGCATAATTTATGGCTGCATCTTCCTTTAAAATAATTACACGCATATAAGCAAATTGTTACATTTTAAATATTTATGTCAACTTACCTGCTCTCACGAACTGCTTGGCAAATATTTCATTACTCTTTTGTATTTAATGTGTTTTATAATTTTTGATGGGTCAACAATAACGGCGGATCGAGCGCTGTAATATCGGGTTGTTCCTGAAATGATGTTTCTTGTTTGCAGGGTCTTTTTTGATTTAATTGATATACTTATAAATACCACAATAAAAAATGACATTGTTAAATGTAAAATTCACCATTTCTTTTTTTTTAATTTTACGCTTTATTAAAATGCAAATTGAACAATATCGAGATATAACTATATTTTCAGCCTATTACAATTAAGGTTAATTAAACATCGTTGATTCCTTCAATCACATGGAAATCACAAACTCTGGGCCTTTGTTTCAAGTTAATTGCAATATCTCACAATTAAATACTACGCGTTCAATAAAACTTGTAACCGTTTTTGCGAATATAAATCGGGATTGTTAGCAATCTTCTATGTAAATGTAAATGGCTGCGAAGTAGAGAACTACGTCGTTGTGCATGGATAATACAATTGTCATATTCTCAAGCATCTTGTGGGAACTATTTAATAATTTGTCATGCAATTTGGAAACCGAAATTTAAAAGAGCTTCTGCTACCCGATATTCATTTGAGTAACTCCGACGATGCCAGCAGCTGCGATTATAACTCTACGTTATTTAAATTGGAGCCCGACGATGTTGGCAGATCGACATCATTGGGTGGTACAAAGGTGCCCCTTGTCTGAACACTTTCGTGTTTGGCGGACAGCTTTAGCATCTCAGACTTTAGCTTTTCGAGAATGGCGTAATTTGGCTGATTCACAGCTGCCTTGCTTTGCAGGACCGTAATCTCCTGCTCTTCCAGTTTCTTCTCCTTGAAAGTCTTGATCGAATTGTTGCCATACAGGCGCAGAAGTGAGCCCCAAGTTTGAATATGTGGATGCAGTATCTGCGAAAACCGGCGCCTATCAGTATTATTCAATGATAAAATAAAGCCCAACTTACCTGTAGAATGGCCTGCGATGCCAGCTGCTTACCCTCACGCTTATTCTTGCACACCACTTTGGCCGTATGTCGACCCACTGTCATTGTGAACTCATTTTTTTTATTTGCCGTGCGATTTATCTCCTGCGTGATCTGCACATCGCTACCATAGTTGCGCTGCAAGCATGTCAACAAAATGGCGTTTGGTGATGGCTCGGTTGTCTTGTTGCAGAATTCAGTAACCCGCGGATCCTCAATGCGTATGTCATCAAAAACCTGCCAATAAGCGATTGTAATTAGATAAGTAAATTAGAAGAAAAGTTATTCTCAACAATGTAAATTTTGTGAAAATAGCCGAGAAATTGAATTAATTTTTTTTTTAAGAATATTTGCAGAGACATAGAGTCTAAAAAAGACTAGAGATATACTTGGAAATGTTCAAAAATAATAACAGGTTTTCGTAAATAATTGTGCTTACCGATAGATCGCTCTGTGTCTTTTTTGTGTTACTGGTCTTTTGGTCCTTGTTGTTGCCAGTGATCTTATCTTTTACATCAGGTATCAATATTTCAAGAGTCTCACGCGCTGCCTCCGACTTAGCCTGTTTCTTACTGGTTCCATAGCCAGTGCCGTACTTGAGGTCATTAACCGTTACAGTAGCAGAGTAAGGTGTGGCTGCATTCTGAAGTTCCTTGAACTCATACGTTGGCTGAGTCTTCAATGCATGCTGTACGTATTCATGCAGAATGCAAACGAAACTTTTTCCATTTGGATTCATAATCCATTCCTTACGGGCACGTGGATTGCTGACGCCCTCACCTCCAGCTGCCAGTATAGGAAACTTTATGAGCTTGGTGCCATCGGGCAGTGTAGGACGTTGTATGTTTTTGATATGCTTGCGGTTTTTGGTGAACTTGCGCCGTGCATTCCAGCTTCGAAAGCGCAGCACGCGAATCACCTTGAACTTAAACAGCTTCTGGCAGTATGTGTTCAGCTGTTCTGGTGTTACAGACTCCTTCTGTGTGTTCTCATTGACAGTCACAATTTTGGCTTCGGGCATTAGTTTCTTTATCTCTGCTTTGCGTTCCGCTGGGCCTTCTTTCTCTGCTTCTTTGTCGTTATCTTTCTCTTTGTCTGCCACGTCCATGGGCTCGCTAGAATTCGTTGTATGTGCAACGGGACAGACGAGCTGATTTTGGAGCTGCTCATTTGGCTGATTTGTCGGGTTGACCTCAACTGGCTGGTTTTCAACCTCAGCTTCCTCATCCAAAGCGCGGCGGTAATTTAGGCAAGGTATGGCGCCCAAAGGCACGGCGTGCTTCCGGGCACTACCAGTACCCAGAAAGTAGGGGCGGGAGGCGCAACAAACTCGCGTTTTCCGATGCAAAAAGAGTGGCATGCCGCTGTTATGTGTGACCTGAACCCAGCCTTCGGGAAGCACTTCAAAGTGGTTATGGCGTTTTTCTGTAAAATGGAGAACCATTTACTACTACTCTGTTTGGGCACCAAAATGTAACCTGGTACCTTCCAAAACGGTCTTGTAACGCTCCTCATACTTTGGTCTCTTTGATTCACGCAATTCATCGGGCAGTTTCTCATCCAGCAGATTCTCAATTTCCTCATCATCGAATTCGGATGAATCGTAATCATCTTGGTCGCCACCGACGGCCTCCTCGTCATCAGCGCAAGTTTCGCCATTTTGTTTCTCGCTGTTTTCATCTGCCATGCAAAGATATACAAAGACGTTTTAGATAAATCAGTTCGCTTATGTTAGCACACAATTCCACCTGCTTTTTGTTTTAAATTCTCACTTAGCTCTAGCCTTAGGATTGGAATCATGCGCATATTGAAAGCCACTTAGGGTTTTTTTCACTCTTTGATTTAAAATAGACGTGCACCAAGTGCAATGTGCACAATTTGAAGTCACCGCAGCATATGTGTGCATTACACATCAAAAGAATCTCTTGTTTAATTTTGTACTATACTACGGTTTTTATTTTATCAGCCTCCAAAGTGTGTTATTTGCACAACGATAAGCTGCCCCAAGATCCAGAGATAAGGGCGTAGAAACTGACGTATTATTTAAACTAGAGAAAATGTGTACGATGCTACCGCTCACCTGACTCATCCTCCTCACTTCCGGAGCCGATCTCATCGAGCACCTGGAACTGACGAAGCTGCTGATCGATGGGCTCGCATTGCTCCTCCACGTCTCTTGTGTGACGCATTTCCTCGATAGCACTTAGCGAGAATCCTGCCACTTTAAGCTCGCGTTCATCGTCTTCCAATCGTGGGCGCTTACGCTCATTTACAATTGGCGTCGTTGTCGGCGCATCATCAGTTGTTCTGATTTCTTCCGATGCCCCACTGGCCAGTATTTCATTATTATCGGACATGTTATTGTTTATTGAACTTAAACTAATAGAGTAGAGTTCTAGTTTCTTAAAGCTGCTACTGGTTGTCTCGCCAATAACCAATACTAATGGCATCCAACAATTTAGAATTGATTTTTCATTGGAATCGCCGCATTATTGGTTAATGCTAGAAAACCTAACCTTTTAACTGAGCGTGTGTGCGTTCGTCCGTCGAGCTGTTGATCGTTGGGCTATTTAAAGTTTTTAACTTTCAGAATTTCTAATGTGTGTATTCATTTAAGTTTATATTGCACTTCACACATTTGCAGAAGCATGAGGCATGCAGTGAAATAATTGTAGTACTTTTTTCCGGTTGCGTTAGCGGCTTTCGCCATGGATTCTGTTGCATAAAAAGTTCAGAACAAAACACCAAAGCAAAAGTTGCTACGCGTGCTCAAGGGCAGACAAATTCCCATTTATGCAATAGCAGTTTGAATAATGTATGAATGCGCTTAAAGTAATAAAAAATATCCTTCAAGAAAACCAATACTTTACTACGAATACACACGCTGCGATTACGGGTGTAACAGCTGTTTCGACTGTGAGTCGAACAAGTACTTCAACGTATCGATACTTGATTATCAAGTTCAAAGCAAATACGAGTACTACGGATGATAGAGCTGAAGCCCAAACGTCCGTAATGTTTAAATGCTTTTTCAGGATTCTTGCAACTAATATTGCAAATGGAGAACGATGGGCAGGGGAGACACACCAATAAAATGTTCTTCAGCCATCATGCTTTTCAAATGCCCTTTTTGTCTGCTCGTTGTAGCGCCATTACAAGGTACCCACAACGCTTCAAACCATCGCATACATTATAAATACATTTTCATTATGTTATTAAAAATGTATTTCCAATGTTAAAAATGCGGTGAACCTTTTCAGCACGTGCTATTCATTATATACTATTATTACTATTAAGGTACCTCATCACTTCTTAACCTTCAAGTCTTTCGCTCTCTGACGCAGTGTCCTCGGACTAGGTAACGGAAATTTCTTCTCCTGCAAAAGCCTGTATCCTTTAGGGCTCTCAGTATAAAGGGTATATGAATTTGCAATATCTTCTGCCGACCAGCACTGCCTTCGTCCGCCTTGCATTAAGTTTTTGAATTGTCCTTCCGTAAATATTTCCCGGAGCCGCGCCTCCATGTTTTGACTGATGTCCTGTGCTTTTTCAAGTTCAACTTTCAGTTTGAAACATTCGGCATCCTTCTTTCGCAGTTGATTGTCACACCGCAACTGCTGTTTCCGAAGCTTCTCCTCTAATTGCATATTTGTAAGTTGTAGAGTTGCACTTGAATAAAATAAAGAAAACCAAATTAATAGTTAGACAGTAAATAGTTGGATACGATCAAGCTTACATCTCCATCTTTAGCTTTTCAATTTTTACATGCGCATTGCCGCTTATACTTTCATCAGCACACTTGTTGAGTTGCACTGCACTGAGGTCAACTTCCATGGAAATACTGGAGTTTCCGCATTTAATCGCATTTTCGCATGAGATAGGTTCATGTTTTACCATTTCAGAAGAACTCATCCCTTCATTGAGAATTTGAAGGTCTGGTTTGATGTCTGCAGATGTGCTTAATTGCTCTTCCTTTAAAGCCATATTTTTACAAACAGACGTGCAGAGGTCCACGGCAATATTGTTAACTACTTTTCTAGCATTTGTACATTCATTAGTATCTGATTTTTCCAAAGTGTAAGGTTCTTTCTTGATGTAAACGTCGAGGTCCCCTATTTCTGTAGATGTGCTTGTTTCCTCCTTAGTTAATGTACCCGTAATGGACTCGTCTCCTTGGATTTCAACATATCTTATACCCTTGGCTCCTCTTTCTACCGGAATGGTAATAGCGCCTTTTTTTAACATCCTCTTGCACTTAAATATGATTCAGTTGCACAAATGAACAGCTGTTCCATTGAGTACAAGTACAAGTACTCCAACACAAGTATCCAGTATCGACACTAGCCTTATTTATCGCAGATAAAACTGGCAAGAAATGTCGGTTCATTTTAATAACTTCACAAGAACTCATGATCAAGCTGATTACAAAAACCAAATTTACATAAACGTCTGATATACCCATTCGGACTTTTTTCAGAACTTTATGCCCATAATCCTAAAGAATCGTCCCGATTATTATTGTTTTTGTTATCGAAATCGGATTATTTGAATATGCACATTATGTGAACTAGATTTTTACTGAGCCCATATAATTAAAAAGTACACAAATAGGTATAGTTTCTTAAAAAGCAGCCGACTTTATACGTTTTTAATTTTCCTCATCCAATTTTAATTTAAAACTATTGAGTTACAACACCGAAGTAAATTAAAGACACAGGACGTGGTGTAAATAGCCATCGTTTGAAATTGTTACAAACAACTGAAAAATAAATGTATATAAAATGATTATCGTCATAATTATATTTGGCATTATTGACTATATCGAGGTGGAAGTGAAAATAGTCACTTTGAATTCATTTTTATGCCTTTAGCCCACCGTCGTAATGTTCTCAGACAGGGTAACGGAAATTTCTTCTCTTGTAAAAGCCTATATCCTTGAGGGCTTTTAGTATAAAGAGCAAATGAGTTTGCGATGTCCTCCGCCGACCAGCACAGCCTTCGTCCACCATGCTTTATCTTTTTCAATTGCCCCTGTGTAACAATTTCTAGAAGCAGTGCCTCCATGTTTCGACTGAAGTACTGTGCTCTTTGAAGTTCAGTCTTTGTTTGAGTATATTCGGCACATTTTTTTCGCAGAAGCTGATCAAACCGTAATTGCTGTTTCCGAAGCCTCTGACTCAGTTTCTTATTGGCAATTTGCAGACTTGTGCTTAAATATAAAGGAGAAAACGTGTCAACATTTAGATAATAACCAACTTTATAAGGTCAAGCTTACTTCTCGATCTTTAGTTTTTCAATTCGCACAAGTGTACTCTCATTTGCACTTTCACCCGCAGACGATCTATCGGACTTCGCATTTCTTTCCTCAACTACAATGATAACATTCGCATTGGGATATTTCACTGCATTTTGCCATGAAAGAGGTTTTCCAATCACAACTTTGGAAGTGTTTAGCTTTTCAGTTTCTAAAGGTTCCATCCCTAAATTGAGAATGCTAACGTCCGGTTTAATGTCTGCAGACGGGCTTGATTGCCACTCGGTTAAAGGCACATTTTCCGTATTAAGCGGTGCCTTTTCAGAGACAGTTGTGTGAAGCTCTCCTGCGCCATTGTCAACTTCGAATGGAGCGCTTATGAACTCCTGCATATCCTTACTATCGCACTCCTCTTTTATACAAATGCCCAGATCTACGCTCTCCATCTCTATATTTTTACAACTGCCCAACATTGTATTTGGGGTATTGCATTCCGGGTTCAAGTCGCAAGATATACTTGCTTCGTCCTCTTTTAATAGAGCCGCGATGAGTTCTTTCCGACGACTCTCTGGAATGCTCCCATCTTGTTTTTCTTTGTAAACGGGTATAGCGCCTTTTTTCAAAAGCCTCCTTCGCTTTATACCTATTAACAGGCAAAACTAATTGTTTATTTCGTTTACTTATGTATGTACATAGTACTTATATGCTTGTACATATGTATGTATGTATAATTATACTATCCGCTCACCCATGGCGCATTGCATACTTCCAATGATGTCTTCGGTACGAAAATGCTCATGACACACTCGGCCCATGGAGCGATGAAAATTTTCGCCAGTACCACAAAATTCTATCCATTTTTAAACAAATCTTTATCGGAGGGGAAATTAAAGAAAGAAGTTTTGTTGTCTCGGCTATCTCTATAAGTATTTTTGCAGTTTTTCACTACACACATCAATGTGGGCCGCATTGTATCAGAATTACCTGGAAACAAAAATACTGACGTCAGAACTGTGCTTTTTGCTAATATGTACGTCACATATTGATATCGCTTGAAAATGTGCGAGTGAGTGCTCTATACATCCACAAATATTTGCTTAATTTCCACTATAACACAAAGAACTAGCAGATGTGGACATCAGGGTTTATTTTTTTACTCTCCATGCGCATTTACGTCACAAATTGCGGTCTCAGGAATACGGCAGAGTAAGTGAGAGAGCGAAATCTTTGTGGTTCTGTTTCGTGTACTCTGTGCACTCAGCTGTTTGAAATGGTTTTTCTTCTAATTGGCAATGCCGAAAAATTCAAAAAATATTTATATTTTCGAACCGTAAATAGTGCTGCTATTGTGGAAATAAATTGTGCAATTTCTGATAAATTAAATAAATTTGTAAAATTTCTGATAAATTATATGAAATATAAGAAATATTATTATATTATTCTCATACCAAGTACTTAATTGATGGCAAATCGAGATTCAAGTTGTGAAATTTCTGATAAATTATATAAAAATAAATTATGAAATTAAAGAAAAAACAAGATAGAACGCTACAGTCGAGCAAGCCCGACAGTAAAATAGCCTGTACTCTCCACAAAAAGGAAAAATTAAAAAAAAAAAAATTTAAAAAAAATTAAATTATTAAAAAAAATTAATGAATTAATTAATTAAAATAATTAATTAAATTAAATTAGAATACATGTTTATGTTCAGTTTAAACAGCATACATTTACATCACGTACCTATGCGTGTTTATATGCGTGTATGTATGCAGCACAAAGTTAAACCAAAGCAGCAACAACAACAACAGCTGCGGGCAGCGCTGCCGACAGAGGCAGCGCATGAGCAGCGATTTTACTTATGGCTATAACTTTCTTCAGAATTGACCTATCATGATGAAATTTGGCACACGGACACATTAGTACTAACTGGATGTACCTACCAAAATTGATTTCAAAATTCCGAGAATTAAGGAAGTTATAAGAAAAAATACGAATTGCGGGGGAGTGGGGGGGTGTATCAGAAAAAATAAACAAACTCGTTCTGCCTAGGGCTTATAGGAACCTTGATACCAATTTTGGTTATCCTAGCTCTTGTACTTACTGAGATCCTTGCGCTCATACAGACAGACGGACAGACGGTCAGACGGACAGACGGACAGACGGACATGGCTATATAGACTCGTCTTCTCATCCTGATCAAGAATATATATACTTTGTGGGGTCTGCCACGCCTCCTTCTGTGTGTTACATACATGCGCACAAAACTAGTATAGCCTTTCACCCTTTGGGTACAGGCTATAATAAAATGTGGTCGCCTTCCTCTGCGATTCTCATACCAAGTACTTGAGTGATGGCAAACGAGAATTAAATTGTGATTTTTCTGATAAATTGAGGAAAAATATTGTGGAAATAAATTGGGAAACTTATGATAAATTAAATTAAAAAATATTGTGGCCGCCCTCCTCTGCGATTCTCATACGAAGTACTTGAGTTATGGCAAACGAGAATTAAATTGTGAAATTTTTGACAAATTAAATAAAAATATTGTTGAATTAATTTTTGAAATTTGTGATATACATACATATGTAGGAATAATGTAGGAATGCTCAAATAGGTGTAATGTTTTTCATAAGCAAGCCCGATCAGTCTCTTTTTTAGCTTTTAATATTAAATTCTTAAGGCTATTAAATCTGTATTACATGCAACATTTAAATTCAACTAATAAGAGTAATCACTAGCTTGAGACTGGAGTCTCAATATCAGTATTAAACACATCCGATTCCACTTTGCCAACATTCTGCTTATGTCCTTTTGAACGGAAATGAGCGACAAGGTGGGTTTTCCGCATAAACGACATACTGCATACTTCACAACTAAGAATAAAACAAAAATTATTATGGATTGCTAGACAATGGATTGGTACCTACTGAAAGGCCCGCACGCCTGTGTGACGCAGCATATGAGCTTTTAGTTTTCCACTCACTGCGAAGGCTTTATCACATTCCGAGCACTTGAACGGCTTGTAGTTTGTGTGACGACTACCAAAAAAATATGCAGATGAGTTATTAAAAATAAAAAATATTATACTATATTTATGCACGTGCGTACTTGCGCTCATGTTGAATACGACCGCTGTAGTGGCTAAATCTCTGGTCACAGTACTGGCATGCGTAGGGTCGATCACAGACATGTAGCATTTCGTGGCGTCTGAGCAAATGGGCGGTATAGAACTTCATGGGGCACAACTTGCAAAAGTAGTTCTTAACTCCACTATGCCGAAGAAGGTGAACCTTGAAATTGCTGGGACAGGAGAAGTGCCTTCCGCACTGTTCGCAAATACAGTCACGTTTTCTGCGTTCACGTTTCAGCGCCACGACCTCCTCCTCTGTGAGCTTGCTCCAGTCGGTGCGCGGCATAACTTTGGTATTATCCGCAAAGTTTACCGATGCATAAACCGTGTTACTGTGCTTCCGAGATTTGCGAATCGCATTCTCATCACTGATTACAGCCGTTTTTGTAGGCATCTCCGAAGGCATGTTTTGCTCTGCTGAAATGGTATCCGATGTTGCCAGTTCCTCTGCTGTACTGAAACACTCATCCACATCATCGTTATGTTCATGGATTTCAGTTTTGTCCCCATCTCCGGGTTGTAGCTCATAAGACATCTCCGCATCGTTAGAAGGAGAATCGTAGGCATCCTCTTCGTAGTCTTCGTTTCCATCCAGCGCTTCAAAGTCCAGCTCGTTCGAATGGAGTTTCAAAAGAGCCTCTGCAACATTGTCACAATTTTGCAAAATTTGCTGGGTTTTGATGATAGTCTCTCGAAACCCTATTGCAAGTCGAAGTGCCACTTCACAAGGACCACAAATGTGTACTGGCGAATCCGCATGATGCAACAACTGTGAACATACAAAATACAATCACAAACTGTTTTAATTTGAATTCGGATGATACTATATGTATATTCCCGTCAAACGTTGACGGCCTGAACGTATTAGCCCCCACTGTCAGTTCGTGACGGCTTGAACGTGCATGCCCTCACCATCAGGCCTGTTAGCGTCTCGATTTGATGCAGCATAATTTTATCGGGTTGTTCGAACAGGTTCCGCCTGTCCCCGCAGTAAATGAATTTTCCGCATGTGCGGCAATGGTCGGACATGTCCGTATTGTTTTGTTGTTAATAGCTGAGCGTTGTTTATAAACTGCTGCTAATCGAAATGGCATTACTGCCAGAAACAGCTGTTGCTAATGCATTGTCTGTAGTTGCCATACCTCTAAAAATAGGCCAACGAGGACTTCTTTGCAATGCGTTTAAATGAGCGCACAAAACTATGTGGAAATAGCGTCATCTTAGTTCCATACGAGGAGAAACATGTATCGAAATACCATGAGTGGATGAGCCGCCCAGAACTCCGCGCACTCACTGCTTCAGAGGCGCTTTCGCTTGAGGAGGAGTACGAGATGCAAAAAAGCTGGCGCAACGATGATGATAAACTAACCTTTATTGTCCTCTGCGCTAAATCCTACGCACGGAACGGCGATGAAATCGCTTCCATGGTGGGTGACACCAATCTTTTCATGCACTTCGACGAGGAGAGTCAGCAAAATGTGGGCGAAGCTGAGATTATGATCGCAGAGAGCGAGGCGCGTGGCAAAGGCTATGGGCGCGAGGCCATGCTGCTGATGCTTAAATACGCACAGACACACCTAAAGCTGGACAAATTCGAAGCAAAGATTGACATGGATAACAAAATCTCTTTGGGAATGTTTGAGAGCTTTCAATTTGTAGAAGTGCGACGGGTTGCGGTGTTTCACGAGATAACCCTGGAACGAGATTTAACGCCAGAATGGATTGTGTGGCTGGACGAGCAAGTGGAGCTTAGGCCAGAAAGCTATGAATCGTAATACCCTGAATAATGAATTAAGTATTAATTTCCCATATTCGGATTCATCCCTTTTTGTACTTCCTACGTTTAAAATCTAGCTTTGAGGAATTCATCGCACTTTTAAGCAGTTATGTTGATTCTTTACGATTAAAATACTTACTTTATTTGGAAAATACAGAAGTTGGTAAAAAATAAAGCTAAATTTTAAGTATTTTTAAGTACATAATGTGCTTATTTGAAAAGGCAAACAATGCTCATGGATATATGTATGTATGTATATCCTTTTTAAATAATTAAAATTTTTCAAAACCTAGAGTAAAAGCTAAGAAACGCGTAAGGAGATAATGCAACAGAAACAAAGAATCAAGTTTTGGGATGGACTAATAGCTTTTCACTATAAAGAACAAATTGTAGGATCCTAAACATTATTATCAGACGACTTTTCGATGTCAGCAGCACGCACTTATTTAGCAGCCACTTTTTAGCATCAATATAAAATTCTTTGGTGAATGGGCATAAACAACCAGAGACATAATCAAATGTAAATATAAATGACATTTATTTTTAAATTACATTTACATATGTATGTATATATTACAACTACGGCTTATGTCGAATATTTATGTGTGTGTGTGTATGTATGTATTTATTGATGCGGTTGCTTGTGATTTGCGTGGCAGGAAATACGACGACGAACTGCTGCTGGTCGCGTTTCTAATTAGGTATTTAGATGTATGTATGTGTGTATGTATATGAGTACGTACATAAACTAGATGCTTAAGGTTTTACAGCTGCGGCTTATCAAACGGTTTGTTTGTTTTTTTTTTTAATTTTTTATAAAAATTATTATTAAATAATTAAAGGCAAACATAATCGTAATGGTAATTGTAGATCGAAACTAAATATTTTATACTCTTCATTTGCACGCGAAACTTAACGTAGATGCATCGATTCAATGATTAACTTATAACTAGACGGGTTGTGTTGTTTGTTGCTGCTGTTTTTGTTGCTATGAATAATAAATATATTTATTTATATGCGGGTGCCAACTGGGTCTAAGCAATGGCTCGCGGCCCATCGATTGGCATGGCATGCAACACCTCGTCAAGGAGTTGCAGCGCCCGGTGCAGATGAACCTCGATCCAGCACGGCGTCTCCTTGATCGATTGTCGTGGATAATCAGGTCCCCAGCCCTTAACGAAGCTCAGCCGTAATATGCACAGCCGACGCAAGTCGTCGACGCCAATGCCGGCGGCTGCGGTGATGCCTGAAACATACAAACATTAAGGTCGTTATATTGGATCGGTAAAGTTGAGAACATTTTAAAGTAAACTTAATTTAATCAGGCAATTGTATTTTGCAAACAGTCCTTTGGAACGTAGGTGCAGAAACTTACTTAAATAATTAACATTAAAAAGCAACACGATTTGGAAACACAATTCGGAAAATTGTAATATTTGACGAATATTATTGATATGTATTTAAAAAAGTATTCATATTCAATTGTTAAGCAACTCATAAGGCTTCGGGTATTTTTGCATACCATGATGAAATAATGTTTAAAAATTGATGATATCATACAGTTGACATCTTATACTCACTTCTACCGCCCCCACCGATCTGTTGATTCGAGACGCCGGCAACGGCGGCTGCCTGTGCTGCTGCAGCTGCCTGAGCGTTGGTGGCCAAAGAGTGCATTTGTTGGTGGCATTGACGCAAATCAAAAACCTGCAGGCAAAGAAATGCAAAGAGGGCTCGGTTAAGGCATGTGTGACACAGATGGCGGTTCAGACTCACTTTTATGCACGCTGCTGGATAGATTTTGTGTACAGCGTCGCCCGGCGTGCGACCCGCCTCGCGATCCAGGTAATAGCTTTGTACAAACACAGAATTGTCGCTAAGACAGCGCAGCCAGACGTCGCCTTCGCCTCTCAAGTCCAGTTGCACGCCTTTACCAATGTGAAGTCTGCGAATGTAGATAATTGGCGGTGAGTGGGCTTCAGAGTAGCGTCAAGCGCTGCAAAAAAAACTAACCTGGCGCGCTCCGATTGTTCGGTACGATGCACGTTGCTCAATGCACCAAGGCAGAAGCGATTGCCACCGGACGGATCAACGTAGCCATCGATGATGACGTTCGGCTTGGCGGAGGGCACTTTGAAAGTCTCACCCACTTGGGTGTCCAACTCAAAGTAGGCAATGGAGCACCAATATTCCGGGGCCGGTTGGCGCGAAAGTAGACGCGGCTGTTGCTGCTGTTGCTGTTGTTGTGGCGGTGCCTGCTGCGAGGACAGATCGCTGGGAAGCGATGAGTTCCCTGGGAAACACAAGGGATTAGCTCTAAGAAACAATGACAGATCATTCAACTCACAGTATCCCCCGCCATGATGGGCGGGCGGCTGCATGGACTGTGTGTAGGTGAGTGTATTGGGACCGGTCCAAGTGCCGGCTGCGCCTGCGCCACTTGCCTGTGCACCACTCGCCGAGGCATTGGCTTGCCCAGCTGGCTGCTGACCCTGTTGCTGCTGCTGCTGTTGTTGCTGCTGTGGTGATGCCGTCCCGTAGTTGGGTGCACCTCCAGGGGCTGTCCCGCCTCCAGGCTGACCAACATAGCCGTTCTGTTGCATGTGCGTGGATGTGGCTCCTCCACCTGCAGCACCACCGCCTCCAGCCCCTCCCGTAAACTTGCCATCGTTGCCCACGTTTTGCATTTGAGCTCCTGTTGGCGGTTGTCCATAGTATTGACCGCCACTGGAGGGAGCACCACCGCTATTGCCTGCGCCACTCGGATTATTGCCACCACCCCCCGGTGGCTGCTGCTGCTGTTGCATGGCCATTGTTTCTGTGGGAGAGTTGGCCTGTGCGTGGTGAACACCATTGCCCTGCGGGTTCTGTGCTTGTGGTGGTGCCGATGGTGGCGCCATTACGGGACCAGGATTCATGGGTCCAGGCAGGCCAGGAATTCCATGAGGTACGGCTGCAAACGAAGTGAGCGAACAGGTGAATAAAAAGCAACAGCATAAACAAAATCGAACAACCAACAGAAATACAAGCTACACATTATGGCTTTATACAAAATACAGAAAATATGTATAAAAAAATATATAATAAAAACGATCGTATATTCCCTAAATTGTTTGTACAATAGAGAGACTGGATGAGACTCACCATAAAAAGTATTAAAAAGAAAACAATTATATGAAAAACAAACATAAGATCTTACGAAGCTTCTGTGTCATTTGCTGCGGCTGTTGTTGCTGCGTTGTTGTCTGTTGGGGCTGTGACGGTGGGGGCGGCTGTTGACCCAATCGTGGCGGGGGTGGCACCATCCAAGAACTGCGGGGACCGGCGCTGTCCGGTGGCTCGATTTTTGGTATTGTGCGCCCAGCAGAGAACATTACGCCCATTTGATTGGCGTCGCCGACTACAAATCAAAAATGCCACAAACAAAATAAAATACACAAATAAAATTATACATAAAAGAATAAAATTATACAGTTTGAAATTATATTAAACAATTAACATATTGAAGGTGAAATATCCCTAAAACATTATTGATCCCACATATTATCTTAAAACTGCATTTCTGATTGCTATTATTACAAAGAAAGTTTATTAATTTGGGATTGTAGTTTAGATGTAAGCTAAAGCACTTCGTAGTGATTTCATAATGCTCCTAAGGAATCGGAAACTTATTTGAAAATGAAGGAATAATATATTTAATCTGGGTGCAGGAGGATTTTAAATATGAAAACTAAAAAAGGGTCATAGGAAAACAGGCTCAACTCTACAAACTATATATTTATGGATTAGATAAAAGTGTGCCTACCATACTCACCGGGCCCCTGCGGATAGCCATAGCCGCCTGGACCGACCATTTGCGTGGGGTGATGCTGAATGGTTCCAATGTCGTTGCCATCGATGTCCATGCTGCCAACCAACGGCCCGGCAGAATATTCATCTTTCACCAAACGACTGGGACCCGATTGCAGACTAAGGCCCGACAAATCGATGCCTGGCGAAACAACGCGCTCGTAATGGTAGGGATTCACACACACCGAGTCGCACTTGAGATCAAAGGCAAAGGCGCAATACTTCACATGCTTCAGCTCATTTTTGTGTAGGTCGGGCCAGCGCCAGATGCGCGCGTAAATCACGTGCGGGAACCCCTTCCGACCAGCAACCTGTACAGGAGAAAAACAGTTAAAGTACATTCATAAAGCGAAGATATCGCTGCCAGTTATCGCGATTCTCACGAAGTCGAGTAACCGGAAAGGCCTAGGCAAATAGTCAAGGGGAGATAAGCAGGTGTGGGCAATGCAGAGAGAAAGTCGAACACACCCTGGGCTGTGCGGTGTAGTTCCAGAAAAGCAGTTCAAAACTCAAATTTGTTTTCTAGTGAGGAATTGATTTCTCCGTCGTTTCTCCGGACGGGCAGGTCCTTATCGCTTCAAAACGTCATGCTTATCATATGTTTACTTATGGGATCTGTCACGCCTCCTTCCACTTCTTACTTGCATTTTGCGTATTGGTGGCCAGATTTAAAAATAACAAACGAAACTCTATCTTTGAACTAGCTTTAACAGAAGCATCTCGAATCTCTAAAAATAGAGCAGACTCTCTTGCAAGAGGCTCTCTGTTAGCTCCAGGCGTCACGGTTTGCATGCAATCAAGTAATTTAGGTGCCCGTTTACCTGCAGTCGGCCGTCGAGTGTGCGTTGTATGGTCACGCATTTGCTGGGATGGGCGCCATTTGTGGTGATTGCTGTTATCAGTGAGTCCAGTTCGTCACGCTTCTCTTTCAGTTTCTTCACCAGCGATTCGATGGCTCGTTTCGCAAAGCCCTCACTCTCGCCACCCTGGCGATGGCACATCAGCGAATGGACGATGCTCAGACACGCATCTGCCGAGGTGGGTGCATTGGAGGGCGGGGGCGGCGGCATTTGCACCATGTCCCGCACGATTACTGCAAAAGTAAAAGGTGGGAGTTGGACTTGGAATGATAGGCTGTTGCTCTTACTGTCACTTACTGTCTTGTGGTGCCACGGCGCCGTACATGTGAGCAGGCGGACCGGTGGCGCCAGCCAGTGCACCCATCCCAGTAAAGTCCTGGGCAATACCCAGGCCACTGCGTGCATGTGCATCCACTTTGTCGGCGTTGTTGCTGTCGCCGTCACAGAATCCGTAACCAGCTGATGGCCACAAAGCGGAGCCGAACGCGCTGCTATCGCACAAGCAGCGACCAAAGCTTGCAGCAAACAAAGAGAAGCACGCGAATGTGGCGCACAAAACAAACGAATAGTCAACGGCTCCCGATGCCGCCTGCCTTTCCTGGTGCTACCGTTGTTGCTATTAACAATTGATGTTTCTGCTTTAATCTTGTGGACGCAGAGGCTTACTTTAATTTGATTTAATTTCAGTGTCGAGTGTGTGTGTGTGTGTGTGTGCGTCTTGCTTGGGGGGTGTTACACACACAGGCACACACGCATGCTCTGCGAATTGCTTGCACTCCCACAAAGCTGTTTTTGTATAATTACGACGACGACGACGCTAGTCTTTGCAAGCTGTAATTGTTATTACTGCTCCTCCACCTCCTGGATGTGTGCCGCAACGACCGCGACGATAAAAACTCTTACATACACACAGACAAACGCGCGACCGCCCGTACTCGCAGTTTTGCTTTTGCCTTGACTGGGACTGGCTTCGGCTTAAATTATTTCCTTGAGGTAAATAGTTAACTTCAGTTTATCGGTTGCATCAATTGCACTTGAAATCTGTATGCATACTGGGTCTGAACAATTCGCATCGAATGCATTTCTCACTAAAAGCGCATCAAATAATTTTCCACACAGCCAGTTTTCCACCCAATTGGATTTTTGTGCTCTCTTCCTTCAATTTATTTTACTGCCACAGTATGGCAGCGCCAATCAAATAACCAGGGCATCATTAATTTCTATAATCTGGCAACTCTACAATAGATGCTGCCATACTTTGTGCTTAAACATGCCAGGGCTTCATTCATTAACCATTGGTCGTATAAATAATTTGTACATTCGGAACGTGTTAAAAAAAAAGCCCGAAGAATACTGATAAAACACACAGAGGCATCCGGGTAAGTGTTACTGTTTTCCTAATAATTAAGTTGCACTCAAAATGTAATTTGTTGGGCTGAGAATAATTTGAAAAGTGGTCGTACGCCACGCGTTTTTTCCAATCAGAAATAGGGTGTGATGAAATATCGCTCCATGCATACGTACACATGTGTTACATATGTATGTACATTTATTCTTTATGAATATATTTTAAGGCAGGAACTATTAAATTATGTTTATATGTTGTTACTTAAAGCAATCCTCGTTCTTTTGGCCAAAATTTTTTAAATTTGCGTCATAGAAAATTATCCGTGGCAACGAGTTGCAGGTGATTGAAATTATGGTTGTGTGAGTGCGTAATTGTGAGCGTATTTACACACATGCAAAGGGTACATTGTTGTTGCTGCAAACATTTTTCTAGAAGTGCGTCACTTGTGTGCGTGAGCCTGAAATAGCGAGCAGCACGGTGTTCTCTCCCGTTTCTGTCGACAGCACTAGTTCATTCGGAAAAGCGCTTGACAACAAGTAAACAAAGAATTTCCTATCGCGAACACTGTAGGCCTTTAAAGCTATGTGCTCTTCGGCAATTATGTGCAATATTATACACTCGTCGTTACTGAAGTTATTGCCACAAAGAAATTGGAGGTTCCCAGTCCTTCATCACAACTGCAGTTCTCATCCAATTACTGTAATTTTGTGCGAGGATTATATAAATTATTTCTGAGTCAACATACATACTTGTTAATATATGTGAATGTATGAATAATTCTATTAGTGTCATCAAGCAAGTAAATATTCAAACGCGCGCCCTTATAAGAATTTTAGTACTCGATACCATTTCATTTCTTTCAGTCCACATCCCATTTTGTTTCCCTCAGCTGACTACTTATGATTGTTGTGTGTCTCGTACCAGTGCAACCAAATCAACTACAACTTTCTGAACCGAACATGTTGCACGTCGGTTCGATGTGTTTTTCTCGCATTTAGCATTTCAGTTTACTTTTGGAATCAACAAAGAAAAGAAGTGTTTGGGTCGTAATAGAACGAGTGTGAGAGTGTGTGTATGTATTTGTGTGTTTACTTAAAAATTGAATGCTTTAACCAGAATTAATTGAATTTGTAAGCCTTTACCAATACCTAACGAAATTTTAATATAAATTAGTAAACAACACATAAAAACAACTACACGATGTGCTGAAAAGCGAAAATAAAAACCACTTATAAGTTTGTGTGTGTGCGTGTGTGGGAAAAATCGATCGAGAAAATATATTTTGTAAATTAAGAGGACAAAATGTTGGCCTAGACGACGACAGAAACAAGTTTAATTGTGATACATTTTCAGTACAAATTAGTTAAAAAGTAGTGTAAATGGCAAAAACCAACAAGAACATTTTATAACGAACATATAACAAAACCAACACCACCAACTATACACTTATTTTCAAGTGCAATATATATATTTAAAGAACTCAAATTTTAAAGTAACAAATTCATCTGAACATTCCTGCGCAACAGAAACCAAAATGGCTGTAAAAATGTAAGCAATAAACAAATATATTTTATTTTTGTATTGTAGAAAAAAATTTCGTTGCGCTCAGAAAACCTTGAATATTTTAGATGCAAAATAGAATGTAAACTGAATAACAGTTCAATTGCATTAGTTTGATTCTCAATGCAATGCTTCAAACAAAACGAAAATATTAATGCATACATACTGTTTTATTGTATATACATTGCATATACAATGTACTGCACATATGTAGACAATTTTCGTACATACATACATACATATATGTATAATACGTGATTGTTTCATCTCTCAATTTGTTTCACAGCTGTTTGACTCTTTCGTTGTGTTTGTATGTGGTTCCTGCTCAGAGAGAGGAGCAAACAAATACATATGTAGTATATCTATTTGAGATTTTATGCGTGTGTGTGTGTTAATGCGTAGTTGGGGCTGTGCTTTATGCAAGCTGTACAACATACTTTTTAGGGGGAATCGCCCCATGTAATATACCTTGCAACATTTTAGCCATATTTTTTGTAACAACAAATGACCCAGTACAGTTGAGTAAAGTCTGCTCTGAAGCCTCTGCTCTCAGCTAAATTAACTAACAGTAAGTCAGACACTTCCCAAAGTAGAATATATGTATATACATATGTATGTATGTATATATGTATATTAATATAAATAAATACAGATGTGTGAATGTATGTGTATGCATAACCATGTTTTGTTTTTATTGCACTTTTTATTTCCCAATTTACGTCAATTGTCGCCTATTAGCAATGTTGCCTAGTCTTTCCCTTCTCCCGCAATTGTTTCATTCTCAAACCGTACACATAGCTCTCCCTCTCTTTCTCTCTCTCTCTCTCGCACGCACCTATACTCTTACAGCTGCAAACAAAGACTTTTGTGTGTGTGGTTGTGCGCCCATTAAAATTTTCGCTACGTTTACGAACACAGATGCAAAGGTTTCATTGTATGCGTGGCTTCAATTGATATCAGGTTTATAGAATTGCGTCAGCCAAATATAAAACTATCAAGCCCTAACGCTATCATTCTGTTCAGCTTTATTTAAAACTTTAAAGTTCAATTTTTTAATACCTCTTGTTTTAAAATAAACAGCGCGTTATTTTAACGAAGACGCGCAATACGTCTCAGCTCTGGCTTGATTTCACCTTCAGCTTTTCTGGTTTCTGGGTCATATTTGTTGATTTCAATTGCCATCGTTGTAGCTGTTTCCGTGCAACAACAACTACAACGAAATCGAATGTGAAAAGCGCAAAGCTGAAAATACATAAAATTGCTTAATTTGTTGGTTTTTATATTTTACATATCCTCAATGCTTGCTAGTCACATAAACACACACACAATATCAAACTGCTGTTGTAATATACATATCTATGTATGTATTATGTACATATACACACGGGTGCTTGCGTATTGTTAGTTTGTTTATTCTCCATTTTCTTGTTCAGGCTGTACACCCGTTAAATTTTTTACAAAAGTTCACGGTGGGTTTTCTCTGGCTCTGCTTTAGTGTCATCTTCGACACGTCCACCTTCGCTCCTCTATTGTTTATCACTTCAGAGTAAGTTTTGATGTTCTATGTTTCTGGCGCGAAGATTCGATTGTTTATGCCTATTGTACATATTTTTTAATAAAATATTTACAGCATCTTCGGTTTATAGTTGCCCAGCGTAATTGTTATATCTATTATGGTCATCATAGACCCACTGAGTAATCAGCAATGACAACGAGAAATGTTGGCCATTAGTTAGTGAGCGCGTCCCTAAACGCAAAAGCAACAATCTTCAAAAGTCACTTCAAACAATGTATTCGCTACCTGTTCACTTTAGCTCATAACAGACTGCAATTTTTTGTCTGCCTTAGTTTTGGGACAGCTGACACGTCTGGCAGACGGCGTCAGCCACAAAGTGAAATTCGATGCCCTTACTAAAGTGGGTTTCAGTTCAAACTGTGCTTCAAACTGCAGCGCAATTCCATGAGCGACGTATTAGTAAATTTTTCTTTGGCCACCCTAGCCTTCTGTAAGACCCAAGCAAATGGGCTAAATAAGCTTATTAAATGCGTCGCTGACATAGCCTATTTACTTTAGAGTCTAGACAAGTTTTTTGAAAACCCTCCCTCTTAAAATCCAAATGGTTCGGACCACAATGGCGGCCACTCGTGCCCATTTGGCACGTAGCAATCGACTTTTCCACCACCCCTTTGTCGTCAGTCTCGAATTTTCACAATTGCAACGCATTTCCAGTAAAGGTGCGCGCTGATAAATTCCAATGGGGAGGGTCTGTTCTTTTTCTTTTTATCGATGTAGTGCTGCAGCAGCTGCAGCAGCATCTGCCCAGAACTTCTACATATGCATGTATGTATGTACATCGCATATTCGTACCTGAGTCAGGCCAACCACTGTGTGAGATAAGGTCCATTTGTTTATCTATCCATGGCTTACGTCATGGAATGTTATGAAATGCGAACATATAAGTCTATGGCTTCATATCACATAATCGTCTACGTAAAATAAATGCAGTTCCATAAAGTCATCATTATCCATTGATAATGATCTCACGTAGGTAATATCAGTTGTGTGCGGTGGTGGGCGGTCTGGGCTAGATACAGGTGAAGGTAGGCGAGAATATCATTCGGCAATTATGGCAGCTCGCACTTTGATCAAGCCACTTAACTTCGGACTAGCCGACTACCTGATTACCTCAGTTACAATAGCAGGCCACCTGATGCCCATTTAAATATATTATCAGCAATTAGTACTGCAAATTAGTTTTGTTATTGAACACAGTTTCATTACATATGTATATACATACATATACATTTATGTAAGTATTTTTAACGATATATGAGTTTTAACAATTTTACACTATTCAGAACTTCAACCATTTCAAACCTTCAAGCGAAATTTAGAAGCAATTATTCATATAAGATACTATTTATAAATACTTAGTTTCTTCCAAAAACATAAATACAAATCCAACTTTATTAAACCAAGAAAGGTATTATTCACGCTTATTCATGGCAACTCATGATGATATTCATTTCAAGTGGAGTGAATCACCAAAGGTGGAATGTACATATGTACATACATATATACAAGTATATAGTACATATGCATACATTCACAGTATGTATTTTTGGAAACTAAACAGCGCATACACTTCAATGCACCTTACATTTTCCGTTGATAGTTTTATTGTACCTAAACGCAAGAGCTTGTTAGGCGATAATAGAAATACTGCAGACAGGCGATCGCCACTATATGAATACAGTATGTACTCGTATGAATATGTAGTTTTGGTTGTACATAATTGAAAGTCCAATGGCAGATAGTCGAGACATGCGATAGACAGACACATGATAGTGGCTGGAAATGGAAACTAGAAAAATGTTAAGTGAAATGCCATCGGATGATTTTTTAGTCCGATAAGTGCTTTTGCCTTCATGTGTATAGTAGGTAGAAATGGAATGCATTGGAAGTGATCTTTGCTTCGTCTCGCCCACAAATTGACTCCTGGGGTGGGCCTGAGGTGCAGCTGTTCTATGGCATGTGCGCCTGCGCCACATCCTAATAAGTGATTCAGAGTTTAAAGTCCATTCATATGTAAATTCTGCTGTTGGCAGGGTGGTGGAAAGATGAATGGTGGTGCGCTGCTACCCACAACCGAGAAGGGTAGCTGAGGCGATATCCTTTTAAGGGTTGTTGGCCCTAACACAGCTCGCTGCACAATAATAATATTTCATCAAAGTCAAACTCGTTTTCACCTTTCCTCTGTTGTTGCTGCTATTTCTGGCCAATGTGAGAAGGGTTGAAATTAATGGGCACATGACCAAGTCACGGGTTGATGTTGGTTATTCCAACGAGGTGTTGAAGCCCCAGGGCCCTCCAGCAGGAACGTCAGGTTGAAAATTAAAATGTATACCGACTGCTTGCCTTCATGTCTGTCTATCTGTTTGGAGTCACGTTTAACCGCACATTGGATGATGCAATGTGTTGGCGTTTCTGAACACTTGCTGTAAGTCGCTGGCAACTTCCTCAATCTGAACGTTGTTGATTTCGGCAGTAGCTCTCTCTTAAAACACGATTGGTGACCTTCGATAGCCAAGAAATCATTTGGCACTTCAAGTCATGGATAAATACTTATTTATTATTATGTTTGTGTATTTTTGCACTCGCCATTTTCGCGCTGTTCGCTCAGCTGTGACAGCAGCTAATTATGAAGGCTTGAGCAGTAAACAAAATTATGAAAAAAAAAAAATTTATTTTTTATTTTGTTTCCAAGTCTTTTTTATCTACTTTTGTTGCACTTGGCTGATGGTTTTCCGCTATTATTGTGTTTAACTTTATTAAACACTTGGCCATAGCTGACTTTCGTTTTCTGTACGCAATTGCGGCGGCTCCCTGACTCTCCACCGCGCAACGCTTCTTCCAGTGTTTGTTTCAGAGAAACTGTTGTTTACTGTCAATTTTCGTAAAGTGCACAATATGTTTAAACATTTTACACCTGACCAGACCAACTGTTTGGCTGATCTGTCAGCTCCATTGCCTGCTCGACAGCTCGGCCCTTTCCAACGCCCCCCTCGCAATGGCGTGGCTTGCCATCGCAGCAGTTACGAAAATAGGCAAAAAGTGAAATTTTTCATAAATTGTTGGCCAAGTTATTCAAGCAGCAAAAACAAATACATCCATCGGTCTATAGCTGTGTGCAGATATACAAACGTACGTATGTGTGGATGTATAGTATATTTCGAAAATAATAACAACCCAAGTCTTTTTGTGCGTATGTATGTATATTTCGTCTGTTTGTTTGTACGTGCTTTGCGTCAGCAATTCGCGCAATATTTCTGTTGATGAAAAACTTTTGAAGAAATAGAAAATATTATTTTATGATGATTTTCAGTATACATCTACACACATACATACATATATGTGTGTATTTATATTTATGTATATAGCTAGGTTAGTTGTGTAAAAACCTTGAAAGATGCGTACCTATTGCTGACACAACTAATTGCTGGGACTCTTTAACTGTCCACTTATGTATGTACAAAATGTATACAAATAAGCAAATCATTTTTTCACCCAGTTTGTGGCTTGGGCCCTACAAGCAAAATTTACATACGTGAAGGCTTTAATGACGGTGTGCCTGTCATAAGCTAAATTTATTATGCACGTGTATGCGTGTGTGTTTTTGTCTGTCTTCTCTCTATGCTACGCTTTCCACTGTTTTTTTTCGCAGGGGCAGCGCCCCAAGCTTCTGGTTTGCTTTTGACGATTCGGTTCGTCTGCTTTGCCCCGACGCTAGCTCGAAGCATGAAGCTGTACTTTAACCTGAGATATTCCGTTATTTATTGTTAGACCCTCCAAATTATTTTCACACCGAAGGCAAACAAAAGCAGCTGATACAACGAGTATGTTATAGTTTTGTTGTTGCATATGTGCTGTTTGACTACGAAGAGCGGGAGAGAGAGAGAGGGATGTGAGTGAGTTAAAAGAGATGTGGCTTGATGACTGATCACTTTGGATGACTTGGAAGTCAAAAGGTATCGATTGTAGCGTCAATCGAGTGGGAGAGGGGCAGAGTTGTTGCTCTTGGTATTATTGTTATTAACAAACTAGTTTGGTGGGTGGTCGACCTTGATAGTGTCTGCTCGGGGTACTAACAGCCAAGCTTTGCGATTGCGCTCTTTAATTTGGTCTAACCTGATCGTCGCATACCAAAACAAAGCAACGAATCGAGACGGAAGTGGTGCAAAAGTAGCTGTTATGATTAAGATCCGTAGTTTGTCTGAAAAAAAATCATACATAAATTTCGAAATTAATTTTTTGACGGGTCAGTCGCGCTTAGTTGTTGATTTCGCATCAGCTACGGTAGTTGTTATTATTTTGCCATTTAGTCTACTGCTTTTTGCTTCGCTGATTCATTCGACTCACTCGAAATTAGTGCGCCATCAAAAGATGATTAAGGTGGGGCAGCGAAAGCAGCTACTAAAATACTTGTACAAAAGCGACGTGTTTTGTTTATTTTTTTCAAGCCCATTTCATTTCTGTACCTTCTTCAAACCAGTGGTAGCACTTTCTGCTTCTTTTAGTTTAAGTATTATATACTTATCAAAATTATATACTATGTTCAATGTACATATTGTACAAACCATACATGTTTGTTTTGTTAATAAGCGCAACCTCCACGAATCAAGTTAAGCAACGCAGTCGAAAGCCTTGTCTGGCTCTGTTTTGTTTTTAAGCCATAAAGCAGGTTAAAGACTTGAAACGGAATTTTTAAACAAGCGCATGGGCAAACATTTATTTTTGTATATGAAGCATAGCTAAATTTTGTACCTCATTAAGTTCAATAACGCCATTGCTTAATCGGGTCATAAAACTCAGCGTACTTGCCATAACAAATATGTAATGCTAAGCCGCAATTCAGTGCAAGGCTTTCTGAACAATGTGTGATTATCTTGATGTTTTCCGAAAAGTTTTGCCATGCTCTCCTTATTAGAATCTGAGATCCCATTTCCAACAAGCTCAAATCAAATCAATCTGTAAAGCAGATTTTCTATTTGATCAACCTTTATTTCAACAGTCCGTTGGAAACTGTAGATATAAATAACTATAGTATGTACATAATAATCATCTAGACACAATTCTGACATTATTTGATAGCTAAGACGCTCCCGTCCCGTGGTGATGCTTATTCCATCGATTTCAGTGGTCGCTCGCCCCGACCACACATGTATGCATGCGATATAGACAATAGAAGAAACTACTGTATACAATAACTCAGACACTCAAATGGCAACTGTTTGTATTAGAGGCAGTTGTTGATGCTGTTTGGTTTTGCTTAGCTTATGCCATATATCAGCGTTTTGTTTAGACTATTTAAAGTTGTTGTTTTTTTTATGGCAATTATATTCATGCCTCTCCCTTGTCTGTCTTTCTGTCCGATTTGTTTAGGCATGCCACAGAGAAAGCCGCTGTAAAGCAAAGCCCTGTCTGTTATCGCACTCAGCGGCGGCGGCGGCGGTACAACTCGCAGCGGCACTGATGTTTATGTTGGCTTTGGTCCCAATTCTGAGGCGTCCGCCCCGCTCTAAACTAGCACAAAATGGCGCGTGTTGTGTATTTGTTCAAGTGCTTTGTTTTATTCCGTGTCTGTTTAACATATGTGTGTATGATTTAGTTGCTGAATTCAAGCAATCTAGCAGTACAACCCCTGATATGTGGTGAATGCAGGGAAGTGGCTGTTGTTTTCCGATTTGGTTGGTCTCTTGTGAATGCGGAAGTTATGTATTTGTCGATTTCATTTCCTTTCATTGGGATTTCAGACCAGAACCGTTGCTGAACAAATGTTCATCAAGGCGACAATATTAAAAACAAAATGTTTTTATATTTTGATCCAATAAATGATTTACATATAGGCATATATTTTTTTTACGAAACATATAAATTGTCCAGTCTAGTTACATAATTAGCTTGCCTTGGACATTGACGCCCACAAGGCCCAGATCCGACGCAACCTTGTGCCATGATTCGAATTAGATACACACATACATATACTTATGGATATACTTGTATGTTGTATATATCGCGACAAAGGTCGCTTTTACTAAACGTGTTTCAATGTCAACACTAATTTTTTATTATTAAAATACATTTTGTCACACTGTGCAGGTGCGTACGCTCCGAGTAATTCTCAGCCCACAAAGGTCATTAAACGAAGTGCATGTTGAATAAAACCAAATTAAATTATTACAAAGGAAAATATAATGGGGGGAGACCAATGCCCCCGATTTGCAAATTAAAAAAGTTCATAACATTCACCTGCTAATTCTCTCTTATAATATCGATCATTGCAAGTTAAGATCTCTATTTATTCTCATAATTAAACTCATCATCATCATTGTTACTATTCACTAATCTTTTAATTTTTTTAAATGCGCTTCTGCAGCGTGTAAGTTTTGTTTTTAGCCAAAGGTTTTAAGTGTTATTTCAAATCGTTATCCCAAAAGAGGAGCTCAGACCGAGCTTTGGGAACACATTATATAAAAAAAGAGTTCGTCGCCAGCGTTTATTATCGTGAAAAGCACTGAGCAAACACATAATAAGCCACTTGGCGTTCGATATATTTCTCTATAGACGACAAACCATAACAGCGTACGAGTTGACTGACTGACCCATAGCCCAACAAATTAAATTTAAGGCTATATACTATATATATAGTCAGTTGCGCTGGTCGTCGTTGTCGAATGTACACTGTACAAAATTGTCGTATTGTTGAGGGTGTTTTGTTTGCTGTTTGCAAATTGTTGAAAGAATTGCATTAAGGTTGCGGAGCATTTGTCTTAATCAGGAGAAAACGGCAAAGTCCCTTTCGCCTGAGGCCCCACGACCGGTGTGTGCATCACAAGTAGCAAACAGTTAGTTTTATTTTCGGTTTCAATTGCGCGAGCAAGCGAAATACTCCTTGTGGCTATATAAGAGCGCAATTTAGTTTCTATTTGACCAATTTTCGAGCTGTAGATTGAGAGTTGTGTGCTGCACAAACTCGTTGATATCGCAAACCATTTGGTTGGTTTGAGCTTGAAATTTTAGACTTGGTAAAGCTGAAAATAAAATCAAACAAAGAACAAGAGGAACCACAATATTGTTGGTTCTTGGTTCAGATTTTGGCCTAGTTTTTTTGAAAAGACGCAACGAAGTTTTTTTCGCCGTCCGCAGAGACGAAAGAAATACGTGTCGTCACTAATTTCTATTTAAAAAACAACCACAACCATAATATATACAGGTACTAGGCCAGCCCTCACAATGTCTGTCCCTGTACGCTACTCTGCTGCCGCCGAATACGCCGTCGTTGATAGTGGTTTGGAAAATACTCTACAACAAGAAGAGCAATACCACCTACAACAACAGCAACACCAACAGCGCCAGCTTGAACTGCATCTGCAACTGCAACAGCAACAACAAGTGCAATACGAAGAGCAATACCAACAGGAGCAGGCCTTGTATTGCCAATTGCAATTGCAGCAGCTGGAGGCGCAGGCGTTGAGGCGGGAGCAGCAGTTGATGCAGCAGCGGTCATCGATGTCGTCGTCGGCAATGCTAAATGCGAAAGCCGGGTTGCCCGCCAACATTGTCAACAATAACAACAACAACAACGACATGGACGCCACTACCATTAATGCGATCCTGGCAGACGAGGCCGATGACGAACAACCATCAACATCGGCGCAGGCACAGGCTCAGGTGGCGGCCCTAAGGGCAGCGGGCGGCAACGCTAATGCTGGCATTGGCCACAATGCAGAGATGCGAACTGATTGGATGAGGATTGCGGATGAGGGCCGGTATGGGACACCGGGTGCTGCTGGCTTGGACTATCAACATCATCAAGAACAATTGGACGCTGATGGAGCCTCTGGCTCTGCTAGCAACAACATCAATGGCAATGAACCATTAAAGTCGAACGTGAGCAGCATGAAGACACTGGAGGATAACTTGCACTCGCTTACCTCGGATGAGCTCTACAACACGTTGAAGGAATATGATGCGCTGCAGGATAAATATCATACCGTTCTGCTATTGCCTAAGGAATCAAGAGTAAGTTTTCAATATTAATTGTCTTTGTCCGATACGATCCGAGCAAATGAAAAATATTTTATGACAAGATCTGATAGCGGGGAACTTCAAATATAAAGATATGTTTCAGGGATTGTATTTCGCTGTAGACGATATTTTTTGGCTCAGTCTACACTTAAAATTTCAAACTAAAACCTAAATGGTTTTCACTTAACTAACTCTTTTGTCTTTTCTCTTTGTCCATAGCGTGAGGTAACCGCCGGTGGTCGTGATGGCTCCGCTTACGTTTTGCGTTGCCTTAAAATGTGGTACGAGCTGCCCTCTGATGTACTCTTCTCTGCCATGAGTCTGGTGGATCGCTTCCTGGATCGCATGGCAGTTAAGCCGAAGCACATGGCTTGCATGAGTGTTGCCTCTTTCCATTTGGCCATCAAGCAGCTTGACTTGAAGCCCATACCTGGCGAGGATTTGGTTACAATATCTCAGGTGAGTTTGAACAAATGTAGCTTTGCTCATCGCCATCTCTACAACATGCCTTCTCCTTTTTGCTTTGTTCTGCCCCTTCAGTGTGGTTGTACCGCCGGCGACTTGGAGCGTATGGCTGGCGTTATTGCCAACAAACTGGGCGTCCAAATGGGCCATGCGCCCATTACCTCGGTCAGCTACCTGCGCATCTATTATGCACTCTTTCGCAATCTGGCCAAGGAGATTGGTGGCGATTTCTTCAAATTCTACCAGCAACTAATCAAGCTGGAGGAACTGGAGAATCGTCTTGAGATTCTGCTCTGTGATGTGAAGACCACGGTAATCACACCTTCGACGCTGGCACTGGTTCTCATCTGTTTGCATTTGGATTTCCACATCAAGGAGTCATACACCCGCGGCAGTCCCGAGCTAAAGCACGTCTTCGAGTACATCCTATTCTTGCAGCAGTACATGAGGGTAAGTTGCTAGCATCTCACCTAACCCCGTACATATGATCTGAGCTCATATTCCATGCTCTACACAGATTCCCGATCGCGTTTTCACCTGCGGCTTCAGCATTGTGTCAGGCATTTTGTCCCATTACAATGGCCAGAACAAGGCACCCTATAAGCAGCGGCTTGTCTGGAAGTTGTCCAGTCGCACGTTGCGAGTCCTGCGCCCGACCAATCGCTTCTCATCCGATTTACCCACCATTGAGGAAGGCATATCAAACGCTATGGACGATGGCTTGCGTTCGAGGTGAGTGTGAAGTCCTTAACGGATCGGGGGATCATCATAGGTTATAGGTTACATACAAATATATATCTTTAAACATTCAACTTGAGATTATAAACGAACAGCTACCAAATAGAGTGATCGGCCCACTTAACACCATTTTCATAACACAACAACATTAATGAATTTCTGCCTACAAAACGAAAACAAAAACACGCAACGCATTATTTTTAGCGCACTTATGTAGATTTTTGGACAAATACAAACAGACATACAAATATAGTCTACATAAATACACGTATACATACATTTATGTATGTATGTGTATGCGTGTGAGACCGATTTCGATCTGTTTGGCGTAAACAAGTTTCTAGAAATTTTGCGATTTCATTATCACGCAACAACAAAGCAAGAGCCAACGGGCCGACAAAAACACAACAACAATAGCGCAGGAATCTAAAACAGCAGATGCATAGTCATGAGACCTGTTGACTTGTACGCCCGTTTGCCAAAAGTCGTTTGGCTGTAGAAGCAGCAACAATGCATGGGGAGTGGTGGGGAATACTAATGTTAGGGCTATTGTGTGCTCTCGTTGTTTTTTGAACAACAACCTTATCAGCAGAGAAAGCATTTGGGAACGGAATGGAACGGGTAGGGTGGGGTTACTACGGCAGTAGTCTGGACAAACATAAGTAGTGCGCGCAAGCTCTCTAATGAATTCTAGAGAGAAGCCTAAGAAAATGTTAAAATGTTTACTTAATGCTTTGGGCATTTTCCAAATACCTCTTGCGTCATTTTCTTTGCGTGGGCTTCTGGTTTCATTAACTTTTATCCGATTTTCGAATATACTATATTCATTGTCAATGTCATTGAAAGACTTTTTCCATTCTCATTCTCTTTGTATTTTCCTCATTGTGTGTGTCCTAATGAAATTTACAATCTTATCTGATTTTAAGTATATCTGTGTTTGTGCTGTTTTTAAACACCAATTAGTCATAAACATTTCGAGTTCAATGCACTGTTAGACTTTAATACTCGACTGCGACTGCAGTGTCTACACTTGCTGAAACGCTTAATTAACGAGAGTGTACCCAACAACTGTTTGATAAGAAGGGCATTCATTATATTAGCTAGTAATGACGCTAACATTGACCTTCAATGCGTTTAATGCTATTGATTATGATGGGGTACCAGGATATATATGTATGTACATACATATGTATGTATGTATTTTCGATAATGAATTTCGCCACTGATAGAAGGAGAGAAGAAAGCCACCACACTTAGAGAAAACTTAAGTGGGATGCCGAATTACGGCAATTCTTCGATTCTTAACGGGGTATTATATTGAATTCCTTTGCATTCTCTTTCAGAACCGAGAGTATTAGCTCAGAAGAAGAGGAAGACTGGCCAACTTCACCCATAATTCCAATATTTGAACAATGTTAGTACCAGCAGCACACACTACAACAACAACAGCGAGCACATCCCAAGGACCGGGACAAATCTCCGTTGGAGGCAAGGCAGCAGGGTATATATCGAGTTACCAGACTTGGCAAATTGCTGATGGACCTTAAGCGGCCCTATAGCCCAGGAAACATATCTGCCGTAAGAACGCTGCCTACAAGTAACAACAAATCAACCGACAACAGCAACAGCTGAGCAATACCAACAACATCCACACCAACTGCTGCTAAAATGCGAGTGCGTGTATGTGTGTCTGTGTGTGAGGTTAGGGGTGTGTGTATATTTTGCTAAAATGCATCATAATTATTTAGCGTATACATATATATCTATAACTTATGCTGGTTCTAATATCTAAGAAACAACAACACTAAGAGGTGAAAAGGTCAGATCAGATCAGTTTAGCTTAGATGGTCGCTGCTGAAAGGCCACGCCTGTAAGCCCTCAGTGCCAGGCGACATTTATTTCGATTTATTTGCGACAGACAGAAAATGTGTTAAAAAAGAATCAAAATGAAAAAAAAAAAAATGATAAAAGGAAAAACAAATGTTGCGGACCATCATACAAAAGATTGATGTCGCTCCGGACCATTTTATTGAGATCAATGAGAAAAATGATTTAATGATGATGATGCTACCAACCAGGAAGCGTCTGGATGGGACAGCAATTTTTTGTTGGTTACGCTTAAAAAAAAAAAAACACAAATTTCTTTAAAATATTTCAAAAACAATACAAAAAAATATCTATGTTTACACCTCATATAAGTTTGTAAAGTATTTTTGTTCCAATTAATGTTTGTTTCGCTCTTACGTTTCCGTTTGTCTTCAATTAAAAACAGAAATCAAATTGACTTAAAAAATAAACAAAATAAAAAATCAAACAATAAAAAATATAAAAATTTATAAAAAGTACAAAAAATCCTTTATATATATATATATATACGTATATATATAAACAGGCTCCTAAACTAAGGTATAAAGTTAAAAACAATCTAACTTCAACTGAACAACCACATCAGCAAGTTTAAGCCGCACCCGAAAGAAAAAAAAAAACAAAATTATACAAAAAATACGATAAAAAAAAGAATTTGCATTAACAATTTGCGCCCATAAGTTTATGACTTTAACTAAGAAATCTATTATTAGCAACAGCAATAACCGTATAAACCATATGTAGTTGTGTGTAGTAGATTTTTCTCAAACAATAAAAAAGAAAACAAAAGCAAGCAACTTTAAGAATAAACAACAAACAATCAAATTTAAATCACCCGCAAGCAACACTTTAAATTCTAGTTCTTAGTCAAATGCTAAACACTTTTGTTATTATTTATTTAACGAAAACGTGCAACTTTTTTGAGAGCTCCGTATCCTCTCCGACTCTCAATCGATGTCCCCGAGACAAAAAGTATGGAATGTGTTGAGCGCTGTTCAAGAACCGTTCGAGCCGCCAATGCAATATTTCAGAACCCACGGTGATCTTTTTATATTTACATACGTATTTTCCTTTTTTTTGTTATACATTATATTACTTAATTTATTTAAAAATAAAGGCACATCCACTTGTAAAAACGTAACGAGCCCAATTCAATTGTACTATATTTAAATAAATATTTTAGTCTAGGCTAAATTTCTAAAAACAAAAACAACCGGCGACAAAAAACGCAGCTCCAATTTTCATTTTCATTCTTTTACAATCTTTAAAAGTTTAAGCAAAATTATGATGCATCGATTAGTGAATATACACAGAGAGAAACAGTAACAGAAACTGTAACAGTTACAACAGAGAGAGAGGGACGAACCACTTGTTTTCATAAGTTTTAGGCTAAGTGAAGCCAAGATAAATAAGAAAAAAGCTACCGCAAATGACTCTAAAATGACAAAAACTGCAAATTATTTCACGCAATTGTGCAAATGGCCAGAAAGGTCGCCACCACCATGTCTGTAAATTTGAATAAATGCGCGTGTCATTGTGTCTCAGTGACATCTAATTTTCGCGAAAATGTACAACATAACAAATGTTTTATTTACCTTTGTGTGCGTGTGTCTGTGTGTTTTATGTTATATTATATTATATTTATACAGACCCAATTGTGGGCAGCGAGCACTCCGTTCCATAGCCAATGGCTGACAACATAATGTGAGTACAACATCAGTCTCCAATACCAATTAAACGAAAACAATTAAAAACAAAAGACAAATTCACGCTCCAGAGTGTGCACCTAACAACAACACACTGGCAAATGTAAATGAAATAATTGATCTTGCTGTACATTTTCACACATGTAACTACATTTATAATACCTACTGAAATACTATAACTATGTATGTATATGAATATGCAATAGTTGTTGCCACACTCTCCCTAAAAAGAGAGAGACTTTTGAAACATTTCCACCAAGGCAGAGCCAATATTTATTATATTGAATCAAGATCAGGCCGGCATCGATAATTGGCGAAAGCGAAACTATTTTGATAGTATTTAAGTGACAAATGTGTGTTCATTGCAAGGCAAACATAAGTTGCTGCAAAACATTTTTAAAACATATTGTTAGAGTTACTTTTAATACTGATACCGATACTGACAGGTGACAAATAATGAGAGAGGCAAGGTTTTAGTGCTAAGACGATCGATGCTGATGTTGATGCTGTCAACTGGAGATATAACTCTTTTTCAAACATGTATGTACTCGTATTTAAAACTAGTGAATTTTACATTGTATTTAGAGCGGAGTTAGTTAAATATTTGCGTGAAGAAAGCTAAGTACTAAAAAACTTTACTCTTTTGTAAAACCAAATCTCAATTAATTAAAAATTGACTTTTATTTTAGTACAAAATTATGTGAAGACATGTAATTAAATGTTAGTTGTATGTACTTCAATGTTGAAATGAAAAGCTCTGCACTTATTCTCATTTCATTTAATATTAATTTCTATGTTTGCTTTTTAAAAGTGTAGGAGTGCGCTGAATTATGCATTAGAGTGCAAACTAGGACAAAACTTTCAAAGCGGAGTTTGTTGCACGGCAACAAAATTCATGAATGCAGGTCCTAATTTTGTAATGGAGACAAGGAGAGAATATTAATTAACCAATTCTGTAAATTTCCCATTTATTTATTTTATTGATCTAAGTTCGCAATTAGTTATAATACTATGTATTAATATTATTTCCACGACTATCGTGTGAACAAGCATTAAGAACAAAAACTGATCTTTGTGGAATAACATCCGAAAGTTGTTTGAAAACAACAAAAAAGTGTGATTTAAATCATTGTACACACATTATAAAAAATATATGATAAAAAGTATTATTTAATCGTAAACCTAAAGATATGTATGTACCTTTTTCAAACCGGTTTGTGGAATTAAGGTAAGTACTCTGGGCGCATTAGATTCAGTTTTTGAAACTTTGCAGTTATCTGTATCGGTTTAAATATTTAATTATTGAAAAAATAAGTAATTTAGGAACAGAGTGGCACAAATTGAAGTCCTTGTGTAGTTAGAAATTCGTATGTAACTAAAGGTCTAATTATGTCCAAATACAGGAAAGTAATTATAAATGGGAAGAAATCTTTTCGTAATATGTAAATTCAGCCGTTTTCAGCCCCACTTTGTTGATTGACTTATTTGTATATTTTAAAAATTGTCGCTATTAATCATTTTAAAAAAACGAATAGAAACATTTAAACATAAGTATGTATGTATTTCTTATACATATGCAAGTACGAGATTATACAAACTGGCACCCTTCCAACAGCTGTTATTGTTTTATTGTGTTAGTGCTGGAAAGCGGCATGATAAAAATACCAAACACAACACTGTGGTACTTTTTTTGTGTGTTAGTAACTCTATTCGCCTGTGTAAGCAACTCTGCGCTCTGTTTTGCTTGGTGTTGGCAGTGCTATAGTACATAACCTTCCTTTTCTAAATAATTTTTGTGCTGTGTACACGTGTTCTCCACAATGGCACCCGTCGAAAAAGCTAAAAAGGCCGCTAAATCGGCCAAAAAGGGCAAGAAGCACCCACTGAACTCGTACCTTAAAGGTGGTATTTTGCGCTACTCAAAGAGTCAGGTTCGTACCATACATACAACGTCGGGAAATGTAAAAGCAAGAAAAACACATTGTGAGACGCCGATGTGTACTAAAACAACAATGTTCGGATAAAACATTTCATTGAATTGATCGTGTTATTTTTTCACGTTGCAGATGTACAAGCGCCGTGCGCTGTACCGTTTGAAGGGAAAGAAACACCCAGTCGTGAAGAAGGAGAAGGTTCCCATCAAGAAAGTGAAGAAGATCGGAGGCCCCAAGAACGGCGGTGAGCGTACTGTGTACCTACGCAAGCCCAAGGCTAACTACCCGACCAAAACATTCGTGAAGAAGCGCCCAAGCAAGGCCAACTTTAGCGAGCACAAGCGCAACACGCGCCGCAACCTGAAGCCTGGTACTGTGCTCATTCTGCTGGCTGGTCGCCACCAGGGAAAGCGCGTAGTGCTGCTGAAGACACTAAATTCTGGTCTGCTCCTGGTGACTGGTCCGTTTGCGCTTAACTCATGCCCCTTGCGTCGTGTTTCCCAACGCTTCGTCATCGGCACGTCTACGCGTGTGGACTTGGGCTCATTCCAGGTGCCTGAGCACTTGAATGACACCTACTTCCGTCGCCTGAAGGCAAAGAAGGAGAAGAAGTCTGGCGAAGCAGATATTTTCGCTGCCAAGAAGGAGCGTTTCGTGCCTAACGAGCAGCGCAAGAAGGACCAGAAGGAAGTGGATAGCGCCCTGCTGAAGGCCATCAAAGCTAATCCCGATGGAAAATTCTTCAAGAAGTACTTGCAGAACATGTTCGCTCTGCACTCCTCCCAATACCCTCACCGTCTGCGCTTCTAAGCTTCCGGCGTCTGCAACTTCAATTTAAGGATTTTTTAAAACTTTGTACAAGCCCCGCTGATACACAGAGAGTTTGTAAAATAAACTTTACAAATTTATGGAACACTGTTAAGGTATGAGGAAACCTGCAAGCGTCTTATTTATTTACATTTATAACTTCATTCGATTTAATTTGCTCCTCCTGTGCCTTCTTCATTGGGTACACGGGCAGCAGATCCAGAGCGGCCAAAAATTTGCGACGCCCATGTATGTACCAGAGGGTCTCCTGGTAAGAGCGCGGGAGGACCTCATCAACGATCTTGTCCGCTTTGTATGTAAGATAGAAAGCGTTCGTTGTGAGTTCCTCGCCGCTATGCGAATCATATATGTGAGCCACTGTCATTATTTGCATGTAGTTCTGGGCCGTGTACACCACATAGGCGGTCATTTTTAAAAAGGAATTCACTTTGACAGCATTCATGAAACTAATGTCCGAGATACACTTGAGCATCGGCCGACCGCCCACGTAGATGCTGGCCGTGATGAAACTAATCTCAACCGCATTTCGCATAATGTAGCCACCGAATATCGTGTTTTGGGCGTTACGGTTCTCGGGGAACGGGTTAATCATCGTCGTTTGGTATGAGTCGGCCATCCAGCGACACTTGGGTGGCAGTACGCGCCGGTTCAGCTCCATTGTGTTTATAGGCGTTGTGCGCCGAAATAAATCGTACATAAGTGTCTGCTCATATTCAAAGGGCGGCGCATTAAACACGGACTCGGCTTGAATCGCTCTGCGCTGCTTTTGTCGCTTGTTCGCTTCTTCCCAGTAACATTGTTCCAGCTCGTTGGCGGGCTTCAGAGAATTGACCGGAGCCGGACCAGTGTTTGTCGCATTTCTGGCAACCATTAAGAACAGCGCCTTTGTAATGGTCCAAATCTCGCCATGTGCTGTTTGTCGTACATAAATGGTAATCTCCATGGAGCTGCGGCCAGTCCAAGAAATGTGTCCACTGAGATGTATGTCTGCATTGGCTCTAAGACGCTCGGCATTCCAGAACTCCACCTTGTCTACGGCCAGCGTTACAAAGGTGTAGGGCAACGGAATATCCTTCGGCAAGTCTGGTATCTTGATATGACGATGACACAGCCACACTGCAAACATGTCCAACTCTTCCATGACGCGTCCCAAGCGCACACGACCCAAATGATTGATGTATCGCTCCCGTATACCCTGCAGTTTGTTGCATTACATAGTAATGTACATGGTTTAAATAAACAAATGTACATTACCTCATCGGAGTTAAGCGGCAGTATCACTGTCGTAAACGAGTCCTTCATACTGCGCGGTGGCAGACTCTCAGGTTTTGGTTGATGCTTTAGTAAATGTTCGCGTGACTTTGGTATGGTGTGGTAACCCAACTCGACACCGATTTGCTTTCTTATCTTCTCCACAACTGCGTCACAGAAAGATTTGAAAAAAAAAACAGTTGATTGTCTGTGATATGTTCAGGAGCATACCTTCGGCCAGCGTGCCGGAAACGTGATCCGAGCCCAGCCCGACATCGTCATTTAACTGTCTCAGGCCGAAGTAGAGAGTAGTGTATGAGGACGGCCTAAAATGGAATACATGGTTAGCTGCCCCATTAGAGTATTGTTTCATTTCAGTGCCATTGCCAACAAGTACTTCATTGCCAAACAGCCGTGGGGCCTCAGCCTTGGTAACAGGCGCTGCATTCTTCAAATTTTGCTGGCTATGTTTTACACAATTAATTTTTTTAAATTTGCTGTTCGATTTTGACTATTTGACTTTATTCGAAAAAATGAACACATTCACATCACGTAATGATAACTAAACGTTGCCGACTAGAGTGCCATTAGAACTGTTTCACTACTTTGTATTTCCCCATCGCTCGGAGAGCGTTGATTTCCGACGGCCGCGAACGACTATGCCGCTCGTCGCTCGCTAATGATGCAGCAGTTTCTCGATTGCGGCATAGGGTTAGAGACAACCTGCCAACCAAGCATTTGGCAGTCGTAGTCGGACGAGTATTCAAATCGCCCATCAGCGCTGTTGAAAGAACAGGGGCTGCTACAGCCTTTGCATATTTCTGTCTTTTGTTCTTTCTACACAACTTAGATAAATAAATAACATTTGAGTACAGTGTACTTATCTATTGGATATTGGATATATGGAGAATCTTGATAACAATTTAATTAATCATTTATAGAAAGAGACAAACCATCAACAATGTTGTATGTTTGGATTTTTGAACCATGACCTTTTGCTTGGAAGCATTCTTAATACGCAGAAAGTTATCAACATTATGATATATTTTGGATAAAGAAAGTGATTACATCCAGTTAGTTCAACGTCTACAACACACCATCATTCGAAGTTTCTTGAAAAATATACAGATAGACAGAGTTATTTGTGCGGATTATTTGCCAGTTGACCACTGCATTAATCCATAAATTCAACAGTTTATTAACAATTAAGCTAGTTTATGCAACACACAAGCAATATCAATTTAATAAGCCTATGAAGAGTAGAGCTGTTAGTCTTTTAAACAAATGCTATTCGAACTTTCTCAACTAAAATTTCTAAGAATAAGCAGAAAATGCTGAATACTATTTCCAGTATTTGAACTAAAAAGCACGACTTTCTTCATCGGAGAGTGCAGAGAGAACATGGTTACAGATATTAGTTACAGTGGGTGTTTAGAGTCGGCATCGTAAACGTGTTATCTCTCTAATTTAATCCCATGCTATACTGGAACTTGCGACGGCCTTGTATGTACCACATGGTCTCGTGATAGGAGCGTGGCAGCACCTCAGTGACAGTGTCGGGAGCCGAAAATGTATAGTAGAAGGTATTGGTCGTCTGGTTGCGGTCCCCGCCAGAGCTCGTATCAATGACCTCTGCCACTGTCATGATCTGCATGTAGTTTAGCTTGGTGTAGACAACATAGGCGGTCATTTTGATGAAGGAATCTACGCTAACGGGTTTCTCGAAGCTAATGTCTGCAATGTGCTCCAGCTTAGGACGTGTCTTGCAGTAAAGGAACGCAGCAGCCCAACTGATCTCTAGGGCAGTGCGCATGAGAAAACCGCCGAAGACGCGATTATGATGATTGCGGTTTTCCGGGAACGACGGCACAGTGCTCATTTGATATGAGTCGGACATCCAACGGCTATTGGGCGGCAAAATGCGTTTATTCAGCTCCATGGTATCGGTGGGTGTGGTCCGTTTGTAGAGCTCGTACATAAGTGTCTGCTCCGGATCGTTTGGCTCCACCTTGAAAATGGACTGGGCGCAGATGATCTGACGCTGGCGCTTGCGATCCATTCCGCCGGCCAGTATTTTTATCTCCTCTTCGTTTGCAGGCTGAATAGGATTGACGGGTGCGGCCGCAGAGTTGGTGGCATTGCGCGCGGCCATGAGGAAGAGGGCGCGTGTCAACTTCTTATAGCTGCCATCCTGCTTTTGCTCCAGCCAGACAACGACCTCCATAGAGCTGGTGCCTACCCATGAGACGTGGCCAGACAGCCGAATATCCTCGGTGCCCTTCGCCACCGTGCTCGTGAAGTCGATGCGATCCACCAGTATGGTGACGAAGGTGTACGGCAGATGCACATCCGCTGGCAGCTGAGGCACGGCCAAATGTTTGTGGCAACACCAAGCTGGTGGAGCAGAATGAATTGACAAAAGCCGGAGCTTACGGGTACTAAGACTTCCGACTCACCCGCAAACATATCCATATCCTCCAGTAATCGGCCCATCCGTACATTCCCCAGATAAGTTACATATTTATCCTGTAGCACGCGATCTGTGCTCAGCGGTATAATCGCAGACGTAAAGGAGTCCTGCATGGCCCGAGGCGGCAAATCCGCCAGCTTCGGCTGGTACTTAAGCAGATGCTCGCGCGACTTAGGCAATGGCTGATAGCCCGGCTCCAGGCCCAAGCGCTTCATCATTGTCTGCTTAACTGTTCAGATTTTTCAAATATATTGAGCTTTCCCTATAATGTTTTTGTACCTACCCTCCGCCATTGTGCCCGATTCGTTTGGCACCGCCGACTCTTTTATGTGAGTGGGTGGCGAGTATTGCCGTCTTCGTAAATAAAACTTTGCTGCGTATATAGGACATCAAAATTATGAATCACAGAAACACTTACATGAAAACTGCCGCTCGCCATGGCTGTGCCGGACTCCCTAACTTTCTAATGTCAGTCAAGTAATCTGGCCTTGAAAAGCCGTATTTTGTTGCTCCGAACAGCGAACGGAACATCTTGCCTCTGAGCGATTTTATTTAATACTTAAGAGCGTATTTGTTAAATGCGTGTATGAAGAAGATACACACACATACAGAAGTATACAGAAGTATAATCAAAAATGAGCAAACATGTGGGCCCAGACTACCACAGCTGATGGCTCCCCCAGCGCACAGTGGGTGACACGAGAGATTGCGTGAGTAAACCTTAACGTAGATTCATAGCTTAGCTGGGCACAGTTCGTCTCATTGTACAAATCGTCAAAATATAAAGAAGCTTACGAACACTCAGGAAATTTAATGAAAAATGATGCGGTGTCAAGGTTAAAATTCGCAGATTTGTAGTTTGATATCAGAGCGTACACAAATATAAATATATGGATGGACATTGCTTATTGTATACTATCACTTGAAAGGACGTACTTCTAATAGTACATTTCATTATTTTTGTATTACTATATAGTGTCTATAATGATTAACAAATTAATTGTTACAAGTAAAAACAAAATAAACTTAACGAACATCTAAATGATCATTCAAAGGAATTTTTAAACCCAATTATAAGCAATCTTATCTAGCGAAAGAATAGTTTCAAGCACTAGATTACCAATATTTCAATATTTTCTATGTCGCGCTGTTCTTGAATCCTATTCAAATGAACTAATATTATTAAGTTATTCGATATTAAAGGAAATCGAATAAATTCGTGAGATACATATGTAAAAAATATATTACTAGTTTTATATGTACAATGGATATTTGTATTAGTTATTATTCGTGTGTATGAGTATAAGAGTAAGGTTTACAAAGTAGAACGTTTGAAATGAAACGATTAGTTCTTGTGTGCTTATTTTGGGTATTTTGTTAGTAAATTTTCACATCCTCGGCCCCGGCAAGCTCGATTGGATTTCCAAAGGGTAGAGAAGTTGAACAGGCCGGCGCAGGATTTGTTGATTCTTTGATCTGATGTCGCAAGCTCTAGTTCTTCCATCTCGTCCAGTGTATGTTTTGACTACTACACCAAGTTTCCATAGTAGTCGCGCCTGATTATCATCGTGCACCAGTACGACGTCACCTTCAGTTAAGCTTCGACTCGGTTTTGACCTGTTAAAATAAAGAGTTCGTAATTGAGCGAGGTATTCCTCGCGCCAACGCTTTATGTAGCGCTGCATCAAATTGGTTCTGTGGCGCCACATTTGCGCCAAATTGCTTCCATCTGTCGTGAAGCCTTCACCACCTAGTAGTTTGGCCTCTCCCATAAAGTGAGCTGGTGTGAGAGGCTCTAAATCGTTAGAGTCAGTGGTGATGTACGTAAGAGGTCTTTGGTTAACTACGCATTCCACTTCGGTGAGCAGTATCTCCAAGCTTGTTTTGCTAAGGCTAGCTTTTCCAATGGCAGCTCTTAGGCAGCCTTTTACAGTGCGCACAAGTCTTTCCCAGAATCCGCCCCACCAGGCTGCTCGTTCTGGGATAAACTGCCAATTTATACCTCCATTGGCCGCATATTGTTGAATCTTGCTGTTTTCCATCAACTTCTCCAGTTTCTGCAGTTCCAGGCTGGCTCTTTTGAACGTCTTTGCATTGTCGGATATTATAGTTTTGACCGGTCCTCGCCTTGCTACAAATTTACGAAGCGCACCTATGCAGCTTTCGACAGTCATATCCGCTACCAGCTCCAAATGTACACCGCGTATAGCAGCGCAAGTAAATAGCATAATGTAGACTTTACGGTTGCTTGGTCCCTCTTCTGTTGCTATATAAAGCGGACCAGCAAAATCCAGTCCTGTTGTTTCGAATGCCTTGCTTGTAGTCAATCGATTCGTTGGTAGAGTTGTCCAAGGTTCGGATGCGCTCTTGCCATGTAGCCGTCTGCACACCACACACCTGCCCAGTACGTTCTTGATCAGCTGGCGCCCTTTTATTATCCAAAATCGTTTGCGAATTTGTGTTAATGTAGCGTTTATACCACAATGCATTATTCTCTGATGAGCATCTCTAATAAGCAATTCTGAAAAATGTGAATTTTTCGGTAAAATTATTGGATTATATAGCGTTTCAAAATTATGGTTGGGTAAACGCCCTGTAAGCCTCAATACTCCATCAGTCATGGCTGGATTTAAGCAGATGATCCTTGAGTCTCTTGGCAAGTCTTTTCCGGATTTCAGTGCTTCAATTTCGGGTAAGAATTCTTTTCCTTGTATAAAACGAATCCAATATAGCTCGGCTGCCTGTAGCTCTGCAAATGATAGCGCCTCGTTGATCTCGTTGTGTGTGTCTACTCCGTTAGTTGTGCGTTTTCGGAGACGTTCTATAAAACGTAACACAAAGCCGGTCACCCTAAGCATTTTTCGCAGTGTGCTATATCGTTGAACAGGAAATAGTGGTTCCGCTTTGCTGCCAAGATCGTCTTCTTTCTCCCCTACGACAGTTAAAATTGTATTTATGGTTGGCCATTCGTGGATTGTCAATTCAAGCCATTTTGGGCCTCGCTTCCAAAGTTCTGATCCTAGGAGCCTTTTAGCTGTTATACCGCGTGTCAGAAGATCAGCTGGGTTGCAATTTCCTTGACAATGTCGCCACTCGTATATATTTGTGAGTTTGTTTATTTCGGCCACCTTTGATTTAATTGAAGACATTGGCTGCCCGCATCCTGAAATCCAGTTTAGCACAATGCTTGAGTCCGACCACATGTAGGTCGAAGAGACGCCGAGCTTTAGCTCCTTCTTTAGATATTGAGCAAGTCTAGAGGCCACCACTGCTGCCGTAAGTTCAAGTTTCGGTAAGGTGGCTCCACTACTCTCTTTGATTGGGCTTACTCTATTTTTTGAGCAAACAAATTTTATTTGTATTTCGCCATTCATCCCCACTTCTCTTAAGTAAGCGACGGCTCCATAAGCAGCAGGGCTTGCGTCAGCGAAAATGTGCAGTTCTAGGTCAGCCATATTCCCCGACACCATACACCGCTGCAGGGAAAAGTCTTCAAGCAATGCCATATCCTCTCGCCAGGCCATAAACTCGTCTGATAGTCTCGTGCTGAGTGTTGCATCCCATTCTAGATGCTCCTTCCATATCTTTTGGAGTAAAATTTTTATGTTTATTGTAAATGGACCGAGAATGCCCAATGGATCATAAATTCTGGCCATAGCTCGTAATACGTTGCGTTTTGTTGGACGTAGACTCTGAACATACGTTATGATCGGTTTTATGTCTACGCTCAATTCGTCAGTTATAGTGTCCCATTGGACTCCAAGCACCTTTTGAACTCTTGCTAAATTTACATCAGTTTCTTTAAATTTCCTTTTCAGTTCTGCATCGTTAGAGTTCCATTTTCGCAAGTTAAAGCTTGCGCCTTGCATGATGATCTTTGATTGGTAGTAAAGATCCTCTGCATCCCTTAATGTAGCCACGCTGGTTACCAAGTCGTCAACATAAAATGAGTCTTGCAGTTTCTGGCATATGGCTGCATGCGCCGGATCCTGCATTTGCAAGTGCTGCTGAATTGTTGACGTCAATAAAAATGGGCTGCATGTTACTCCAAATGTAACACGTGTCATTCGATACTCCGCAATTTTCGGATATGGTGTGCCAATAGATGCTACTGATGCATACCAAAAGAACCGGTGGTAATCACGATCGGATTCATCTATAGATATTTGCAGAAACGCCTTTTCGATATCCGCAACGATAGCAATTCTATGGCAACGAAATCTTATTAAAACAGCAGTTAAATCTGTTAATAAATTGATACCTGGGCTAAGATGATCATTCAATGAAGAAGCTCCATGTTCGCTGGCTGAGGCATCGAAAACAATGCGCACCTTAGTTGTCGCTTTGTCGAGCCGATAGACCGGATGATGGGGCATATAGTATGCCTTCTGGGTTTCACCCAAAACAGGCGCTGCTTCAGCCACGCCACTACTCAATAGCTCTCTGATGCCAGCATCGTATTCCTCTAATTTATCAGAATTTTTGAGCAATTTATTGCCCAAACTGCTTAGCCGATTCTTTGCATTTTGTTTGTTGTCATGCAAATTGTCCTTTGGAAGCTTCCATGGTAAGAGCACTGAGTAACGCCCGTCTATATGGCGTATTTCGGCTGCCTGTACTGCAGCTTGCGGTTCGGAGTACGACGATATGCCAATACTCTCCAAATTCCAAAATTGCTCAATGTCGAATGCTTCGCGATGCTCCAGAATATTTAAAACGCACCTTGATTCGCCTTGACCTTCCCCATAATGACCTTGTATTGTCCAACCGAAGAAAGTTTCTACTGCGACTAAGTTTCCTGCTAATAGTTCACGATTATTGTTATTAAATTTCCAGTAGTTGTCTTGACCAATCAGTAAATTAATGCCTGGAATTAGCTTTTCTTGGGCTACAATGCTTTCAGCCATATTTTTGTTCGATTGTTTATTTAAACGCGGCACAGGCAATACATCTTCGCATATGTTCGGCACTATAGTTGCATAAATCTCCACGGTTTCATCCGAGTACTGACTCTTTACATTAATAATTGTGCGTTTGAATTGTGTGGCCCGTGATTGTTTATCAGTTTGGCCGAATGCGACGATTCTAGTTCTTTCCGTACCTACGACCGGCAACTTTAAATGTTTTGCTAAACGTTCCGTCACGTAGGTGCATTGGCTCCCGTTATCCATTATAATCCGGGACAACACCTTTATTTCACCACTTATAAGAACCGCCTTGGCTGTTTGTAAATAAATCTCATTGTTTACGCGATGCACCATTGTACTGAGTGTCGCCGTCTCTGTGTGTTGTTCTTGTTCACCGCCTTGTTTCTGATTTGCCTTGCCATCGCACATAGCTGTAATGTGCCGCCCGCTACAAATTGAACATTTTAAATGCTGATTTTTACAAAATCTTGCCGTATGATTTGGTTTAGCGCACCTGAAACAGCTTCCCTTACTACGCAATATCTTTTTTCGCAACTCAATGCCTACTGTCTTATCTTTACACTCCTTCGTGTCGTGATTCGTACGTTTGCAAAATATGCATTGTTTTTGTTTCGCTTGTTCGACAGCATATAGCCCTACTGCCGTCGCATTGCCAGCTGCTCGCGTGATTTTGGTTTCCTTGCCGTCTCGTTCTCTCTTATCCCTATTTCCAACTTCGGACAGTTGCGCTTTCTCTAATGCTTCGACTTCGACTTTTATGTACTCCAAAAGTACAGTTAGTTGATCGTTTGACTCAATTACTGTAGAACTGAGCGCTTTGTGCGAGAGTTCCTCTCGTTTGCGTACTCTATGATATTCTATGCGCATGTCAACTGGAATTGATTTTAGAAGAAGTGAACTAACCATAATCTCATATTGAGACGTGGAAACTCCAAGTGCCTTTAATGTTCTTATTGTTGCCTGCGTTTCATTATATAGTTGGCGCAGACCCCTTACGTCATTGTTTGACTGGACGGCCTTCACACTTAACAATTTTTGCACATACCTCTCAATTATTTTTTCTGTGCTTCCATACTCTTCGAGTAGCAGCTCGACGGCATCTTTATAGCATGTTTCGGACGGAATAAAACCTTCAAGAACTGCGGCTGCTTCACCTGTTAGAGCATCATTTAAATAATTAAATTTTGCGACTGCATCTAACGAGCTATTTTCATGCACTGCTATTTTAAACTGCTCCCAAAAGGGTATCCAATTTTCGAACGATCCGTTGAATTTCCTTAGCTCGATTGGCTTTAATTTCGTGAAGCTCTTATAACTGTTGTTGCCTTCCGTTTGTCGCTCATTTTCAAGGCCTCTCTCGTTGTGGCCCGTTATAGGGTTTTGAGTGGAAATGGCCTGATGAGCCGATATCGCCATGCGGTGCAGTCTATATTCCAACTTAGCGACTGTACTTACAGCACGGTCATCATATTCAATAATTACGTCATAATCTCTTTCCTTTTCATCTTCGCCAAATGGCGCTGACAAAGCTTGCTCATCTGCACATTTTAGGTTTGCGTGTGCGTTTTTTAGTCGTTGCACGTACACGCTCAAGCCCTCCTCAGTGACATCCTCGGCCACCTTGAGGTACTTGTCGATATTATTACACAACTTGGTTAGTTGTGTTCTGCATGTGGATCTATAAGCGGGATCCATCTTTTTGATTATATATCCAATCAACGCCTTGAGTAACTGAAACACGCCCGTTAGTTATTCGTCTTGATTATATATGTCTAATCAACCTCATTAATTTTAGAATAACGACAGACACTGCGTTCCCGGGTTTCGGCACCATGTAAAAAATATATTACTAGTTTTATATGTACAATGGATATTTGTATTAGTTATTATTCGTGTGTATGAGTATAAGAGTAAGGTTTACAAAGTAGAACGTTTGAAATGAAACGATTAGTTCTTGTGTGCTTATTTTGGGTATTTTGTTAGTAAATTTTCACAACATAAAGAGATGTGAAAAAAATTAACTCCGTAAAAGCCTGCAGACTGGTAGGTTTCGGACACATCAGGTAGACTCCTCGGCCCTCTTATGTCGACTTAATTTTTGAGTTCCTTATCTTGGATCTTATTTCCATTTATCTTGCCTAATTGCACAATTGATTTCGCTGAGCACGATCGTTTGCGGGCCATTCGTTCTAATTATAATGATCTTTTACATTTACTTTCGACAGAACTCTATATTCTATAAAAACTGTCCTTTATATTTATCTCCGGGGAAGTCTCTAGCCATTTACTGCTTAGAGTCGGGCCACAAATCAATTTTTCCTCCACCGGGTCGGAGATTTTCCTTTTCTCTTTCTGCTCCTTACTTGATCGAAGTAGTAGAATTAAGTGTTCTCCTCTACTAGCTCATTTTTGTTAGGTTGTTAATCGGTTGTTAATTTATTATAAAATACTTAGTATACGAATAAAACATCTTTATTGCAATTTGTTTCGACCTCACAATTTGTTGAATTATTTAAATAAAATGGCTAAGGACGGATATGTTCCCCTGTTACCCTTAAATACATGTTAACAATCTTTATAGGATCTTCGGCAAAGGCCCAAAAAAGATATCCCAAGAAGGCTAGTTAGACCACATCAAACTACATTTGCTGAGCTAAAAATTTAGGGAATGACTTACTTACACATAGACGTAAATACAATATATTACAAACATAAATGGAGTTCCGCGAAGGCCAAAAGATACGCCCAGTTGCAAGCGGCGGCAAAGGACTAAAGGGTATAGTGGCGGGCGGCATTACGGGAGGTATTGAAGTTATGATTACTTATCCCACTGAGTTTGTGAAGACCCAACTGCAGCTGGATGAGAAAGGTGAGTATGGAAGACTATAGTTGTGCGCCCTTTCCCCCTTATATCGTCTGCGACTAAAGGCAAAGCTAAGAAGTATACGGGAATAGTGGACTGTGTGGCGAAAACTATTAAAGAGCGCGGCTTCTTTGGCTTATACCGTGGTCTAAGCGTCCTCCTCGTAGGCAGCATTCCCAAGTGTGCCGTCAGGTATCTTCTCTCTTGCCTGATGGCACATAAAAGAAGAAAACTCATAAATCCTTTTACTTACGAAAGGTTCGGCGGCTACGAGTTCTTCAGCCATCTATTGCAGAATGACGATGGCAGCATACCAACATCACGCCGATTTCTGGCGGGCATGTGTGCAGGCATATCCGAAGCATTTTTGGCAGTGACCCCAATGGAAACAGTTAAGGTGAAGTTTATAAGCGACATGCGCAGCGGCAATCCGCAGTACAAGGGCCTAATACATGGCGTCGGAAGGATTCTCAAGACAGAAGGTACAGGTACAACTAAGAATGCGATCATTTGATTAGAATACCCGACCTCTTAGGTATTGGCGGCCTGTACAAGGGCTTGCCGGCCACAGTTGTCAAACAGGGCTCTAATCAGGCCATACGATTTGCTACGCTGTACTCCCTTAAGGATTGGTACACCGGTAAAGATCCGATGGTTACAGTGCCAAAGCCACTGGTTGGCGCATTTGGCGCTATAGCCGGACTGGCCTCTGTGCTGGGGAACAATCCAGTGGATGTTGTCAAGACGCGCATGCAGAGCATTGAAGCGTCCAAATACAAGGGCAGCTGGGATTGCTTCTTTACAACTTTACGCGAGGAGGGTCCATTCGCATTCTATAAAGGCACCTTACCACGCCTTAGTCGAGTTTGCATCGACGTAGGCATTACTTTTATGCTTTACGATACCATTATGGATATATTTAAAAAAGTTTGGCGATAAGAAGACGCAGTGAATATCATTTAAACTTTTTAATATTTCATTTTATAATAGAACATTTTAAAACCCAATGCCTAAAGATTCAATTCCTTTAGGGCAAAGTTTAACACAACAGACAGCATGCCTACCTCTTCGAGTTCCAGAATCTGTTTGCGCAAGTTGTCCACCTTCTGAGCGCTGATCAACTGCAAATAGATGGATAATGATTTAGTGCCACAATTTCCTTATATGTATTAAATACATTTTTGTTATAACGATAAAATCTTTGTGGTGTACCTTCTTGATTTTTTCTCGATCCTCAACACTCTGACAGAATGAGAGCAATACAGCTGCCATGTGTGGTCGATGTATAAGCATGCACAGTTCAGCGAATTGGCAAAGATTTAGGGCATGAACCACTGGACAGCTCTGTAGACGCAGCAGAGTTTTATGCAGTTTTTCCTCCTGCGCGAAGGAGCGAGTCTGAACCGCATTCTGCAGAGGATGGCACAGCACGCAGTCCCAAGCCAGGGCCAGACCCTCGGTGTGCAAAAGCTGAGGCTTGCAGGAGAGCACATCGACAAGAGCGTTTAGCTCCCTCACCATATTGGCCATCACCATGCGCTTGAATATGCCGTTCCAGATCTTGGGCAGATGTATGTTAAATCCCAGACAGATGTTTGCCATCACTTGCAGGGAAAGTGGATTCTGGGCATTCCGCTGCCAAATCATCTTCAGAATGTCGATCTTATTGCAGTGTTCGTCGGCAAACTTTTCAATGTTCGTCTTGTACCCCAATGCGTTCAGTTCGTGAACACATTTTATTGTAATATATTGCCGCTGCTTTATCCTGTTGTTAAAGTAGCTGCTACCATCGTTTAGCTTTGAGTAGCACTCGTACATCTGTAGTTGGTTCGAGGTATTCACAGAGCTAGAAACAAATTAAATGATTATAGTAAGGAACTACATGCCTAGTTGAATAATCTTACCCGTCCTTGAATATAAATCCCACAAGCAATTCGACCGCCTGCGATTTTTCCCAGCTGCTAAGCAAATAGTTGGCTCTGATTACGTTTTCGCTCGCCTTGGTAGACTCATCCCCACCACCGTTCTCCGAATAGTGTTGATCCTCAAGGAATGTTTCCTCAAGCATCGTACCATCGGCGGGCTCCATGGTCACTGATAACCATTTCTGCAGTAATTTGAACTGTATGGCATCCAAGTCGAGTTCGTGCAGGTTTGCAATATCCTTCACCAATGTGTTTATGTCCAGTTTGGTGGACTTAAGTATTAGCTCATGATTATAGAGACTAATTATGAGTTCGGTTGGATTTTCGACCAGCCGCAGCAGCTTCTCATCGGGAAGGCCATAGACATAGAGAAGGTGTTGGGTTTTTATAATGGGATATTTGCGTTTGATCTTCGTTAGCTGTTCCTGATACTTCGGATCGGTTATCACGGCGGCATTCTCCTTCACATATTTCCAGCATTCGTAGGAGGCCTCTACTTGATCGGCGCCATCGGGTGCATAGCTGGCTACAAAGTAGAGTATGAGGAACACTTTCGATGGGCTGTGCACATTCTTAGTCAGACGTAACACCTGAGAAAAAAAATGGCAAATAATGTAAAGGTTTGAAAGATTAAAGGTATTGGGCCTACTGATTTTAGGAACGCATTATTCGTTGGGTACAGGCTCCATGCATCTGAATCGTTTTTGGATTTGTATTCATTAATGGAATTCTTGACCGCTGACATGCAGAAATAATCGCAATTCTGGGAGATATCCTTGGAGCCTTTAAGCGCTGTATACATTTGGATGAGGGGAAACCAGCTTTGACAGTTATCCACATTTAGTTCGCTCTCTGAAAATGAGGGAAGATTAGATAGGTTGTCTTAATGGAAGTCCGTGTCCGTGAATTTAATGGGCACCTAGAATGTCTTTTAGTGGTTGCTCAACAATCGGTTTGAATGGCAGGCGGTAGCGTGCAATCTTAGGCTGCACGCCATTTTCCTTTTGCGATTGCAGCCACAGATCAGTTTCTAATTGGCTCGGACGGTTCCTTCGACGCGTAATCATCTTGTGCTTGAGGAAGTGCAATATACTTGTCCAAATCTTCATTTCTTTTGGCGCAGAATCGAAAAATTCCAGCATTTCAATGACGCAGAGGTACAGTTCGTAAAAGTAGAGGTTTATCTTATTGGATGAAACTAAATTAATTAAAACTCGACTTCACTTTTCCATTAAGCACATACCTCCTCGATGAACTGCTTCAACTTGGATGTAAACAACTCAACTTTGTTGATCTCACTTAAGTAGGGCTGACACATTGAGAACATTTTTTGCTCACTACTCAGCATGATCAGCTCTTCATCTCCAAAGGCGTCGTGTTTGATTTCATAGCGCAGCTCCTGTGATCCCAGAATGCTCAAGATCTGGTTGATAAGCAATTTCTGATAGTCTAAGCCAAAATCACGACTTATGCGCTCCAACAGCTTCACATTGAGTTGTTTATTGTGGAACTCCTTCAGCAAATCCTCAATGTTATCCATGCCGTCATTAAATTTGCCCTTAAAGTTGGGATCCTGCTGACAGAATTCTGTGTAATAAAATAGTTTGATGCGCCTAAACGAGACCATTACCCATCGAATTGTTAGTTGTTTTGATTTGTAGTTCTTAAAACCACTTACTTGGCCTTTAACTCTTGCACATTATCCATATCCTCAATGTACATGTTGTACATTTGGGAAAGTGTGAGGAAATTTATGTTCTGCTGATCCGTTTTGACATCGCTAGCTAGCTTATCGAGCTGAGCCAAAGCCTCGCAGTCCGACACTAGCATGGAAAAAAGCTCTAGGAAGACGAATTAGAATAGGATAGTTTTTGACTTATATATCTTCTGCTCTACCTATGAAGTTGACATCTTTGTCGTTCATGGCATTGCGGAAGAAGCGGCGTAGTTGCAGTGAAACAAATCCGGCGCTGATGATCTTCTTGCAGCGGTTCTGATTTTGGTATTCGAGGAGATGCTGGGCCATGATATACCACACATCATGCTCTTTGGCCTTGATGAGCTGTTCGAGAGATAAAAAGAAATCGGCGCGTGCGCCATCGAAGTCAGTCCTCATATTTTCCGGCAAGGCATTTCGAATCTGCAGCAGTAGCGAATTCGTGGGCGTCGTTTCAATCACCATGAGGAGGAGCGTGTGTGCCAGGAACCTAACAGCAGGCAACCGTCCACCGCTGAATTTCTGCGAAAATCGAGGGTAATTAGCTGAAGAATATCCTGACCTCTTGTGCCCACCTTCTGCTTAGACGGCAGCTGCAGCTGCACATCGACATCGTCGAACATGGACACCGAGTAACGTTTTTTGGGCTGTGGCTGACTTGTTTTTACATCAAATGAGCCGTTCAGCGTGGTTGAGAAGTTAAGTGTGGTCTCGCCGTGGGCGATGGGAGCTCCATCCAAGGCTCGACAAATGTGGTCGTTTATCTCTTGCACATTCCCCTGGTAGTACGTCTCAATGGCATCCACGCTGTACTTAAGCATGGCCACGCGCACATATTTAATTAAATCGACTAGATCTCGCTTGCAGTTTTGTTCGTGCAACAGCGCCGAAGTTAACAACTCATAGGCAAGTGGAAAGGCCAATGGATCGTTTTCATTGAGCAACTCCAAGGAAGACGACGCACCTATGAGAAATGTTTAATGTGCATCGAACTTGAACCGAAAATTTCGTTAAAGCTTACCATTTGGCTGGCTCTTGGCGGCTGTTATTTGCTGAACCAAGAGCTCTACGCCCAGGTTTGTAAAATCGCCTTGGTTGCCAGGCACACAATCGATGAACTCAATCACATAATAAGCCAGAGCACAAGACAAAGGCAGGCAATTCATGCGCTGACAAATACGCTGCAGACCATATACTTTTTGCAGACCCAGTGCCTTGCATAGCTCCCCCATTTCGCTTGAAATGAACTCTGGAACATTAAGAGTTGCCTGACTGCGCTCCATGATGCGCTCGATGGCCTCATCCAGGAGAGCATCACGGCAACGGTTCGTTATCAGATTGCTCCAGTGGTTCACATCCAAGTTGAATTGCTTGCGTAGTATAAAGCGATGCTTGATAAGCAGATAGCGACGCTCATAAACAGGCTCCACATGGGGCAGCATCAGCTTGAGGAGTTCAAGAACATGACTATGCTCTAACACTTTATTCTCATCAAGCAATGGTGTGGAGCTGCTCTCGAGCAAATTCTAAAAGAGAGGTACATGTCAATGATTGCTAAATCTATTTACATATATTTCTAATTACGGCTTGAAAATTATATATTATATGATATATTCTTGTATTTCAGTGACATATTCAAAGTTAGCTTTGAGAGAGTAGTGGTGTTGAATCAAATCTGACTTGGGAATAACAAGAAGTGATCTATTAATGAACTTTTCTTTAATATAGTAGTTTAAAAATAACATGCTAATTTGTATATATAATTTGATGCTTGTAAGATTTTGAATACCTCGGTATATGTATTCCTTATCATTTTCAAATGTAAAAAGCATTAGTGAACTTACCGTCAAATTCTCGACCACCTCCTTTCCATACTTTGCGTCCTTCTCATTGTTAAGTGATTTAAAGAACTCATATGCCGACTCGATTTGCCCGCGTCTCGCCATTTGGTAACAGCAATTGAAATTGGCTATGCTAGCCACCTCAGGCGCGGCCATAGTTAGTGTGCGAATGTCCTGGAGCATATCTGGCAGGTTTAGTTTAATGATGCGCATTGCGAATAGCTCTAGATTTATGCCCACTGCACTATCAGCGGGCCAGCCATATTTAACCTTCATAATTTTGATTACTTGTATCTCATATTCGGCATTGATTTTAGTTGCCAATGGATGCGTGGAGGTACGTAATTTGATGAGCGGCATCAAAGAGTCGGGCCAGGGCACTGGCGCATTTTGAAGAACATTTAGCGCACACTCCAGGCGACTGTCCTCGTTGTGGAGCATCTCAATGCAGGCAACAGATCGCTCTAACCAATTGCTCAGCGATTGATGATTGGTCACTAGCTGAGATAAGTAGTTCTTGATAGCGTTCGCGGGTGTAAGTCCCTTTTCCTGAAAGATTGGGTATAGAAAATCGTTCACCAGGCTCTGCAGTTTATCCAAATGTACGCGTTGTAGAATACACAGCGCAGTAGCGTCAATGGAGTCTTGCATGTAGTTATCCAATGTAATGACCAACTTATAGCTGGACTTTAGTACAGACAAGTCCTGTAATGCATTAACGAGATCCCGAAGTTTTCCAATGTTGCGCTCGTGTTGGCGACGTACATCGCTACAATAAAAATTAAAAATAAATAAATCAAGTTATCAAAAAACACATAACATTGCAAAATAATCAACTAGATATACTAATAAAATATGAAGCAGACGGCGATAGATGCTTGCATTATGGTTTTTAAATAACACATATATATTTAGTACGTCATTACTTACGAGTAAATAAACTCGATTTCCTCGAAAATCTCTAGAATTTTTGTAGCAAACTCCAATCCAATGTCTGGCCAAAGATCAACGTACTGTAGCTCTCGCGTTTTTTCTATGCTCCAGTCTGTGATAAAGGGCATGACAGAAGGATGCGTATTGCAGACGGTGGGTATGAATTGACGCAACCATTGCACCACATTAATAGGTTCAGTGCTTCCGGGTATAAAACTCATAAGCTTGCGCATCTCATCCATGTGGAGATGCGGCAATATACTGCTGGAATGACGCCGCCAGATAAGGCAGGCAACGGGCATGTCGCTAATAAAAAGTGACTTGACCATCTTCACCAAGTTCCTGTGATAGACAAACTTTTGCCACTCTGTGTTACACTCATAGGGATCAGTGATAGCGAGCGTTTTCAATCGGTGCAGTTGCTCATTAATTTCCAAAACATGCTCATTGTCCTCCTGTGAAATTTTTCAATGATATCAATAACGTTTAAAATGTAGAACATTTCCCACACACCTCAAAATCCAATCTTTTCACAATCTCTCTGAGGTATCGTTCTAGTATTTGCCGCGACGGCAAATTGATCATGCGATTATTTAAGATAAATTTCTTGCTTTCGACCTGAGACAGCAGATCCAACATCGTTTGGAACTTTTCGTCTAGCTTATTGGCATCGTGCTGTATTCAAAAAAGTAAGACGTATATCATTATTTCAATATATGAGTCATTGAGAAACTTACAGCATTTATATTACACAGTTCAATGAGGATGCGTTTTGCCTTGGCTTCGAAAATGGGCTGCAGGCATAGCTCAAACTGTTTGCCAAATTCCTACAAACAATAATCATAAATGAACTAAATCGTATTATAGCTTTATAAGTAGTTACCTCTGCTTCTTCTAGTCGACCTTTTGCTATTAGCTTTTTGAAGCGATCGCTGGGATCTGTTTCAGACACCAACAGCATTTCAACCTCGTCGGGTATCTGCCCCGGATCGGTATTCCTAGAAGCCAGATAGTAAAGATTCACGGCGCACTTTGGCTGTTGCACAAGCCAAGTCTGTTCAGGGACCTCCACCTCATTCTTACACTTCATTGCTGTAAGCAAAGACAGAGTAAATCAAAGTCATTTAATTTAAAAATAAAATTTACAGGGATATTCCACTATTTTGATAAGCCGTCCATCTTCACCGCCTGTGCTTTTGGTGAGCACTAATAGTTCTATACTCTCCTCGCTGCATTCCATAACCACTAGATCATCAACGAGCAACTCAGGTTGCTCCAGCTGCTGGTACGAGCTTATGGTGCGGGTGATTGGACACACGTTCAGCAAGTAGCCTGAGCTAGTTAGGGCAATACTGTAGAATTGGCAAATAATTTAGTTCTATGATAGAGATGTGATATCAATGGGTCAGCTTACATACATATAATGATCAAGGTTATATATCTTTCTGATGCTGCCAAAGTTTGCGGGCACCCTGATGCGTGTTACATCGTTAGAAGCCGTTTTGAAGACCAGCGTGCCCTTCACACCTTCCACAACTAGACCCAGGTCAGAGTCCGGTTCCTCCTGGTTGTTCTCGGCATATATGTGAGTTTCGAATCGTCTCAGCAGCATAGCACAGTCCACGGAATCAGAAACGCCTGCAAAGCGCGCTGTGGTGAGTCGTTGTATGCTTACATCATCCAAAATAGCTTTCTCACTTCCCATAGTGTCATTTGCGTTCAGAGTGTCTAATCTGCTCTCATCGATTTCACTGAGACTACAGAAGGAATCAGTCAAAGCCACCAACAACCATTGCTTTCATAATTTACCAGTAAATACTGCCATTTCTGCAGGTAAAGTAGAAACGCTGGCCTATCTTCTGGATAGTCTTGAAGGTGTTGCTGGTAGAGTCCACGTCATCCGCATCAATGCAAACGCTAAAAAGCAGCACACCCTTTATGTACACACCGTGTACCTCGCCATTGCACAAGCCGCAAATGATTAGGTCGCCGCTGTTGGAAATCGCAATATCGTCTATTTTGGAGCAAAAGCTTAGGAAGCTGCACTTTGCTACCAGTTCGTCCTCTAGAAGTAACAGACTTTTGTCTATGGATATCACCATTTTACCACCTTGTACCGAGGCCTGGACCAAGGGATATTCCTCCAACTACATACAAATTGTAAATATACAAACGTATTTATATATATCTTGATGAAATAAAATGCAGTTGATATTCACCCGTTCGTCGCTCTTAATTTTAAAAATGCCACGCGAGGAAAACACGTTTGATATGGTTTCGTCCTCCAAAGGCGACGCTTCAAAGTTGCTCCACATTTTAAAACAATATTCACTCCACAAATAAAAAATTTAAACATCCAGCGCCAAATTGGTTCGCGTCTCTTTCACAGCCTTAGTGTGACCATTTTCCAACACAGGCTTTTTTTCGAACGCCTTACTGGCAATTACGGTATTTTCGGGCTGAGCAGTAACAAATGTATATTGCTAAAATGCTAACAAACTACGTTTTGCTTTAAAATGAAATAAAATATGACTCTGCTATGGATTATAGTTTTCCGATTTGAAGAAAAAGATTTCACTTATCACACTGATTGTGTTTGAATAGTCTTCCAAAACATGGATATAGGAGTAAGGTTAGAGTAGTTCTTTAAAATGCAGTCTGGCATTATTCGTTTTTAAGATTCGGTCACCCTTAACACTAGCAGGCGAATGAAAATTATTTTTGTTACATTTCTACGGGAAATTGCAAAAAGTGTGGAAAAAAGCCAACCGCGGAAAAGGATGATCGAATTGAAAGCGAAATAATTATGTGCATTGCTTCTTAAACCGCATTAGTTTAATATTTTCGGCGGCAATAAAACTGCAATTGCAGCCGCGGCCATCAACAAAAAGACAATCCCACATAGATTTGCGTGTGCGGGGTGCAAAACGTGTGCATGTGCATGGTGAAAATAAAATGCACATTTGGTGCATATTTGGCGAAACAGCAACAAATCGGTTCTTAAACTTAAACTAATATGCAAAGTAATAAAAAGGCGAAAAAGGTGGTGGTGCAAAAGTAGCATAAAACAAGAAGCAAGTGCTTGGCGCTTTGCGACGCTGCCAGCGCTGACGACATGCGAGCGTAGAGTTGCCAGCTCCAAATCGGAAAGGTTGCTGCTGTAGCATTTGCGACGCTTCTAGTCGCGCATATTTCTCAATATATTTTAAAAAATCCGCCGATTTTACAATTTTAATGCGGTAATGAATGTGTGCAGATGAAATTTAAAGCCAATGCAAACTATTTAACATGGAATGGAATGCTCACATGTTCCTGCCGTGTAGGTTAATGACTTTCTGGTGTAACCAAACCAACTTCCTTAAATCCAAGTACGCGCACTAATCACGCGTTAAAACGTCAACAGATTGAGTTAGATTAGCTCAGTACCAAGGAACAGGAGTGTGCTGTACGCGTGCCATCATCAGCAACAAACAATACATAAGACATAAAAGGTAGACTTGGCCTACTAGTTGTATAGTTCCATCGACGGCAAGCGAGCCAAAATAGTTTTATACACGCGTCGTGATCCACTGCAGAGGCAGGATCGACGACGCCTTTAGATAGAATTTTCCCCCCAAGTAGTTAAAGAAAAGCTGCCACCATTCGGAAGAAAAACACCTCAAATATGACCCATAATCTCGGTATGGCGCCATATCGTTTGCCGGGTCCAGCAGGCGGACTATGTCCTCCTGACTTTAAGCCGCCTCCGACGGATATCATCTCGGCGCCGAGCAATCCGAAGAAGCGACGGAAAACTTCGAATGCAGCCAATTCAGCTGCTGCTGCTGCAGCGGCGGCAGCAGCTGCGGCCGCCGCTGCGAACTCTATGCAACAGCAACAAACGGCTCCACCAACGCCGCAAGATCTGCTGCCACCACCGCCGATGGGTGGTTTCGGTGATACAATCGTGGCATCGAATCCGTTTGACGACAGTCCACAGGTGTCAGCCATGTCTAGCTCAGCAGCTGCAGCTATGGCCGCTATGAATCAAATGGGCGGTGCAGGCGGACCTGGAAGCGGTGGACACTTTGGCGGCGGACATCCGCTATGGGAAGATCGTATGGGCATGAGTGGTGGCCCCCCACATATGCATCCGCATATGCATCCTCATCACCCCGGTGGCCCAATGCCGCATCCGCACGGGCCTCATCACATGGGCGGACCTCCGCCAATGCGCGGTATGAGTCCACTGGGACCCGGCGTACATCCGCACTCGATGGGACCGGGTGTCGGGCTACCGCCTCATATGAATCACGGTCGACCTGGCGGTGTTCCCATGGGTAGCCCAATGGGTGCTATGACAGCGATGGGTGGCATGAGTCCAATGGGCAATATGGGCGGCCCCAGCATATCACCTCATCATATGGGTATGGGTGGGCTCTCTCCAATGGGAGGACCGAATGGCCCCAACGCTCAACGCGCAATGCAAGGATCACCGATGGGTGGTGGTGGTGGGCCCGGCCAGAATTCGCCAATGAACTCTCTGCCAATGGGCTCACCAATGGGCAACGCCATTGGCAGCCCACTTGGACCGCCGCCAACCGGACCCGGACCACAGCAACCTCCGAACCCGCAGCAGACGCACATGAACAATGGCCAAATGGGACCACCGCCTTTGCATAGTCCACTTGGAAACGGTCCCACGAATCACGGTCACTTGCCCGGCGGTCCTGGACCCGGGCCTGGCCCTGGCCCTGGACCTGGACTAGTAGGGCCCGGTGGTATCTCACCTGCTGGTATGCCACCGAACAATAGTGGCGGTCCAGGTAACATGATTGGCAGCAATACTCCCAACAGCGGCAACAACAACAGTGGAAATCCCAACAACAACAATAACAACAATGGTAGCAACAATCAAAATCCTCATTTATCGCCGGCAGGAGGTCGTTTGGGCGTTCCGACTTCGTTGCAATCCAATGGCCCAATGCCGCCCGCATCTTCAGCAGTGTCGTCGGCTTCCTCAGCGGTCACCGCATCAACGGCGCCGCCCACCTCCACGGCAACTGCGACTTCGATAGCAACGTCAGTACCCACATCCTCCCCAGCGCCGCCCGCCATGTCACCGCACCACACGTTAAGCAACGCAGGACCAAGTCCGGGCATGCCCAATACGGGGCCCAGCCCGCTGCAGTCGCCAGCGCTTGGAGGGCCCAATGGAAATAACAATAACAATGGACCCATGATGGGTCCTATGGGCCAGCAAATGAATCCGAATGTTCCTATGCAGCAGCAGCAGCAGCAACAACAACCACAGCATCATGGACCGATGGGAGCGCATATGACCAGCCCCGGGCCCCAAGGCCATGGTTCTGGACCAGTGGGCATGGGCGTAGGCCTAAACCAAATGTTACCGCCTCAGCAACCGCCGCATCTTGGACCACCTCACCCGCAGCTTATGAATCATCCGCATCATCATCCGGGTGGACCGCCACCTCCACACATGATGGGTCCTGCAGGACCTGGAATGCACGGACCAGGAAACATGCCTCCACACATGGGCGGTCACGTTCCTCCAGGTGGTGGACCAAATCCGCACATGGGACCACATGGCAACGCTGGTCCCCACATGGGCCATGGGCATATGGGTGGCGTTCCGGGTCCAGGTCCTGGACCGGGCGGCATGAATGGGCCACCACATCCACACGGCATGCCCCCACATCACGGACATCCCCATCATCACAGTCCAATGGGAGGGCCTGGTCCAAATATGTTTGGCGGTGGGCCAATGGGGCCGGGGCCAATGAATAACATGAACATGGGTCCAATGGGCGTTGGCGGCCCTAAGCCATTGACAATGAGTGCTGGCAAAATCTATCCGCCTGGCCAACCCATGGTCTTCAATCCGCAAAATCCCAATGCACCACCTATTTATCCCTGTGGCATGTGCCACAAGGAAATCAACGAGAACGATGAGGCGGTCTTCTGTGAATCTGGTTGTAATTTCTTCTTTCACAGGTGAGCCCAGCCCATAACGGCACCACTCTGATGTCCAACTAAACTCTTTATCTTTGCAGAACCTGTGTGGGTCTAACGGAAGCCGCATACCAATTGCTCATCAAGGAGGTGTTTGCAGAGTGGTGCTGTGACAAATGTGTGTCGTCCAAGCACATACCCATGGTTAAGTTTAAATGTTGAAGTGATGTGATGCCCTAGCCTATTACAGGGACACCTTCAATGTATGGATCCACTTCTACCTAACATAAAGTCCACCAGCACCACCAACTACCTACCTGCCAGCGGGCACTCACTGTAAAAAATCCCAGGCATTAATTATCTTAATTGTAGAATTTAAGCAGTTTAAAGCTTACATTGCACACATAATCGCGATCACATCCCTCAACCCACGTCCACAATTCCACATACCCCACCCGAGTCAACGCACAATGCTGTGCTGCCTATATTGTAAACGATCAACTAGCCGAGCAACCAGATCATTGTGTTGTGAATTTTCGCTCCGGACAGTCTCACTCTCCGCTAATCCTTGAAAGTGAAAAAGAAAAGAAACTATGAAGCATAAGAATGTAATATATACCTATATTGTGGAAGGACAGGACGATATAAACATAACGGAATCAAATGCGAAACTAATGACAACGTTTTGAATAAAACTTGGTAAACAAATCAATCTAGTTTGTATGATAAAGCAAAATTATTATAAAATAAAACTAAATATATTTAATTAGTGTTTAATGTTAATTCAAAGCTAAAAGGAAAACAACAAACGAAACTGTACTTTTACATTTGTATTCGAATAATTAGCGGTTAAAGTGCGAGTGCGTACACATATACATACATACAAACATATATCAAATGCTAATGAAATTACCAGATCTGGCAATGAGAATAAAATTGTAACGTATTGAAATTATCATTGTGAAATTGTTTGAATTAAGCACATCTAAAGAGGTTTTTTATAATGGTATTAAACATTTTAACTAGTTCATGTTTTATGTACATGCAGCGAGAATGCAGAACAAAACATACTAATACATAATTAAAATGAACAAAAAGATAAAAGCAACAATAAACAAACGAATGCGAGGAGCAGTAAAATAGAGTGAAAATTCAATGGCGAACAAAACAGCTAAAGTATGAGTTGACTGCGAAAAGTAATTTAAGCCGAAAGTTGGAACATTGTAAAAATAGGAAACACAAACTTACTGTAGATTATTTCAACTTTAAGTTATTTATAATTAAATAAAATATAAAATACATTGAAGTTGGAAACTTTGATATACATACTAGTATGTACTTTAATGTGGAACAGTTTTGTGTGGGAAGTACATAGGTCGGAAAACAGTTACCTGAGTTCCACCTAAGGGTACAAAACTCAACTGCTTAAAAAATCCACTTGCAAGATAAATCGATATAGACTTGTCCTTCCCATCGATCACGGGGAACTTTTGGACTGCAACGGTTAGGGTCACCAATCTTATCCATACACAGACCATGCAGAAATAAACGCATATACGAAGGAGACAAACTGCTCTATTATCAGTATAACTAAGAAAACAATCCCCACATCGATATATATCTTTCTGGGATGTAGTCTCCAGAGTGACAATGAGGAAAATTATTGTGAAGTCTATAAGATAGAAATGTGCTAGCATAAAATATAACTCTAACTATACTAGTTTTGTGCGCATGTATGTAACACACAGAAGGACGCGTGGCAGACCCCACAAAGTATATATATTCTTGATCAGGGTGACAAGCCGAGTCGTTATAGCCATGTCCGTCCGTCCGTTTGTATGAGCGGAAAGATCTCAGAAGGTACAAGAGCTAGAATTACCAAACTTGGCATCTAGGTTCCCCTAAGCCCTAGGCAGGTCAAGTTTGTTTTTTTATTTTGATACACCCCTCCACTCCCCCGCAATTCGTGTTTTTTCTTATAACTTCCGTTATTCTTGGAATTACAAAATCAATTTTGGTAGCTACATCCAGTTAGTGCTTATATGTCCGTGTGCCAAGTTTCATCATGATAGGTCAATTCTGAAGAAAGTTATAGCCATAAGTAAAATCGCTGCTCATGCGCTGCCTGCAGCTCTGCCGGCAGCGCTGCCCGCAGCTTTTGTTGATGTTGCTGCTTTGGTTCAACTTTGTGCTGCATACATACACGCATATAAACTGAACATAATTAATTCATTTTTTTAATAATTTAATTATTATTTTTTTTTAATTTTTCTTTTTTGTGGGGAGTACAGGCTAATTTACTGCCGGGCTTGCTCGACTGTAGCGTTCTATCTTGTTTTACATATGCACGTTTGGTTAAAAATAAAAAAAAACTCAAAGCTATTGTTTGTATTGCATATATATATGTATTTCGTTTTGTTTACTTAAACTAAGCGCACAGGCTAAATAGGGCATAAACATATAGGTACAATTTATATATAGATGCATATTTGCCAATTACTAATAACCACAAATGATTTGGAAAGGGGTAGGCGAACGTTTGACGATTAACAAATACGTAATTAAACGTTTTCATTGGATGGCGACTATTGATTCAAGTGAACAAATTTGCACATAAATATATAACTCTGCACACTTTACCAGATCGGGCCGGAGAAGCACTGGCCAGAATGCTTACGCCTGCATACTTGTCCTATTTTAATGGAGTCGCTTAATATTACAAATTATATTTTTGATTAATTTATTGTTAAGTTTTTCTTTCTTATAACATGTTAATTGCACGCAGAAACCAGATGAGATTTCTGCATGGCTCGCTTTTTTATCCGATAGCTGCAGTTATAAGCTCAGCTACATCTTGATCTGTGCTGCGCACGGTCAGATTCAGTGTCACACCTTCTGATAAAGCCAGCTTGGCACGCACCAGGACTTCGGCGCCGCCCCTAAAGTTGCCTGAAAAGTGGGAACCAACAACGATTATTTTAATAATTGAACAAATCCATTTTAGTGGTTTCATTTACCGGAACAGAGAAGCGTATGCAGGTGCGTGCCTTCGGGCACTTTTTCAGATAGATTTGCCGCACCCAGGCCCAGTATTTTAACGATCGAATTGACGGCGTCCTGCAAGGTGCTGACGGCGGAAAGCACAAAGGTGTCTTCGGCTTGTAGCCACTCTATGGATTTACATAGTTAGTATTGACGATCTACTGATTTCAAGTAAAGCCTACCCTCACTGTCAGCTGCATCCCAGGCCACCTGGAAGTTATTCTTTTTCGTCTTCTGTATCTGATCGGCTACTGTGATCTCTAGATCCTCCAGCATATACTCATCATTATAGCCCTCATCCGAGTCCGGTTCACCGGTTACAGGGTCACAATCTTTCACCACGAAACGCAAAGTCGCCCCAAAGGACGCTGTAAATAAAAATGAAGGAATACAAAATAAATATAAAGGAAATCGTGTCAGCATCTGAAAAATATAGTATTTTTCTGGTTAGATTTTCTCACTCACCAACGGAACTGGCCGCATCTGGCGGAAATTCGACAATGACAAATGTGGTCTGCAACTCATTGTAGGCTAATTTGGGACATTGTATTACGGCTCGTGTCGTATATCCTTCGGGCAGCGTGAGGTCAACGCGTACATTCTCCAAGAACTGCTCAGACAGTGTGTTGAGACAATCGAATTGAAATACTACGTGCTGCGCAAAAATATGTTTTATGCACTGCACAGTGTACTCGGTCTCGCTCTCGGTGAGTTGAATGGGCGCGGTGGTGCGATGAATGGGTCCAAGCACTTGTATACCTGGCAGCAGGGCGAGACGAGCGGCACTTTCCTCTTCCCGCGTGATCTTTGGTACGCGTGGCGTGTTCGTGATTAACATCATGTCGTTGCTGATCTCCTCCTTGACAATAGCAGCCTTGGGCACAATGGAAATGTCGAAGCGGCTGTTCAGTTCACCATTCAAATGATCGGAGAGTGCCTTCTCCAACAAAGCCAATGAGCAGTTTTCTCGTTCAATGATATAGTTTTTATATAACTCTGGTTTCTCAGAGTTTAGTATACTCAGATAATAGGTCGCACGATCGCGAACCTCATCATCGGGATCCATTTGACAGCGCCCAAGTAGAACAAGAATGTTGCTCAGCAAAGCCGGGCATGAGGCGCCGAATTGGGACAGTGCCGTAACAGCAGCGGCTCGCACAATGGGGCTTTCCAAGATGACACGATTGTAGATAAATCGTATGTACTTAGAGGGAGTAGCTGCAAAGGGTCCCTCCTTCCCTAACAAATGCAATATGCGTACTGCTAAAGAGACATGCTCGCAGTCCTCAATAAACTCGCATAAATGCGACAGACCCGACTCTTTAGCATCAGCGTTCTCCTCAATAATTGTTATGATGGTGTCCACAATTGAAGTCTTGTATTCCAAGCCACCTTCCTCACGCAGCATTCCACTTAAGAAGTTCATCAAAACAGTGTGCTTACGTGGATACTTTGTACAAAGCGCACAAATGGCTTGCACCACAACGATTTTAAACTCGTCAGATATTTCGGCTACAAAAGATGATATCTGCTTCATCAAGCGCTCCACAGATGACTCAGCTCCGGTTTTAAGCAGTGTGGTGATGGCCAAAGTAGCCACTGAACGATTAGAGTCGGTGATAAGACCTTCCAGATCCAGGTTACAGGTAGTCACTGCAGCCGGATGTGTCATGGCGACTTTGTTTAGAGTACGTACTGCGGCAAAACGCAACGTGGCCTTGGGCGAGCTGCAGAAGAGCTGTAGAATGGAGAAGGCCGGCGAGAGTACGCGCGGATTGGTGTTCTTCAAGTTTACAATGGCATGTGCCGCCTCATAGATGACCATTTCGCTCTTGTGGCGCAGGCACGACTCAATAAAGGTGAATAAAGGCGAGTCTGATAGCTCTTCCGATGGTATGTCTTCTTCTTCAATGAGTTTGCAAGCAATGCGTATCTAAATTGGCCGAGATGCCAGTTAAATAAAAATTATTGGTGGTCATGAAAGTTGTTTACTCACCAACATGCACACCGCATAAGGACTTTTCATGGAGCTACGAGTGAGTTTGTTGACAAGTTTGGAGACAGCTAAGCGGTCTGACTTGCGTATGTGATATAGTAGACCAAGAGCATGGTATTGAACCATTATGTTGTCACTATTTAATGCCTCCTGTGCCTCATTTGCCCAGCGTTTTACTACATCACCAGCAGTGGTGGCCAATCTCAGGGAGCTGACCAGAGCCGCGCAGGAGACGGCAGCGTTTTTGTCTACAATGCATTGCTTCATATAACGCTCGACAGCTTGGAGCATGGTATGATCCGTGATGCTGCAGAGAGCGCGTATGGCGGCGGCACGGTACAGATCTTCTTTGCCGGTCATGTCCTTGGTCAGCGAACTGGTTACAATGATGACATCCTCGGCAATGGAGCTCAGCTCCTTGATTCCCAGATAAACCATGCGACGCAGTACAACATCTTTTGACTGGAACAACTTGGTCATGGCAAAGAAGCAATCCGTTGCTTCGCGTGCAGCCAACTGCTCGCCCTGATTTATCAGGTAGAGTATTTTGGTCAAAATGTGGATACATTTGCGCGCATTAACCGGTGTCTCGTTAAAAGTGCGAGTCTCCTGCAGCACAGAAGTTTTCTCCAGATTCTGGTAGATGTTCGTCGGACCTGTTTGTTTGGAGAGGCCGAAATAATTCATTTTTTCCCAATGACAGGTAACCCATATGTATGTATATATGGAGAACTTGAGAACGGTTTTTGTTGCTAACAGTGGGTGTGCGGGTGTTAATTTCTCTGGCAAACCGGCTGATTTGTGAGTTGTGATAATGGGTGGGTATCTTTTTGTTTGTATATGTGCGTGTGCGAGCTGCTGCCAGCGGAGCACCTTTTTTAACTGAATGAAGTTGCTGACTGTTGTTGGTGGGGCTACCGCCGCCCTCGTTATGTTGTTAGTAGTATTCGCTTAATAGACGATTACTTACCATCCTCCTCCTCGTCTTTATCGCGGCGAAACGAACCCATTTTGGTGTAAAATTACTTTAAAAACGGAAAACAAAATTTGTAAAATATTAGATCTCGGGTCTTGCTACGCGTACACGTCACACTCAACAGCCAGAAGAAGAAGTGCGGAATAGCATTGGCAGCACTGTGAGTCATATGGTGTCACGAAAGTGCTGTTGCAGGCATAATTGCAATTTGTTACCCCAAGAGTTTCGCGAGCTTTAAATAATATATATTTTTCCATCCTTCAAGACGAAATGTTGCAATTGAACATTAGAACTGCTGGAAATTATTGCCAAAATTATCTGCGCTTAATTTAAAAACAATTAACACCCGTTCTTGATATATCTTTTTTTGTTTTTTAATATTTAACAGCTGCTTATTCCTAAAATTTTTTAAGCTAATACCTTTTAATTTTTTTTTTTAAATCTAGTCGTTGGTTTTTCTCATGCAAATTGTTGTTGGGAAAACGTACATTTTCTAAATGTCAATCAATTTAAGCTTTATTTTGAGACTTAATAATATTTGTGATTAAATCGCAGACACGTCAACGGTTCCCATCTCTAAGTGATATCGAGCTACAAAAAGAACAAAAGAAAAGAAACGCGAACACAGCTCCAAACGTTTGTTGTTAAGAAGTAGTAAATTGCACTGGATTAAAGAATTACAAATGCGCTCGCGTAGTCGATCCCACAGCACCCGCAGATCGCGGGAAAGGCACCACAGAAGCCGTTCCAATGATTACGACCTGTCCGACAAACATGCATTTCAGAAGCCGGCACGAAGGCGCTCAACTTCTCGGTCAAACGAAAGGATCCAGAGTAAGAAAAGAAAGTCACCTAGTTGCCGAAACACCGCCAAAGAGCGTTCCATACATGGTCGCTTCTCCAGGGAAAGGGAACGTCGGCCAAGTAAAAAAACGCGGTCCTCCAGCAGCAGCAGCAGTAGTAGTAGCACCACCACCACCAGCAGCAGCATCAGTGAATCCAGCGATTCAGACTCGCGCCGTCCTAGTCGACATCGAAGTCGCAGTCACAATCGGAGTCGCAAACGAAGTCGCAACCGAAGTCGAAGTACACAAAAGCAGAAATCGGCTGAGCGGTGGCCAAATGATAGATTTGACAGCAACAATGACAGGCGCAATAATCCGTTTAGAGGACGAGCCCCTGAGGGCGGGTTTATGAATGAAGGTGGACGATCATATCAGAGAGGTGGCACGCATCACAAGGGAGATGCTAAAACCATGAATGCCCGGCGACTTCAACGTGAACGCATCGGTGAAGAAGGAGTCCCGGAAGTATGGGGTTCAAGTCCAGCACACCCGGTGGGCGAGGATGATGTGGAACTGGTTAAAGGATCCTACGTGGGTCCTAAAAAGAAGAAAAAGGGGAAACACGGAAAGTCAAATAAAAAATCAAAATCAAAAATGAAAAAGACTAAAAAGAAAAAATCGAAATCCAAGCGAGATTCCAGCTCGTCCTCATCTTCATCAAGCTCAGATAGTAGTGACAGCAGCGAAAGTTCCTCCAGTGAGGACAACTCTGAAGCTGAGGATGGTGATGTTTGGGTAGAAAAAACAGCAGAAGGATTAAAAACGTCTAAAAAGGATAAGAAAAAGAAAAAAACATCTAGTTCAAAGAAAGAAAAGAAAAACAAAAGAAAAAAGAAGCGCAGAGGTGATGCCGAGAAACAAAGGAGCACGTCCGGCACATCAAAATCAAAAGATAGCGCGATCAACAATGGCGAAGATGTGGGTCCATCACTGCGGACTACGGGCAGCCTTAATCAAAAGGATTTCGGGCGCGCGTTGTTGCCAGGTGAAGGTGCGGCAATGGCTGCTTATATCGCCGAGGGTAAGCGGATACCGCGTCGTGGTGAAATTGGTCTAACATCGGATGAGATTGCCAATTTTGAGTCGGTCGGCTATGTGATGAGTGGTAGTCGACATCGACGCATGGAAGCAGTGCGTATACGCAAGGAAAATCAGATCTACTCCGCAGATGAAAAGCGCGCTTTGGCTATGTTCAGCAAGGAGGAGCGGCAGAAGCGCGAAAACAAGATCTTATCTCAATTTAAGGACATGATCCATTCGAAATTGCAAGCAAAGGATAAAAGTAACAAATAGTTTGGTCCAAATAAATTGTATATTAAATAAATAGCAATAATGCGCGGTATAATTCAATTTCCATATTCATGTTTTTGAATTCCCGCTTTTTTAGAGTTGATACATAGTGGCAGCGTTGCTGTTAAAAGAGTAACTCAAGGCAGAAAGTACTTCTTTTTGTTAAGCAACAGTTTCCAAATTTTGAAATATTTGTGCGTCCAGTTTTTTTGCGGAAGGGTGGGTATTAGTGCTGTGCGAAACATCGATGTAAAATCGATACATCGATGTTTTGCAATTTTTTCCAAACATCGATGTTTTATTTCCGATTTTCGATGTTTTTTACTACTTGTAAAAAAAACGCGGGAAAAGCTAGGTAAGTAAAAGCTAAAATTTGCATTTTTTAATAAAACCCCTAATATAATACAGAACAAATTACTAATATTATAGATGGATATTGGTGTTGGCAGTGCTTGGAAATGGAGAAGTTTTTAAAAGAATCTAATAGCAAAGGTAATTTTTATCTTGCAGCTGCAGTCTTATTTGTGTATGTGTATTTTCATTATTTGTACATATATTAATATGTTGTTCTATGTACTTAGATTGTAATGCAAACTCAACCGAAATGGATAAGGAACCTGAGGAAGGTGGTCCTAATAAACGGGTAAAATATGGAAAGTCAACTGTGTGGAATTTCTTCAATAAGTCTAAGGATGGCAAGTCTGCTAAATGCTTTAAATGTGGTAAAGTGTATCAAACATGTGGCAATACCACCAATTTATCTGCACATTTTAAACGAATGCATCCTACGTTGACAATTGAAGAACTACCAACGACCTCAAGCTCTATTTTGTCGTTTATAGACAAAAAATACGAAGCATTTTATTTACAGATCTCAAATGATAAGTCCCTTAAGGCATGTATATGCAAGTACCTCTGCGTTCCTGCAACGTCCACTGAAAGTGAGCGCATGTTCAGCAAAGCTGGACTTATAGTTAGCGAAAAAAGGAGTTCGCTTAAATCAAAGAATGTAGACATGCTCATTTTTATTAACAAAAATGAGTGGATCTCAAATAATTAGTCATGAATTATATTTTTTATGTTATGCTTTTCATTTTGTTATACTTATATTCTTTCAATTTATGAAAATATTGTTTTGTTGTTTTATCTGAAATTAGTCATTAACTATAATTTTTTATGTTATACTTTCTCTTGTTTTTAGTTTATTATTTGAAGTTATAAAAATATCGTTTGTTTTAAACCCTTTTTTTCCTTTATAAACAGACAAATCAAAACGAAGTGCCCTATGATGTATATTAATTTTTTTTTGAAAATTTGTTAGTGGAATTTCGATGCATCGATACATCGATGTTCTTCCTCCAAAAAAATCGAAACATCGATGTTGGCAAACATCGATGTTTCCCCAGCTCTAGTGGGTATGCAATCGATCTCCCGACTTCTAGTAAACTAAATACTTTAATGCTTTTCACATCTTTTTTGGACAGCTGATATTTGTATAGTCTGGCAACACCAAAACGTGCTTGGGAAAAGCAAAACGGGAAGACTTAAATAAGCCAATTAGAATATATTTGCAGTAGCTTCTACAAAAAAGCGAAAGGTATCTAAAATCAACTCCAGTGAAAGTTTGGCTTATGTTTAGTTATCAAATTGTAATTGGCGCTCAAATTTCAATAAACTGAATTTGCATGTGCGATTGTGCGAGGGAGACGGCGCCCAAAAGTCGGCCATACTGCAGCAAGAGTAGATACGCAATATACGAAGTACTTAGCAAAACAATGAAGGCGTAAGTAAAGCATAATTGCTAACCGGCGGATGAAAACGACTAAAAAGGACCGAAAACGGTATACGTTAATGATAAGCTTTTATTGCACGCCGCATAGGCACACACGCATACACGAGCATATAATAACTTAGCTCTCCTCCAATCGCAAATCAGTCACTAGTCAAGAAGCATTCAGTTCGTCAGCGTACGCCAAAGTGTATCGTTCGAAACGGTTATCCGCGGTATACCGCTATGCCCGTCAATGATTTGCAATCGCCCTCGAGCGAAATGGTCATACTCACACCGCTCACGGAGAAGCCGCCAGGACTGGAAGCGCTGGCGTCTGCACCAACGAAGGATGGAGTGCGTGAGGGCTCTGCGGAATCGGACAGCAGTCGTGTGGTCATGAAGAAACAGCTGGGCTTGCTGGAGGGTGTCGCCATAATCTTGGGAATTATATTTGGATCTGGCATTTTTGTATCGCCCAAGGGTGTGATCGCTGAAGTAGGAGCGGTTGGCACATCTTTAGTAATTTGGGTGCTGTGCGGAGTTCTTTCGATGATTGGAGCATTATGTTATGCGGAGCTGGGCACGGCCATACCAAAGTCTGGCGGTGATTATGCTTATATCTATGAAGCGTATGGGTCGCTGCCAGCATTTCTGTATCTCTGGGATGCGATGATGATATTCGTGTAAGTAAGAAAAAAAGATTTCTATAATACGGGCAATTAAGCTTTGATTGCATGTAGTGGGCATGTCCCATGAGCCTACAAAACTCGACCTCATGTTTGGAAAATGTACATATATATATGTATCTTTATATACTTATACATATGTATTTGCTTGATTTTGTCTTTGCAAAAGTCATTAATTAACTTTCCTTATGTACATATGTATATACATATACATAAATTACGAGTTCTCTTACAAATGTAAAAGCTTGGATTACTCAATTGAACGATCGTCGCAAGTTCAATTGAACGTTTGTTTTATTTAGAAATGCCACAATGCATTGAAATCGAAATTAAAGTGTATTAGATTGCTTATTGTTTATGTACATATAGAAGGTTTGTTTGTAAAAATGGTTGTCCGCTTGCTTTTACTCTCGAGGCAGCGTATCAGTCACGCAGATAAGCATTTTGTAGTGTATACATTATTATATGAATATTTAGAATTCGCAATAGCGATAGAAGAGGCTATTAAATATAAGGACCGATAACAACTTTCAATTGATATACTATATGATGTGCAATGTGCTGTATGTGGGTAAATACGAAAATAAATGGTGCAGTAATTTCGTCAAATAGCCCATATTTGTTTGAAGTACATATTAACATATTAGCAAATAACATATACAGTCTGAAGATAAGTCAAATGACGCCAAGTTGCGAAAAATGCTGCGTGAACGAATATACATATTCGTAAATTAAGCAAACCAAACATGATGTCAGGCTCTTCATATACATATGTACATACGAGTATGAATGTCTGTAGAAGCATTCTTGTATCTCTGTGCTATCATGGCAATTTGAATGGCAATTAGGAAGCACACTAATGGAGTAGACCAATATGAAAATTGAGATCAAGGCATAAAAATACAAGTATTATAAATCTGGAAGAAATATCTGATGCGTGAGTAGTCAGTTAATTAATATGATATTTTTCCTATTTACAGCCCCACAACTAATGCTATTATGGGTCTAACGTTTGCTTCCTACGTGTTGCAGCCATTTTTTGATGGTGCCTGTGAAATACCGAAGATTGCGCTTCAGCTGCTCGCTGCGATCACCATTTGTTTCCTCACATACCTGAATTCGTTTTACATGCAAGTGACCACCAAAATGCAAAACATTATTATGTTTACCAAAGTTTCTGCATTGGTGTTGATCATTTTGGTGGGTCTTGTGTATATGCTGCTTGGAAATGTAGAGAACTTCAATAAACCTTTCGAGGATACAGAAACCGACCCTGGCAAGCTATCACTAGCATTTTACTCTGGAATATTCTCGTATGCCGGCTGGAACTACTTAAACTTTATGACTGAGGAGTTGCGAGATCCTTATCGCAATTTACCACGCGCTATTTATATATCCCTGCCCCTGGTTACAGGCATTTATGTATTGGCTAACATGGCTTATTTAGCGGTGTTATCGCCGCCAGAGATGATTGCATCAAAAGCCATTGCGGTGGTAAGTAGTCAGAAATTTGTCTTAAATTTAATTCCAAATCTAATAGAACGCATTTTTAAAATATTTTTCAGACTTTTGGAAATAAAGTTCTGGGCGGGTTTTCATTGATAATCCCCATCATGGTCGCCATTTCTGCATTTGGCGGCCTATCCGTACACATAATGACTTCATCCCGCATGTGTTTTGTGGGCGCTCGTAACGGCCACATGCCTTCGGTGCTGTCCCACATCAGCGTACGAAGCTATACACCCCTGCCCTCGCTCGCCTTTTTGGTAAGCCGCTGATCCGGTGCAATTGCCGAACAAAAGAAGTGGGCTAATTGAATTGATTTTCTTGCAGTGCCTGCTCTCCATTGTGATGCTCGTGGTCAGCGATGTGTACGTACTGATCACTTATAGCAGCATAGTGGAGTCGTTCTTTATTATGTTGTCCGTCTCGGCTGTGCTGTATTTCCGCTACACGCGCCCCGGAATGGAGCGTCCAATTAAAGTAAGTTAGCGACAAAACTTTATAGAGAAACACATTCATTTACTCTTTGATACTTTTTTTGAGGTCTCCTTGTGGATACCCGCGGTGTTCGTTGTTGTGTGTGCCTTTCTAGTAGTCGTGCCCATCTATGTGGCGCCTTATGAGGTGGGAATGGGCGTATTAATCACCCTAATTGGCATTCCATTTTACTATGTGGGTGTCGTGTGGCAGAACAAACCGAAATGGGTGCAGCACGCGATTGGTGCGTACACAAATGGCGCTGCCGCTAACCTTGGCTTCGCTTTGCCTTTCTCCTATTTATATACTTATAGTAAATCGTATGACTATACAATTTTATTTCACTTTGTTTAGATAACATGACGTTTACGTGCCAAAAACTGTTCATGTCCGCGAGGGAGGAAAAGCAGGATTAAGTGCCTGGTCGAAAAAAGTCAATGAACGTCTACCTGATGTCAGTGAATTTAAATTGCCAATTTGGATAATCCCAGTGTATTACTTACATCTGCCTTCAAATCCATATGGAAGCTACATAACGTGACCAACCTTGACCTCAAGTTCAAAGGCATCGAATATTATTTTGCAACTTTATTTTCTTGCCGCATTTCATTTAAGTCTCGCAGTCTACCAAAGTTTGTAGCCAAAGTGCAGCGGCTGAATGTATTATACATTTTAGCATTTTATTTATGCTCCTTATTATGCATTTGTATATGTATCCTGGTCATCATCTGTTGCATGTGTTTATTTAATTTTAAGTTCATTTTGTTGTTACCGTTTCGTTTATTATTTATTAGTATATAACAACATCACTAATCGCTTGCTAATTATTTTGGTTTTTCAAATTCTGTTTTTGGGCACCAGTTGCGGGTGTGTTTCTATTTTGACATGCGCTCCAAATTATGCTATGAAATGCGTTCGCATTTTTGTGACAATTAGGCCAACTGAAAATATTGCGACGTCATTGGTACTTGCAGTTGGCATACTGCGAACTGGTCGTTGAAGCAGGTCTTTTGACGAAAGTATAACGATTATTTTGTATTAGTTACTACATATGTATTTTTACAATAAAACGGTTTTGTACCGTAGATAAAGATTTTCGTAAATTCATTCAGTTTTCGCTAGGGTAGTCGGTCTATATATGAAAAGCATGATAAGTAAGAAAAGTTTGTCCGATTGCTCGCTCGATTAATCGCTTTTGTGTGGAAACTGTTCACAGAGTCATCTTTTTGACGTACACAGATATAACAAGACTAACCACGTCATGTCTAGATCTCTACATCATATAGTTGTCATACAAATTATATAACGCATATGTTGTAAGGCACAGAGAATCTATGCATATACCAGATTCGCTGCAAATGAAGAGTACTTTGTTAGCTTTCTCTTGTTAAATTATGTTATGCCATTCAAAATCGTATGCTGAGTCGAAAGGTTCCATTATTAATTTATTGGCTATCAGTTCTATGGCGTACTGGATTGTAGTTTCGCCACTAATACGCAGTGGGACTCAATTTCGTCGCTGTGTTTCTCAAGTGCTGTATGTATTTGGAATTGCAAGCGTTTGAAAAGTGTGCTAAAAATAAATCGGTCTGCCAGCCTCTAAGGTTTAGGTATGCCGAACGCGTACTCTACAGCTGGGAGCCGCCTCATGACGCCAGCTCAGTGATTGATACTCTTTTGACTACCTAAGTAGTACAAACGTGTGTGTGTGTCTGTGTGTGCCTAAATATGCCGGACCATAAATTTCTGCTAGACTTGTGTATGAATTGATAACACCGTAGCGCAGATATCGGCTCCCTTGCATGCCAATATAAACAAGATACACAGATTACGTATTTGTATATGTGTAAAGCGTATCGAAGCCGGGCCGGCTTTTTATGGTTATTTAATTTTATACCGAAGAAGCAGACAAATTACCGACGGAGATCGTAAAATTGGTTAAATTCAATTTAATGACCACAGAAATGTACATTAATGCTATTATTATAATCGGATGTGCATGTATGGCGTGCAAAATAAAGCAACGAACGGTGGCGCCTTGACTTCTCCATACCATCCCTATTTGGTCAATATCAATATTATCTGGTGCATAGGTGAGGTAGTGAGCTTAATTAATATATCCACATCTCAGCGAACCACAATATAAACTTCTATTGTATGTATAACCCGCAACTCTAAAGAAAACATTATTAACTACTTAGTCTGTTCGACTGTTACGCATTAACGTAATTATCCATGGTTGCGGCCTATTGATGGCAAACTTGACTTTGTTTATTGTCGCTCATACAGTTGATTGGCGCTCGTAACTCGAGCGTCAATAAAAAACGTGCACACATAATATATATAACCGAAGATAGTAAATATTTTTGCAATTCTATTCAATATCTATCAGCCGTTGCAAAGACTTGAGCGATAAATGTTTATGAAGTATTGAGTTGGCTTAACAGCAGCTGTGGGCAACGTAATACAAAAAACTTCCATTAATCTATTCGTCTATCTGATCTTCGAATTCAATCTATATACATACATACATATTTATGTGCTCATGTTTTGGTAACCAAATTAACTCGACTGCGAAGAAATTCTTGCAGAATGTATTTCTTCCATAATAAACAAATCATGTGCGTGATCAAGATACTATACTTGTATATTTCGTTCTCGTTAGCACCTCCTATGTGAAATGCTAGATGTTGCCTCATGAACGTATTCGCGCATACCAATTAGCACTGACTTTAATATGAAATAACAATATAATTATGAAGCAAATCAAAATGTTTCATTAAAATTAATTTTTTTCGGTTCGGTTTTCGAAAATGTGTGTACATATTGCATAATTCTACTTTCTGTAATCCCAATAATAAAAACTTTTTACAGATATATAGTATAATTTGAACTGCGTTATTAATTGGTACTACTTATCATATTTATCATGATATTGCTATCGTGTAACATCTAAAGGTCTTTGAAGACTTGATATTGGGGTACATACGGTATTTGACAAAGTCCATTCAAATAGAAAGACATCCATCATAACGGACGGGAAAGTCAAATGTTCATGACATTATCATTCTCACACGGCTTTAGAGCGTCGCAGTCGCTTCCGCTTATCTACAGTTAGAAATGGTTGTATGCAATAAATATGTACATTTATGGGCACACCTCTCTATATACTAGAGTTAATGCAATGTATGAAAATAACTAGAATGTAGAATAATTTATAAATTTTATTAAAAGTATATTTCGAAAATCAAACTTCAGCCCGATGTGGGCTTTCCTTTATCTTGCGGGTACAGGGTTTAAAAAGTGACTGAATTCAGACCCAAACCAAATGATTAAGGGAACACAAGAACACTATTTATAAAACACTTCGGAAGTTTCATTTCTCACGATAAGAAATTGCAGTCGCCTTTAATAGCTTCCTTCCATTATTTATGTATATGTAATATTAAATGAGGTGAAAGGACAAAAACATTTTGAGCTAAAAAACAAATTCAAAATAAATAGTTATTTATTTGACATATCTTCCAAAAAAATGGAAAAGCAATTTTCCTAAGAAACGAATCGGTATAACAATCACATCCTATTTTAAAGTTTTAAATCGTCTTATTCCCATTTCTGAGGCATAGAGGATCAAATTTTCAATTTTAAATATTCTAATTTTCGAGCGTATTTTTCTTTCTCAGTGTAATTAACTTGCCATATAATTAATTTCCCGTTTTCTCGTAAAAACTGCTATAGATATATTTATGCATATACTATATTTATGACTAATTGTTAGTTAAGTTAAATAGATGAAAGTGCTAACGCCTAAAATATGAGCTACAAAACGTGTAACACTCGGTCGATAAGCGAGCACTGCGATATGGGTAGAGACACACAAGGCTATTTGAACTTGAGATTTTGGGCTGACGCTCCACTGACTTATTGGCTTAGTCAGCCAGACGTTCGATACAGACGTGCCTGGTTATTTCGTTTGTACAGACAAAACCAAAATAAAATATGTACTACTTGTATATGTGTGTATATAAACTATCATATCCAAGCTAGAAGATATCGGGCTTTGTTTGCCTTTCGCGTTAGCTGGTGAGAAAAATTAAGTGACATTATTATCAAGCATACGCAGTGTGGAGCAGTTGGCGCATTAAATTCAAATGCCACTTACAATTCGATTACATTAAGTGCTCGGCTTACGACGAAGCCTCTACAGTTCAATATTTTAATACTCATGCGACCGATCGATCGATCTATCGACCGCTAATGTTCGTGTGACAATTCGATTCTGCAGTAGCGGCATTTGGAATGTGTGCGTGTGTGTGTGGGTTCGTAAGTGTGTGTGAGTGTGTGTTAGTGGTGTTTGTATGTTTGCCTGAAGCACGCGCTGATCGCGGGGACTTCAGCTTGCGAATTTTCAATTAGTTCGTTGACTGCTTTGTGGGAGCTAAGTGAAGTAGCTTCGGGCGCTAGAGCTCCGGGCAGTTTAGAATCTGTCACCCAAACGTACGGTGGTGCAGTGGCGAGTGGTCAGCAGGAATTGGTGGTTCAGCTAACGCTAATATCATCATTGAATTTATTACAATGAAAGTGCACATATTCAAAGCCGTTCTCGTTGTAATCTTTGCGAGTCAAGGTAATGTGAGGTTTTGCGATCATGGAGTGAATTTTGTTCAATAAGGCCAGAAATAGGCATTGAAATTATTATATAAGTGTTCGATCGTCAGGTGACTCCGTTATACGAAAAATGAATGCAATAATTAGTTATCTATTGGTGCCCAAATGGCAAACGAGTTCACTTGAAAAAACTTCAAATTTGCACCAAAAACACAAATCCGCCCGTCTCCTCTACTTATGTGCATTTTTTCGAGGTCTTATCGCAAGCGCGCGTGACTGCAAACAGTTATGAAACATGGGACAGGCAGGCAGACACCCACCTGATACTACCTGTTCTATAAACGGACAATACAAATATACTCACGAGTAGGTAATTTTGAAAACCAATTTAAGCAACTCAACAGCATTACTTGACTCTGTTTAATGTTGGATGCTTGTTGAGACATTCATTAGTGTCGCCTATTTACGATATACTTGTATTTCAACATTTAAAGTGGGTATCAATATAATGCTTTAAATGTACTTTCGAGATTTTATAATAAAATACATGAATCAATGTGAAGTCAGTAGAATGTTCATTCGTTCATTCAGTCCAACTCAATTTCTCGCTCCAGCTTTTTAATTAAAATCAACTTTCTTTGCCAGCTATAGGATCCATTTTAGCGATTTGGATACAACTGTGGATGATTAGGACGTTTTTGGCATTTTGCTTGATATCTATACCGAATAATGAATAATATATGGCCTGTAAAAGTCTGGGCATAAATAAGACTAGACTATAAATTTTCAGGTACCCAGTTTCGTGTCCTTAGCCAAAGTTCTCGGTGCTCATATGGAGAAAGGTATATTCGATATTTGTATTTATAACATTGGGTCTGTCAAGCCCTATACAAAACAAAAATAAAGTTGGATCAAATTTTAAATTTCACATTTTTCAAATTTTACCTGGTTCAAAATTATTTGTTATAAAAGTAGTTTGTTGTAATTTGTGATTATGTGAACATGTGATTGGTGCAATAAATTGTTATTAGCGCTTCAAGTTGGTTTTGTGTGAGCTTAAATGTTAGCCAAGGTGTTTAATGAAGTGAAAATTAAATAAATATAGAAGCGTGTTTTCGTTCAACATTAGCTATTGGAGCGCTACGATTTGGCGCGTCCTTGAACGCGCTCGATTCGCATTCGTAAATTAAGGTATTCCTATATCAATATACTATGAGTTTATTTACTGTTGCATTAAATTTGTCATAATTCATGTAGACCGGCTTATTTGTCATTGATAAGAACTCACGCGATCACGAGGCAGTCGCACGAAAGGCAGACAAAATGACGCGGGCTTTGTCTATGTGTGTGTCGGCTATATATAGTATACAAATAAGTACTGAAATAAATAGGTGCATATATATTGTAAATTAATGTCCGATACGGAATTGGCTTAATCAATAACAAGTAGGCTTAGCGTCGAAGAACGCGCCAAGATACGGTAAATTGATTTCGCAAAGTGGTATTACTGCGTTTTATGCCTTATTGGCGTGGGAACCGCCAACAAAGTTCAAGAACTTACTGAAGGTGCTTTAAAAACTGTTTGCAGCCGTGAGTGGTCATGGGTTTGGATACTCGGAACCAAACCAGCGGCGCTGGTCCCGTCATCATGGTCACTGTGCCGGCAAAACGCAGTCGCCGATCGCCATTAGCTCATCGCGCGTAAGTATACCCCAGTGTTCTAGATTTAGGCATTGAGCTTATTATAACTAATATATATGTATATTTTGCAGACCATTCCCATGCACATGCCTGCCGTTGATATGGTGGGCTACCACAACCTACTGCCCTATCCCCTCAAAATGATTAACAATGGTCACACGGGTAAGCAGTCGACGCGCATTATGTCATAACTTTTCTTAACGCATGCATGGCAGTTTCCATTTCCATTCCGAAGCTCACGGGCAATGCGAGTGAGTCAGAGGGGGCTTTTCTGCCTTATGTCCGCGGCGGCAAGTTGCCCGGCGAGTTCGAGGTTGAAGGCGTTCATTTCCATTGGGGTGACAAAAACAATCGCGGCTCCGAGCATGTCATCAATGACATACGCTACACGATGGAAATGCATATTGTGCATCGAAACAAGAAGTACCCTGACATCGGAGAAGCTCTGAAGCATCCCGATGGAGCTGCTGTGCTGGGCTTTATGTTTAATGTAAGTGAAGTGACCGATTCTCTGCAGCATTCGATTCAATGCATTACCCTTTAGTTGGATGAGGACGAGGGCCTGGGTCTGGTCACGATAAATCGCCACTTGCATCTAATAGAGGAAGCCAATAAGGAAGCTATGCTCAATGTGACATTTTCGTTGTCCTCACTGATAGCTAACGTGGATGTAGACAAATTTTACACATACAAAGGTAAGTACACACCTGCTACTATATGGACTTTCAAAAAGACAGTGCTAGCGCATACGAAACGTGGGACGAATTGGGTGTCGTGGAAGGTTTGTCCATAATGTATTGCCAGATATGAGATTGGCCTACAAATTAGTAAAGCAAGGCAGCCATGTGTTGACGTCTGCTTTAATGACAGCAAATTGATGGCTAACAAGTTTATCTGCCACACAACGGCCCGCATGCCAAATGATCTTTAGGGTGTGCTGACATGCTTCATAAGCAGCTCAGATTGAGATCGAGCCGAGCCTAAACATTTCTCGACTCTTGCAGGTTCACTGACTACACCACCCTGCTCGGAGGCTGTCACCTGGATACTCTTTCCGGATCCAATACCTATTTCACCTAAACAGGTTAGTGCTTAACAAATCAAGTGCTGCGATCGCAAATGCAAAAGCCTTCTTCTTATAGATTTCGCGCTTCCGCCAACTGTCCGACACACAAGATGGCGCACTTGTGGACAATTTCCGGCAACTGCAGCCTGTGGGTAATCGTCGTATATTTGCGCGCATTGGTCACGTGCGACATACATCGATCGCGGCGCTGAAGAACGAGGTCGACTATCTCAAGTACGATTGGTTCTACTGAGTGCGCTCTCCATCGACGAGTGCACACTGTGCCATGTCTCAACTGAAATTAGCCTTAGGTACAACGCATTGTAAAGCCCTTGCATTTATTTTGTAACATTAACATTAACACAACAGTTAGCAGAGTAAGCAGTGAGATTTGCAATAAAATCTCATCTACCATAGGCAACTAAAAAGTAGAGCATTTGTCTTTATGTGATCATTTGAGTCTTCCTGCCGTACAGATTCAGGGAGGTCGGTATGTCGGAGACAAAAAAGTTGGCGGGTATTAGATGGAAGAGTTTTCCTAGTAGATCCTGTAGAGTGCGCTCCACGGTCTGCACAACCAGAGGACGCAAAGCCTCGAAAAAATCCCGCCAATTGTCGTTAAAGAACTGGTTGGTGCTGCGCTCCACTTCCTTGCTGCGCCCATTGAAGAGGTTGTCGAGCTGCGAGTGCACTCCCGTCATATTAAGCTGCACCTTTACCGACGTCACATTATAGAAGGTGAATCCGCCTTTCTCATACAAATGCGTCTTGGTGTGCATTAGGATGTCCAGGTTATCTGGTATGGATAATAAAAAGGCCGTTGGCATGTATTCATTTAGAAAAATTTCATTTCTGTTAAAATACCAATTTCGATGTAAATCTTTCCAGCCCCGCTAAGCTTTAGCAGCAAAATGCGGCCCACCATTTTATATTGTCCATCCAAACGCAACCGTGGCAGAAAGATTTTGGTTTGCCAGCTGAAATCCTTCTTGCTTACTCTGAATCGAGAAATTCATTTGGTAATTCATTTATGTCGATACTCCGTCTACATGCTTTTAAAACTTAAAGCCCACTTGACCTAATTAGTCCCTGACCGCTTCAATCTAAATTGCACGGCAATACAGATTTTGAAAGCTCCACAGCAGCAGTCTTATTTAACTCGAAAATAGATTAAAATGTATTGGTAAATGCGTGCTACTACATACATATGTACTACATATGTACATACAGATGTATGTTAAATATAAATGATTTAAATTGAATTTTTGATATCTGAGTCATGCTTCTATCAGTCCACGATACAATATAGCTATGTACATGTAATGTACAAAACCTATACAACGACAAATGAAAAGAAATTTCAAAGATCATAACAACAAATTGAATCCATTTTAATTTGTCGCTTAATGTTGTAGTCAGACATAAAGTTGTGCGAAAATTAAAATACATTACATTCATATAAAACTGCTTCTAAGTTTTTATTAAATGCAGTAATGTTTATATTCTATCGGAAAGTTTGAGCCGGGCGCACTTTTGCCAACAACCGGTTCTGCTTCGAGGGATTGACAGTTACAATTTTAATATAATTGTTATACTTATACCCCAATACATTGTATCTATTTTTATACCCTGTACCCGTAGGGTAAAAAGGGTATATTAGGTTGGTGTATGTATGTAACATGCAGAAGGAAGCATCTCCGACCCCATAAAGTATATATATTCTGAATCAGCATGGCGAGAGAAATCGATCTAGACATGTCCGTCCGTCCGTCTGTCCGTCCGTCTGGATGAACGCAAGGATCTCAGAAACTATAAAAGCTAGAATTACCAAAGTTGGCATCCAGATTCTCCTAGGTCCGAGAAAGGACGAGTTTGTTTCTTTTTTTAATTTTCCCCCTTCCCCCTCTTTTGTCAATAGCGTCCACATTTCAAATGCTACCTAAACCAAACTTTGCACACCTAATTTCTATATAATTATCTACTGTTGTTTAAAATTTTATACAATTCTGTTAATTCAAAAGGTATTAGCGAAACAAATTCTCGCCAGTACAACCCCACCAAACTGCAGCAACAAGTTCGCTCTTCTCCTTCCTCTTTTTGCTGCTGCTATGGGCTCATATAATTCAGTGATGGAAGTTTACCTGCGTACAGGGTATTACACTGTCGGGCTTGCTCGACGTAGCGTTCTCTCTTGTTTAGACAAAGTTTTTGTCTTTTGTCTCTTTATGCGTATACGAAGTCGTTAGTGCAATGTGCGACCATATACGTACTTAAATTATTGTTTAAGCAATAGCTTCTTAAAATGAATACTGCAAGTTTCTTACTTACTTGTGAGAATACCCATAAATAACCTTCGAAATGTGCAAGTTACTGCACTTCTAGTGCTATGCCGAGAAAAAACTGTTCATGTGGGCGATACTCACTTGCTCTCCTTGATCATCATTTTGCCAAAGCCGCTAATCAACAGATCGGTGATGTCGGCGGAGATGGTGGTTACATCGCTGTTGTCTTGCTCGAAAACAAGTTGATCCTGCTTCATGGGGTCTATGGGTCCAAAAGTCTCCAGTATTTCGGGTATTTCTCCTGTAATTGCAAATGTGCTGCTGAGAATTGATTGAGCTTGAACGAAAGCTGCTCACTGACCTTTGATAACATTATCCATGAACTTCTGTACGGAGCGCGTCGAACAGTTTGTGAACCCGGGCTCATAAATCTGACACGGCTCCATGAATGCGGCTGCGAGTTCAGGTAGAGAAAATTATATTGGATGATTACTCATACATCCTTGTATGTACATATATGTAAGTGTATGTGTTGGGTTAATGCTGACTAGGCCAATTAAAAAAGTTTTTTATTTGGTGATACCTGCAATGCTGCATTTTACTATTAGCATGTTAATTTTTTTAAACAGATGACAGGCATAATTTATTTATGCCAAGAACAGCAAATTCTTTTGCTTGCCTGTCTGTAGCAATATTTCACCAAACAAAATACACGTTAATTAGCCTGAAATCCGACTAATTCAATTGCGCTCAGCCTTGCTACTTTTCCCGTGCTCCTCTAGCTTTTGCACTTACGCTTTTCCGTGTAGAACTCCGCGCACTTAACACGGCCGATGCCCGCAAGGACGGCACATAGTAAGCCAATTATGAGCAAAGGGTGCGACATGCCAACAGGCTGTGGGGCTATAGGTTTGGGTTTTTGTTGGAGTTACGCGAATGCAGAACGGAGCAAGCGTTTATCACTGTCACTGTAAATGTCACTGTCACCGCTTAAGCGAGTTAGTTGCGAGCGAATGAGAGATATCCCAGCACGATGTTGTGTTTTATCTGGTATACATTCATATGTATACTATACATATGTATATATGTATGTATGTACTTGTATACTATGCATAAATGATCAAAGTTGTAGCAGCTAACTTGGCTGTATATGATTAATGAAATGGAACATGTATGTATATAGCAATGTCTATATACATATAGTACATATAATATGAACACGAGTACTATAGTCGTAAATGTTACACTTGCAATTAAGTATCTATTCTAAGCCTCATTCAGCTGCTGCTGACGACTTCACCTTGTTCTGGACCGGTAATTTAATATGAAGCTGGGAAATACGCGCACTTGCTTGCAAATACTTAGAGTGCATATCTATGAACAAACACATGTACTCGTGCATAGCCTACTTGTATATACATATGTATGTATATAGACTGAGAGAATCTAATTTAGATTACTACATCGACTACGCAATTGTTATTATTATTCTGCCAGATTAGTAATTATTTGATAATGCTTTAATGGTAATGTTAATTGAATCAGTGCCGTGGCTTGGAGCCACACTGATAAGACAACCATTAGCACTATCTACAAGTATATAGGCAGGGACTTGAGTATGCCAAAATAATCAAATATTAATTGTTTTAAAAGTTATATCATTATATCATATATTGGCACTTTATATTAAAATATCGGTTTACTATAAATATTCGTATTTCATAATATTTTTTAATGTTCATCGTATCACATAAGCTTCTGGTCAAGTATTATGTAAATACATATACACAGAAGATAAGGTACATGTTAAGAATGTAAACAACAATAAAATGATTATTTATTTAGTTATCGAGTATAAGACTGAACTTGTAAATAAATTAAAAGAGCAATATCTTTGAGCTACAATTGTGTACATGAAACTGTTTATTTGTTTTTAAAACTATTAACCAAATGGGTTAAAACAATATATTTATGCCATATCAGCAAAAAAGTCCATTTGGCCGGCTATGACAAACGCTAATAATAAAAATGAATGAATAAACATTTGTTGATAAAATTGTAATACATATTAATTATTTATAAATAATTATTACGTGTAATAGCGTTCAATCTTTAACCTTTTGTTCCTGTGCCAGATGTAGTTGAAATACAATTATAAACAAAAATCTACATCACTATATGAAAAATTTGATTGAGATAATAATATATATATGGACATATACACTAGGATGAATTAAAAATAAAACATTTTTTATTCGCTCTCATATTCATGATCTGTGACCAACTTGAAGATAAGCTTTGCAGAGCTGATTACAAGGAATATAGCTTAATTGTTCTTACAGTTATATCAATGGAAATATATTACAAACGTTCACTGGGGAAGTCTGTAATAGTCTGCCTCGCATTAAAAATGTGATAAGAGTTTTGTGAACGGATGCCGATACACACATGTACGTATGTATATATGGTATATATATATATATATATATATATGTATAGAAATATTTTTGCACACAATGTGAATCGAGCATCTCCACCCTATCTTCAGCACATTTGTTTCTGAGCCGTCGTTAGTCGCAATTTTCTTTGGACTGGAGAAGGAGTGATTTAAAAATTATGCTGGTTGCGAAATTATTTATTTTGTCGATACTCTTTCTTACTTTAGAGGCGCAAATATGTAACAAAACAGATACAAGATTAGTAATAATAAAGGGAAAGAAAACGGTAAGTAGGTGATGATACTGAACAGTTTTGGAATGGGAAATCCAATTAAGTAACAACTCAGCTTCAAAATGTAATTAAAAGAGTCTGTTGCGACGGATATATCAAAATTGGAAAAATTTGCAAGCCTTCTTGTAAATATTGCGGACATGGATTCTGTTCAGCGCCGAACACGTGCAAGTGTAGAGAAGGCTATAAGAACCTGAACAACCTAAAAGCAAATCGGTATGTGGAGACCTATATACAATGGAAGCAGTCATTCTAATTGCAACCTAATACTCTCAATTTTAATTGCAAGATGTGTTCCTGCTTGTAAGGGAGATTGTGAAAACGGCCGCTGCCTAGCTCCGGGAAAGTGTTCATGCGCCCGGGACTTTGAACTCATCAAGGAAAGTGGTAAATGCATGCCTATCTGTGCAGGTGGGTGTTCGAACGGATATTGTAAGTCCCCGAACAACTGTGTCTGTAAAGATGGCTACAAAAAGGTAAATGGAAAATGCGTTCCACATTGCGATAGAGCATGTGACCCAGACCATGGTTTTTGTAAAGAGCCAAACAAATGTGCTTGTACGAATGGCTTTGCATTGGACTATGCAAAAGACAATGCAGATAGATGCTCCCCAATATGTAAAGCTGGTTGTGAGAATGGATTCTGTGAAGCCCCTGGAAAATGTGCTTGTAATAATGGGTTTTATAAAGAAAGTGAACACAAGTGCTCCCCAATTTGTGGAGATGGATGTCAAAATGGATTCTGCATAGCCCCTGGAATATGCGCCTGTAACGATGGGTTTTCAAAAGAAAGTGAAAACAAGTGCTCACCAATATGTGAAGGTGGCTGTGAGAATGGACTCTGCGAGGCACCTGGAAAATGCGCCTGTAACGATGGCTTTACGAAAGAAAGTGAAAACATGTGCTCACCAATCTGTGAAGGCGGTTGTGAGAATGGATTCTGCGTAGCCCCTGGAAGATGTGCTTGTAACGATGGCTTTACGAAAGAAAGTGAAAACAAGTGCTCACCAATATGTGAAGGTGGTTGTGAGAATGGATTCTGCGAAGCCCCTGGGAAATGCGCCTGTAACGATGGCTTTACGAAAGAAAGCGAAAACAAATGTTCACCAATATGTGAAGGCGGCTGTGAGAATGGATTCTGCGTAGCCCCTGGAAGGTGCTCCTGTAACGATGGTTTTACGAAAGAAAGTGAAAACAAGTGCTCACCAATATGTGAAGGTGGTTGTGAGAATGGATTCTGCGAAGCCCCTGGGAAATGCGCCTGTAACGATGGCTTTACGAAAGAAAGCGAAAACAAATGTTCACCAATATGTGAAGGCGGCTGTGAGAATGGATTCTGCGTAGCCCCTAGAAGATGCGCCTGTAACGATGGCTTTACGAAAGAAAGTGAAAACATGTGCTCACCAATCTGTGAAGGCGGTTGTGAGAATGGATTCTGCCAAGCCCCTGGAAGATGTGCTTGTAACGATGGGTTTTCAAAAGAAAGTGAAAACAAGTGCTCACCAATATGTGAAGGTGGTTGTGAGAATGGACTCTGCGAGGCACCTGGAAAATGCGCCTGTAACGATGGCTTTACGAAAGAAAGTGAAAACATGTGCTCACCAATCTGTGAAGGCGGTTGTGAGAATGGATTCTGCGTAGCCCCTGGAAGATGTGCTTGTAACGATGGCTTTACGAAAGAAAGTGAAAACATGTGCTCACCAATCTGTGAAGGCGGTTGTGAGAATGGATTCTGTGTAGCCCCTGGAAGATGCGCCTGTAACGATGGCTTTACGAAAGAAAGCGAAAACAAATGTTCACCAATATGTGAAGGCGGCTGTGAGAATGGATTCTGCGAGGCACCTGGAAAATGCGCCTGTAACGATGGCTTTACGAAAGAAAGTGAACACAAATGCTCACCAATCTGCGAAGGCGGTTGTGAGAATGGATTCTGCGAGGCACCTGGAAAATGCGCTTGTAACGATGGCTTTACGAAAGAAAGTGAAATCATGTGCTCCCCGATATGTGAAGGCGGTTGTGAGAATGGATTCTGTGTAGCCCCTGGAAGATGCGCCTGTAACGATGGCTTTACGAAAGAAAGCGAAAACAAATGTTCACCAATATGTGAAGGCGGCTGTGAGAATGGATTCTGCGAGGCACCTGGAAAATGCGCCTGTAACGATGGGTTTTCAAAAGAAAGTGAACACAAATGCTCACCAATCTGTACGGGCGGTTGTGGGAATGGATTTTGCGAAGCCCCTGGAAGATGCGCCTGTAACGATGGCTTTAGGAAAGAAAGTGAAAACATGTGCTCCCCGATATGTGAAAGCGGTTGTGAGAATGGATTCTGCGAAGCCCCTGGAAGATGCGCCTGTAACGATGGCTTTACGAAAGAAAGCGAAAACAAATGTTCACCAATATGTGAAGGCGGCTGTGAGAATGGATTCTGCGAGGCACCTGGAAAATGCGCCTGTAACGATGGCTTTACGAAAGAAAGTGAAAACATGTGCTCCCCGATATGTGAAGGCGGTTGTGAGAATGGATTCTGCCAAGCCCCTGGAAGATGTGCTTGTAACGATGGGTTTTCAAAAGAAAGTGAAAACAAGTGCTCACCAATATGTGACGGCGGTTGTGGGAATGGATTCTGCGTAGCCCCTGGAAGATGCGCCTGTAACGATGGGTTTTCAAAAGAAAGTGAAAATATGTGCTCACCAATATGTGAAGGTGGTTGTGAGAATGGATTCTGCGAGGCACCTGGAAAATGCGCCTGTAACGATGGCTTTACGAAAGAAAACGAAAACAAATGTTCACCAATCTGTGAAGGTGGTTGTGAGAATGGATTCTGCGAAGCCCCTGGAAGATGTGCTTGTAACGATGGCTTTACGAAAGAAAGTGAAATCATGTGCTCCCCGATATGTGAAGGCGGTTGTGAGAATGGATTCTGCGTAGCCCCTGGAAGATGCGCCTGTAACGATGGTTTTACGAAAGAAAGTGAAAATATGTGCTCACCAATATGTGAAGGTGGTTGTGAGAATGGATTCTGCGTAGCCCCTGGAAGATGCGCCTGTAACGATGGGTTTTCAAAAGAAAGTGAAAATATGTGCTCCCCAATATGTGAAGGTGGTTGTGAGAATGGATTCTGCCAAGCCCCTGGAAGATGTGCTTGTAACGATGGCTTTACGAAAGAAAGTGAAATCATGTGCTCCCCAATATGTGAAGGTGGTTGTGAGAATGGATTCTGCCAAGCCCCTGGAAGATGTGCTTGTAACGATGGCTTTACGAAAGAAAGTGAAATCATGTGCTCCCCGATATGTGAAGGCGGTTGTGAGAATGGATTCTGCCAAGCTCCTGGAATATGCTCTTGTAATTTCGGCTACGCAAAGGAAGATAGAAATGTGTTGGGCATTTGTGTGCCTCTCACCAGCTTATACGAGGATTCTAGTACACCAAGTAACGTAAAGGGTGTTATTAATATGCAGAATTCCCATAAAGAAACTGTGGAACCGTTCAGTCAATGTAACAATTGCTTAAATGGGACTTGTATAAACAACAGATGTATTTGCGAAGTAAATTATAGGTTGCATGAGAGCAAAGAGGGTTTGTTGTGTCTCCCTGTATGCGAATCTGATTGTGTTCATGGATATTGTCAGCTGCCTAACAAATGCATCTGCTTTGAGGGTTATTTGGCAAACTCACAAAACGATTTCAAATGTGAGGCACTTGGGAAAACAGGAATTGCTAGTTATGTCCGAAGTGGAAGCCTGCACACCTTCATAGCTGTAACTATTTTTGCTTCGCTGCTGCTGGCTATAATAATTTGCCTCGTGATGAGCTACTTGGCTAAAAGGCGTAGCTACCATGTGGATAGGAAAGGTAAGTAAATGGCAATCAACAAGCTTATATGTATATTTCTATTACAAAATATTTTTTTTTTTTGCAGAACAAAAGTTTGGAGTATATTTCTCGGCGCAGAATGTGGACATAATACGAGCCTGATCTAAAAAAAATGTAGAGCTAAGCATTAATCATGAAATGTAAAACATGTTATGCTGCATTTCATATCAAAGTATTAGATGACATTTCCTTTTTGTTGTTGTTTGCAAAAAAAGTAAAATATATTATTTATAGCCCGATGGTATTAATTGAATGGATTGAATTTGCACTATCTATTGAATTAGTGAACTTCTTACCTGTGAGATGCATCAGAATGTTAGATTTTAAAACATATTTCATTCCATTTTTTCCTCCACTAAAATTGATCCGAATTTTGAAATATCTTGGGCGAATTAATGAAGCTGCGTAAGTAAAGCAATTTTTATTGAAAGTCGTTAAATTTTTATGACTTTTGTTTTCCGAACGAAAAAGCTTATTACTGTAATCTGCTGAAGAGACATTTTCTATTATTGCGCTAAGGATTACATTGTAATACACATTGTGAAATTATGGATCAGTAATTGACTTCCCAGTACCGTACAGCTTCTTGGAAGTGGGAATATCTTCGACAAAGAAATTCGCTGGTATGAGATTGAATACCTTCGACATTAAGTTGAAGAGCAGGCTTTCCACAGTCTGATAGATAAGGGGCTTGAGTGCCTCGTAGAAGTCGCGCCAATTGTCGTTGAAAAACTGATTGGTGCTGCGCTCCACTTCCTTGCTGCGTCCATTGAATAGATTATCGAGGTGAGTACGGACTCGTGTCATATTCAACTGTACCCGCACCGATGTTACATTGTCAAATGTGAAGCCGCCCTTTTCATACAACTGCGTCTTGGTGAGCAGTAATATGTCTAGATTCTCTGTAAATGGACAAAATAACATTGAGATAGTTTTAAAGATCCTGATCAACGCACCAATCTCAATGAACATATTCCCAGAACCGCTAAGCGGTATCAACAATATTCGTCCGGCCATCTGGTATTTGGCATCCAGCCGCATTTTTGGCAGATAAATTTTGGTCTGCCAGCTGAAGTCCTTCTTGCTGACACTTCAATCGCGAAGGTATGACTGTCAGTGGATTTTGCTAGATTTTCAGAATTAATATCACGCACCGGCTCTCCTTTATTTTGGTCTGGGCAAATCCCTTAATGACGACGTCGGTTAAGTTTGCACGTATGGTGGCCACCTCATTATTGTCCTGTTTGAAAGCAATGTCCTTCACGTGCATTGGATCAAATGACCCGAAGCTTTGCGCTATTTCTGGTATGCCAACAACGAGCTGGTCGATAAGTTTTTGCACCGTGTTGGTGGAGCATTTGGTAAAGCCCGGCTCATAGATCCGACATGAGGGCAAAAAGGATGCTGTGCAAATATGTACATTTACGCAAATATGTATATATGTGAGTACATAGAAGGAAATTGTCGTCTTACGCTTTTCTGTGTAGTACTCGACGGCAGCAACTTTGAGGCAGAGGCCTAGTGCAATCAATGCGCCACAGATGCCAAGTGGCACACAATTTTGGTGTCTGCTGCCCATATGTGTAGTCGATTTGCCCACAGAAGCCACAAAGTTACATCAATCTGTTCCACAAGTAACAACCGACGGAGCGACGAGCTCCACTCGCTTGGCTTTCAGCGTGCAAATAACTTGAAATTGTTTATGGCAAGCGTATATAAGTTGAGTCGCGGCCCAGAACTTATCTACACTTAGCTACCATATATACATATATGTATAATAATATGTATAATGCTTGACACAGGTGCAACAAGTTTAATGGCTCCATCCAAAGATCACAGCTTGTGAGAGCGACATATTTCCTGCTATTCAATTTTTTATATACAAAGGTTTCAGTTTATTAAGATCTTATTTGCTTAACTTTTCATAAGCCTAAATATTTTAATGAAAATTCTCGATAAAATAATTTGCCGGCACATATTCGAATGTTTTCTTGAAACGACCCAACAAAACGATGTCTACAGTTTGTTCAATTGTCGGTCTCATTAGTTCAAAAAAATCGCGCCAGTTTTCGTTGAAGAGCACGTGGGCAGTGTCCTCCAGGTCCTTGTTGCCCCCAAAGAGATTCTCCAGTCTTATCTTGAATCCACCTATTTTAAGATTTGTGTTGACACCCTGAACATCAGCAAAAGCCGCTTCAGGCGTTATACGTGGCTTCACGAACATTTCGGAATTTAAGGTTGCGTCATCTGGGGATTAGAAAAGCCATTTATGTAGATGCTTTGCACAAAGTATTGAGTTCATTTGGCTTACCTGCTTCAAAATATCCTTTACCTTGGCTGTTTAGATTTAAGGCCAAAATATGTCCCTTGACTTTGTAATCAAACTCAAAGCGAAGTTTCGGGGCATTTGTAGCAGTCTTAGCCGTGTGGGACGAAGGATCATAACTGAAAAGAAATATCAAAAATTAAAAATTTGCGATTCACTTTCGACTAGTTTTTTTTTAAATGCTATTCTTAATTTCAACAAAAGGCTTGTTCTGCTTTCCGATTCCACTACAGGGTGCGCCATCATTTATGTCGGTATGTAAATATTGAATAACTTTATCATTAGTGAACCGATTGACTTGAGTAGACCAGTGTTGAAAACCGCAGTTCAAGAAATTGTACAGAACCAAATTAAATAAAAATATCTCATACTTGAAAATCGGTTGTTTTTTTTCAAAGATATTCAATGTTTACATGCCGACATAAAAGATGGCGCACCCTATAGTTTTCCAATGGAAAGATTGATTTGTTATAAATAGGGGTATAGTGGACAAATCAAAAATAATTTGTTTAAAATATGTATGTTTTCTGTGGTTTCTACCCGTCACTTAACGCATATAAGTACTAAATAAATCAATATCCACTTTTATAACATCAAAACTTCGATTAATAGGCAGCATGGTTTATGTATAGTAATAAGCTAAAAGCATTTAATATATTTTTTCGAGTAGCATACCATACCTATTCAAAAGTGGAAGCTTTAACAACGAATACAGATTTTCTCGTCTATTTCGACTGATATTAATAATATGCCTTGCATTGATTGCACAATGTATATAGTATTTGTAACGCCCAAATATTATTTAAGTCATCACCATTTCTTACCTTGCGGATTGGACAACAGCTCGGCTGGCTCCCTTGATCTGGACATTTCGTAGTTCTGCATTAAAAACTATAGCACCGTTGGAAGGTGAGATCTTTATACGTTTTATGTGGAGAGGGTCAATGGTTGTGAGTGTGTTTGTGCCCGGCAGTCCATCTTTCCATTTGCTGAACAAAACCTGTAAATTGGCAGCGAGGCATTTCTGGAACCCGGAATCGTCCAGTCGGCATGGATTCAAATAATCAGCTGTAAAAACCAGAAAGTAGAACAATTTATATTGGATAAAATTTGGCGTATTCGCTTACGTTTTTCCGTCAGATAGTTGGCAGCTGCGACTGCGAGTACAACCGACAGGGCCAGCAGACTCAATGAGATTGAAATTTTAATTCGCATATCTTAGCGTTTCGCGTACAGAATAGCTGGATTCACTTAAAACGGAAATATTCTGTTATAACTGTTTGTTTGGTAATATTTGGACGTTTGCTGTGCTTGAAATTTCCGAGTGAAATGGCGTTTCTATTCCCTGCTCTTGTGTTTTATTTAGAACGACATTTAAACCTTACATTGCATATATCATTTGATTTTTGATATTTTAACTCAGCTGGTTAGTCGCCTTTTTTTTGATTTGTGTTTTAATTTACTTGTTTTACGAACTAAACGAGTTTGTCTATATTAGACTTGTTGCTGAAATAGAGAGTGACATAATATAGAGTAGCAAATGGCACTTGAATTTTGTAGATGTTTGCAAATATTAATGCGTGTTTTTTGGCACACTCTGTTTGTTCATAACCTTCAGCTCTGTTTTGATTACTTTCCCAACTAAAAACTGCACAAATCGGACTATAAAATAATCTTCATTCTACAGCTATGGGGAATCACAAAACCATAGGCGTAAGTACGTTCCCCTTTAAAACAACAACTGTGATTTCATGATTTAATTTAATTAAAAAAAAAACTCCAGTCTTGATAGAAGTTCCTCAATTAAGATATACTATAATTCAGTTGTCAGTCGCAATGCAATACGACAAGAAGGGGGAGTTAAACTTTGGCCGTTGGGGGCAAAGAATATTAAAGTAGTTAACCAAGCCAATATTGTTATGTATGGCATAAATATGTGGCAAATGTTAAGACTTTGCCATTCACACAGCTTCGATTAGAAGCATTATTAAAGTGCCTTTGGGTGGAATCGCTATAATTCTAGCATTAATGTAATCAAAGTCACCAACTGGAACCACATACACGGCAATTTCAAAAACGTGACATATTTTCAGGTATTCCATTTTTTGTAGGCAAGGATTTTAATTTATTAAGAGCATGTTTGCTTAACTTTTCAAAAGGCTAAATATTTTAATGGAAGTTCTCAATGAAATAATTGGCAGGCACATAATCGAATGTTTTCTTGAAACGGTCCAGCAAAATAGTCTCCACAGTTTGTTCAATTGTCGGTCTCATTAGTTCAAAAAAATCGCGCCAGTTTTCGTTGAAGAGCACGTGGGCAGTGTCCTCCAGGTCCTTGTTGCCTCCAAAGAGATTCTCTAGTCTTATCCTGAATCCACCTATTTTTAGATTTATCTTGACACCCTGAACATCAGCAAAAGCAGCTTCAGGCGTTATACTTGGCTTCACGAGTACTACGGAATCCAAAGATGGTTCATCTGGGGATTAAAAACACCATTTATGTAGATGCGTTGCACAAAGTATTGAGTTCATTTGGCTTACCTGCTTCAAAATATCCTTTACCTTGGCTGTTTAGATTTAAGGCCAAAATATGTCCCTTGACTTTGTAATCAAACTCAAAGCGAAGTTTCGGGGCACTTGTAAGAATCTTAGTTGCGTGGGACGTAGGATCATAACTGAAAAGAAATATCAAAATTTAAAATCTTGTATGCATAAGCGATGCACCTTCGAGTAATTTTTTTGAATGTAATCCATAATTTCAACAAACGGCTTGAGCTTTCCGATTCCACTAGTTTTCCAATGGGAAGATACTAACATTTAATTATTTTTAAAAAGGTTCCTTGTGGAGAAATCAAAAATAATATAATAAGCTAAAAATAAAATAATTTAATTTATTTTTTCGAGCAGTTGCCATACCTTTTAAAAAGTCTAAGCTCTAACAACGAATACAGATTTTTGTGTATCTATTTCGCTTGATACTTATTAAAAACAAGTCTTGCATTGTATATATAGTAGTATTTGTAACGCTCAAATATTATTTAAGTCATCACCATTTCTTACCTTGCGGATTGGACAACAGCTCGGCTGGCTCCCTTGATCTGGACATTTCGTAGTTCTGCATTAAAAACTATAGCACCGTTGGAAGGTGAGAACTTTATACGTTTTATTTGGAGAGGGTCAATGGGTCCGAGCATGTTTGTGCCCGGCAGTCCATCTTTCCATTTGCTGAACAAAATCTGAAAATTGGCAGCGAGGCATTTCTGGAACCCGGAATCGTCCAGTCGGCATGGATTCAAATAATCAGCTGTAAGGTTGAACAATTTATTTTGGATAGAATTTGGCGTATTCGCTTACGTTTTTCCGTCAGATAGTTGGCAGCTGCGACTGCTAGTACAACCGACAGGGCCAGCAGACTCAATGAGATTGAAATTTTAATTCGCATATCTTAGCGTTTCGCGTACAGAATTGCTGGATTCACTTAAATCGGAAATATTGTGTTATAACTGTTTGTTTGGTAATATTTGGACGTTTGCTGTGCTTGAAATTCCCGAGTGAAATGGCGTTTCTATTCCCTGCTCTTGTGTTTTATTTAGAACGAAATTTAAACCTTACATTGCATATATCATTTGATTTTTGATATTTTAACTCAGCTGGCTAGTCGCCTTTTTTTGATTTGTGTTTTAAGTTACTTATTTTACAACCCAAACGAGTTTGTCTTGACTTGTATTAGACTTGTTGCTCAAATGCAGAGTGACATAATATAGAGTAGCAAATGACACTTGATTTTTTGAGGCTTTTGCAAGTACATATTATCTTGTCTTATTTGTTGGTCGCTCATACTAAAATGTCTTCGGAGCGAATAGCCAATACATGTTATAATTCTAGCATTTATGCTTATATTCAACTAGCTGAAGCTAGTGCCATAGTGCCATAGAATACTAGTTTAATAAATTGTATATACATTTGTTTACAAAAAAAAATCATGAATGTAATCAAAGCCACCAACTGGAACCAAAAACACGGCAATTTCCAAAACACGATGTAAGCCAACTAGTTGTCTTATGTTATATGCTTCGATTTTCAATGTCACATCAGACAATGTTGCTATGCAGCTGCACAGACAGAGACCAAGGCCTCCGGCTGCAGGGTTGATAACCCCTCGGCACAGTCGAAGCAAACTTTAAACTAAAGAAAAGCTAGTCAAAACTACACTGTCAAAGCGTGGCTGATTTCTGCGATCAGTCTGCTGTGAGTGGCCAACTGAAGCAGTAGCGATGCAGTTCCATGGGGTTTTGTTTTCAGTCTGTGTTGTGATCGGTTACATTATAGGGCCGGTTTGCAGTGCCGCGCAGTCTCACACGTACCTGAGGGAAGTGCGTAAGTTCAGTTTACAACTGATAGCGAAGCTTTTATCACCCTGTAGGATATTCCAGCGGACTTTCTGAAGCCTTGTCGGCTGCGGGATAGCGATGGCTCCTGCCTAGCAAAGCTGGTTCAGGACATTTTCTACAATTGGCGTGATGGTAAAACCTCTCAGCAACCACTGTACATACTCTGACCAGTTGAAATATTGTACAGGAGTGCCAGGACTACGTAGTGTGGGAGCATTGGAACCCTTTCGAGTGCGAAGAATTCGGTTGGCTCAGCATCTCCCCAATGTCGATGTTAAAGCCGAGATGCGTAATATGAGGACCCATGGACTGAGTAAGGCCAAGGTTTTAAATAGCACGTACGTTTATTGCACTATATAGTATACATAGTATACTGATCGCTGAGTTGTAAAATTATCGCATTGCTCCCCAAAGCACACTGATCGGCGGCGGACAGTATACCCTTGGTTTTCATGTGCAAATGGCAAAAATTAAAATTGAAAGTGAATACAAGGTAAAGGGCCATGTTCTGCTGCTCAATCTGAACAGCGTGGGCAACATGAGCGCTGAGTTGGGTGAGTTGGCCCGGATTCAAATACAGTACCTGCCTAATATGGATTGTTTCAGAGAATCTGGAGTACTTTGTGGCGCTGAAAACAAAACCTCAGCGAGTGGACGGGGTCACCTTCCTAAATGTAAGCGCTGTCCAAACCGACATCGCTCGCATCGACAAGATTCGCGTGCAGTTCTCCAATCTTTTCGGTGGCAATGAGGAGCTTGAGCGCAGTGCCAACGAACTGTTCAATGACAACTGGCGGGTATTATTCGACTTACTGCGTCCGGTTCTAACGCAAACCTATGATGCAGTACTGCTGAATCGATTCAGCAAGATTTTTGCATACGTACCGGCCAAGCTATTATTTGAGGACTTGTAGTTACATACTATATGCAATTCCCATTCTTTATTATTATTTAAAATGTTGCCTTCTCACAGAACAAATATGATTGTACATACGATAGCTATTTAAAATTAAATATCTTAATCACACCAGTTCGAATCTTGTATATCTCGTATACAAGAACTGATGCAATTGTAAATAACTCAATGAAAAAAATGCATTTGCTTAAATTCTTTTTATTCAAGTGATTCAAGTAACTGCGAATTGAGGACTCAAACACGGCTAAGACTGTGCGACAGATATGAAATCTCTCATCCGTTGCCTTCGCGACCGTTAAGTTCGAAAACTTCAATGGTTGACTTGTCGTTTTTTTCACAAAGGAGTTATAAATCGATCTACATTATTATCCATTACTTAACAATACTCTTAATATGTGATAGCAAAAGAAAAGCAAAGAAAATTTAAATAAGAACATAGGCAAGAATCTTTTGGTGCGAATTAAACCCAACACAATTCGTTTTAAAACATACTTGATAACAAATCAAACAGAACAAAATCAACCAAAACAATATTGGAAGAAATATTTCCAAGCATTAAGTTATTCTGTGTATATATAGTATAGAGTCAATTTAAATTTAAACTCTCTATGTTGTTTATAAAATAAAACGTAATCGGGGCTGCTTGGCTGTTTTAATACGTTGCGTTTGTTTTCAAGTTGATTCTAAGCTACCCTGCCTTTTAGAGTCCTTACTAGTAAAGGCTTTTTGGAAACAGGCAATGCCCTGCTGGTACGTAATGCACATTCGCTGATCAATCCTGTGTCAATTTAATTTAATATTGATGCTATGTACTTATATGTGGTTTGTAATAATATTGTTTTATGTAGCTGTTGGGGCTCAGAAGTTCCCAGTGTTCTTGCGGACGGACAGATGGATATGTCTCTATTGATTCGTTTCGTCATGCTGATCATACTATATAGTCTATGAATGTGGCGGTTGGACTTTCTAGTATACCCTTTGTACGTTCAGGTACATGGCTTAGATTATAAGTTAACTTAGAGAGAGAAATTCATAACAAATTCGATTTGTCATCGAACGAAAGCTATTGCAATATTCACAATAAACTTGATCTGTTGGGCAACCAGTTATTTTGCATTTCTATAGAGCGAAGCGCCCAACCAGTTCTTGCAGCATCCAAACATTGTCTACTGCTAATTTAAGCCACCGACCAGGTCAGTGGTCCAAAGGTTTTTTTGCACATTCGGGCAGCAGTGAACAAGAAAGAAATGGTTTAAGTTTTTGCCATGACAGCAGCAAAATGTTAAGGTAATTGTTGTGGTTGTGTTTTATCTGACGGACTGCCGTCTCGGTACCTGTTCAATCATGCCGAGTAGTAAGCTTATTGAAAGAGACCAGATATAACCTGCGGAGCTGTGTAAAAAATAAAAGTTGTCAAATGCGTTACATTGCTGAAATAGTTCGATTGCTTCTAAGTGGGCTGTGAACCATTACAAACACTTCCGTGCATGTCACACTGGCATGCGACACTGTTCTGCCCCCAGCATTTTGTTCTCATTGCGTATGCGTGTGCGCAAAGAATTCGATTTGCTTCGAATCGACGTTAATAACCCGATTGTGAATTATTATACACACATATGTGGAGGCTACGCTACTCTATCTAGCTTACTCACCTGGCTGGCTGGCTGGCTGGCTGGCTGGCTATGGCTATGTACTCGAGCATGATTCGCCAGCTGCTTATGACGCTTTCGATTTCTATGCTGCATTCCAAGCACTTGGCTCCCAGCTCGTGCACAGCAAAACGCTCTGCTCCGGTTCTGCCGACGCGTCGGTTTTGTACAGCTAAGTACGGTAAGGCTAGGCGGCTGCGGTGGTTGTCTGTCTGTCGAGCTGTCTGTTGCTGTGAGTTTTGTGGGGCGCAGCTGATCGCCGCCTTTGCCAAGTGGGTACCCCAGCCTCGGCCTCGGCCCCAGCCCCAGCCTATGCCCCAGTACCAGTTCCTAAGCCCAGAGCCGCCAGTGCTTGAGCGTACGAGCAATTTGCTCGCTTTTGCCGTTCGCAGTAGTTTAATTTTATTTACTTACTTTTTGTTTCGTTGCTGCGCTTTACGACATGTTGCTCGTGGTATAAAAGCGTTGCACGCCCTGATTTTCTTTTGAGTTTGTCGTTTCGTTTCGCAGAGTCTTGAGTACAAGTGCAGAAAGAATTCTTTACAAATCAAGTGCCTCATTTCGCTCAGTTTTCGTTTCGCTGCTTACGATCTTTATATTATTTTTCCGAAAACTCTCAGCATCGAGATTGGCGAATACGAAGCGACTTCAAGAAAAATCAAAAGAATAAATTGGGATTGCGAAATGTCTCAGCTGGTAAGAAAATAAAAAACATCTGAAGAATAAGTGCAAAATAAAATGAATATGCCAAATGAAATGAATTCCAAATCGAGACAAATAGTAAAACAACGACTTGAAAAGTGCGCAGTTAGACTCAGAATACCACAGCTACGGCTTTATAAAGAGCTGGCGATAAAGAGAACCGGTTTTAATTAACCCAAGTCTGGTGTCAAATTTAAATACATTGTACCAGCCGCTGCTCTGTCTGTAGATTTATGATAAAAGTATTGTTTAATTGTCGGTTATTTACGCCAGTTATCTGTCCTTGAGCACACTTCGCCTCCCCGTTGGTGTTACAAGCGAACAAAATAAATCACAAAACCTTCAACAAGTAATCTATTTTAAAACTCCATTCCCCATTCCTTTCCATGCCGATTTAAACGGCATTAATTGGATTTTTGCAACTGCCATGAATTTGTCGAGCAATGAGCATATTATGTGAGCATAGTTGTGATTAATCATGGCTTTATTTATGTCTATTTTATAGTTGCACACAACATGTGGTTTAAAAATTATAAATTACAATAATTGAAATGAACGGATTGGAAAAATCAAAGATTTCAACACTTGATGCACAATTTGTAGAAAACATAACAAACCAATAGTATTTGTATACTAAACATTACTTTTCGAAATGTTAACACTGTAGGCGTGTAGGGGAACAAAGAAAAAAGATATTAGTGTGGTTAACTTTTGATATAAATAATGATTCGTTTTTTGTTTCTTCTTCAGCTTACAGGTGTCCTGCTGCTGCTTGTTCTACAATATGCACAGGCCCAGCATCAGGACTACACAACACCTGTGCCCATACTGAAGCAGATTGATAAGCACAACGATGATGGGTCGTACACGTACGGGTATGAGGCGGCCGACAAAAGCTTCAAGATTGAAACAAAGTATCCCAATGGAGAGGTGTACGGCAAGTACGGCTATGTGGATGATCAGGGCAAGATTAGGGAGATCGAGTATGGTGCTAGTAAGCGTGGCTTTGAACCTGCAGGCAGTGACATTAATGTCCCGCCACCAACGCTGACCAATAGCAATCCCTATCCACTGGGTCCCAACGAAGTGGACGATGGTCAGTATCGCGAGGATCCCGCCGTATACTATAAGGACCAGAAATACAATCGTCCCTTAGCGGCCAGCAAGTTCAGTTTGAACGATTTTGGTCGAGCGCCGCAATACGCACCCGCGCCTGCACCCCCCCGTCCCTACTACAATCCTGCTCCACAGTATTATAACCCACCAACGCCGCAGCCGCGCTACTATCAGCCACAGCCACAGCCCCAACCCCAGCCCCAGCCTTACTATGCACCCCAGCAGCAGCAGCAGTACGCCGGACTTCCCAATCAGCACCACCCAGCATTGCGCAACCTGAACATCTATACTGGGTCCTATAGCATCGACTACACGGGCAGGAAGTAGGCGTAGCTGCGGATGTAGGCCAGTTTTGTTTTGGAGGTGCGCGCCATGTGGGAATGAACCAGGAGTACCGAGAGAGATACCGACTGATGTCCGAGGACAATGTCAACTTGTTACTGCCAAATAAATCAGTCATTTCGATATCCATATGAATGTGTTTGCATATACGAACTATGTGTATGAGTATGTATGATGTTATGTCGAATGAGTTGTAGAGCACAGAAACAAAATAAATAGGTTCAAAATACATATCTACCTGCTACATCGTGCACCTGCTTCTTCCATTCTTCGGCAGTCGTTCCTGGCGTAGCCGCTAAACCAAATTCTATATACAAACAATATGAAATGAGTACAAGTAATGAGTTGAAATAAATTCCAAGAGTTCCGCTTCAATTAAGTCGAACAATAATCAACTGAATTACGTCAACAATTCGCCTGCGTGCTGGCGGTGCAAAAACGGCCGCCAAAACAAGCCGACGCGATGACTGAAAGAATGAACAGAAAGAGTAAAAACTGATTTTGATTTAGATAGAAACACGAATCGGTTGCTTGGTATTTGCAGCTATAGGAATTTGGTGCACTTATGCAATGGCCAAAACCAAAACCACTTTCAAATGCGCCGCGCGGTGCCACTGGCAGTGGTTAGCAACCACCAGTTGGCCAGCAGTTGTCCAGCCGCATGCACTTCATTGGGTGTGCAGGGGCGTATGTTTGTAACAAAGTATGTGCATACCTTTGTGTAGTATAAGGTGTGTATGTGCTGTTGTGGCTTACTTGCTCTTACACAGTGGGATTCATTTGAGATCTATTTTAAAACACAATCTTCAACACTCTCATTGTGTGTATTTGGAACATTATTGGAGCAAACGCCACTTTTCAAATGTCAGCGTGGCAGAAATCTCTGTCTATAATTCCCATTATTATTATCTATAATTCAATTATAATTTATAGTTCACATTTTTAATATAAGCAAGGAACAGGTTTTTAGACTTCCCAAAAAATAAACTAGGAAATTAGCAGGTCGTGTAAAACTTGAATTGATGGATAGATTGGAAAAATGGGTGTTTCCTTTTTCTGCTGTAAGAATAGAATAAACTTAAGTATACAAGAAGATTTATTTTGGAGGAATCTCTAAATATTAATGCATAGTGTACTCTAAATTCGACTTAGCGAAAAGAGAACCTCCTACACAGTGTAGAAAACGGTAGATGTGTTTTGCATTTTGATTTCGAATTGAACAGGAACAGGTAGTGTAGGCAGGTTGAAGAGCTGACAAAGTTGGTTCTTTAAATGACTATAACGTCGGCTCATCTTCGACATAAATCCGCATAAGATTTGTCGGCTAAAATGTTTAAATATATTTATTAATCAATATTCCGCATTTTATTATAGAATGTGAACCTGATGAAAAATGAACAAATCTTTATTTTTGTTGAATCTTTTAAAGATGTTGACCACTGTGCTATTACAGCTCCAAGAGCCAAGCTTGAACCACGAAGAACGAAGTCAACTGCACCTATTAAATTTGCACAAACACCAACACACACCCCCTTGACGGAAATTTGTTGCTGTTAGCGTTTATATAATTTCTTAGAGCCAAGTCTGCAGTTGCTATAAAAGTGAAACTTGTCTGGCCACTGCTGCAGGGGCGTTGGCACGGCCAAGAATTTCCTGCACATAACATAATTGATACTGCTGTTCACAAATTCAGGTGGTATGCTTAAGAAAAAGAAACACTGCACATGCATACTGGTACACGAGCACCATCTTTATATTGAACGCAAATTGAGCTAAATACCTGCTCCACTTATAGGTATTGTAGTTAAGCTTCTTTGCATTATGCTTCACTATGGAAACAAATACAAAGGAAATTTGTTTACCATTGCAGCATTATTTAGTTTTCTCGTTCCTCGTTAGCAATTCAATAATCACTATGCAATAACAATAGCAATAAACAATGAAAAATAAAAGCCACAGGTTGGTTAATTGCATGCACCCCTCATACGTTTATTTATTTATTTATGTGTCTACTTACCAATTAGTGTAGTCGCCAGCAAAACGAAAGAGTTGTTTCTCTACCGATCTTGAATATCAATCTAAATATAGACACATTAAATTCAATTAGATAAGTAAAATCAGAGCGATAATGTTAGCCTTATTTCTGCATTCTGAGTATTGAAGTATTAAAGCCGCATTAAATTAGAAGCTGTCGAAATCTGTATCATGAGAGACAACATAACCAAACCATATCGACTTATTCGAGACCAAGGAGTGATGTTTTCATAATTAACTTGACCGATGTGAGGGTAGAAGAGTATCGGTATTTGCATTTTGACTTTCCTGCAGCTCTTAAACAGTACCTGTCCTTGAGTATGCGTGCAAGGCCCAAGTGCAGGAGTACTCGGAAACCGCAATAAGTCAGCCCCAGTCCCTGCACAACTCACATAGCCAGTCAGAATGAAAACTTGTCTTGAAACTGAAACTGAAATCTCACGCACTTGTGGAACAGACGGTCAGCAGGTAAGCCCTGTTTCGAGTGCGGCGGTGTTCGATTTCCTGATCTGTTCAGGTCTGGTTTTGGTCTGGTCCACAGAAATTGCGTATGCCTGGGCGTTGCATTTCTGTCTATCAAAGGCTTTAACACAGAACTGACCGACAGACCAACCAGTTTAAAAACTTCATAGCTCCCGTCTACTAGTGCGGTCACAAAATACGTACATGTATAATTCTGTAGAACTTGCAATACCGGCGCCGCGAGTGTGTGAGTGTGTCTGTCATTAATTCCACTACAGTGACGGCAAGGCCATTTCAAAAGTGCACTAAAGGCGTGTAACGGCATACTTGCTGAGACACACACATACGAGCTTTGTTTATAAACGGTATGAAGCGGTCGAGAGGCAGCCATTTTGCTTGACAGCGGGTGGAGGTGGAGGTGGAGCGGGAGCGGGAGCGGCTTTGGCTTTATTTGAGTAATATTGCTTTCTAGACGAACGAGTGCAGATCGGACTACCGTATGTTCTATTTAATGGCTAGTAGCGGGTCGCCATTACATGGTCATTAAGCTACATTGCCTGTCGACTGACAAAATGTGTACATATTGCGTATACGCGGTGGTGACCCGTGCATTGATTATACACACATACATTTACTCCTGGGTTTGATTCTTTGTAGTGGAAGGCATCGTATTTCTATGCTTTTGATGCCGTTTTCTTGAGTTCACGGTCGGGGACACAAATCACAGGGCTGAGCTTTAACGTAGTCGACTTACAACACCGTCTACTGGGAATTTGGAGCGAAGCAATTAGAATTCACATTGGCGCTGATTTGCTTTACTTAGCCTCAAATTTCATTCATTAGCCATGCGTATTGGCCCATGTCTTTTTTGGTCATTTGTCACGTTTGCAAGAGCCATTGGTTTGATTGATTGTTACATGATAGCTGCGTTTATTTATGCTATTGGGAAATTAATTTCGATTTTGCCAACTAATCGAGAAATATAATTTAATGTTTGTTTTATTTAAGATGAAACTAGTTAAGGCCAGTCATTCTACCTAATAGTGAAATGATTCAATTAATATGTAAACAGATAGATCTATGAACTCCTGTTTAATGAAGGTGGGTTGGGCTATCCATACAAAAACTATTCATATAAATGATTTTTTTTACTTGGCATAAATAGATGTTTAATATTGTTACAGTTCATATATTATTTACATGTGGTGATAATAAATACCTTTATGCTATAGAATTGTGCATTTAATTTAGAATATCTGATTTCATTCACATCTTATTAGCATTCACTTTTGAACACTATGCTTACTCTTTTATACATTTCAAAATGATTGCCGGATGCTCTAAATTTTGAATTTTTGTTTATGTCTATGTACTATATACTCTGTTTATTTCTGTCTCGCTTTACAAAGTTTGCAAATACTTTTCATAATGGATCGTAAAGGCTGCTTTGTCTGCATGGCGAGATCAGATCTTGTGGTTACTTGGGTGCTTGTTCCCGTTCCTGCTGTCGCTCAAAAGCTTTTCGACCATCGCAACTACTTGTAGTATAACTGTAAAAAGCACAGAGAGAACAAGCAATCGCAAGAGCTTCGCTCAGCTGAGCTGAACTGAGCTCAGCTGTGTTTGTTGGTGTCTGCAGCTGTGTCTGTCCTTTGCGACGGCGCCGTTGACTCGTTGGTGAAGTTGTGCCGCGTTGGTATGGAAAAGGTTTTCCTCGGGCAATATGGTGTGTGGTACACGTATATAAAGCGAAACTCAACAACTTGGGCGGCTCAGTCGGTTGTCGGTCTTTCAGTTAATGCAGCAGCGCGCAGTCGAACGCGAACTCAAATCGAATCAGCTTCCAATTCTCCAGCCTCGGTTTATTAGACAGACTTGAAAGTGCGCTTTTTGTATATTTAAGCTGGGTGTTGCCCAGCGAAGGCCTTTAACGGTTCAATTAAAGTTTTAAATCGATTTGGAGCAGTGCGGCCAGACAAAGACAACAAACATACAAACGAACAGCGAGTCAAAATGAATGTGGTATGTGGGGTTTCAATATCAAACTACATACCTACATATAGTAGGTATACAGATACTCTTAAAGTTCAAAGTTGAGTCAGGGTGCGTGTTTAAGATGGTGCTAAGGCTGGAAGCCTTGCTTTGCCTTGCTTCTCAATACGAAAGTACCAGGCAGGCAGGCAGGCAGGCAGGCAGGCAGGCAGCCAGTCAGGTGGGCAGGTGGTAAGCCGCATTGTTGTACCGATCTTTGGGTGGAAGCCTGAATGGCTTATTTGGTGTTACGTCACAGTGCAATTTCGTCGTCTACTGCGACTGCGACTGCGGCTGCATTGTCGTTGGTGTGCAAATATCGCATAATTTTCTATGCAAATCAAGTGAACCGTTAATTTAACAAGCATCGCTTGCTTTTGCTTGCTTGGCGCATAGCTCTCAGGCTGTGCAATCGCCGAGATTGTAACAATTTTTTCACCCAATTTGGTAACTGGATTTTGACATAATTTATGAGCATTTGTGCATTCATACACACAAACAGACTCTCACACACACACACACATACATACACGAATATGCTTAGCAAGTGCAATTGCATTTAACCTAAAGCCTTAGCGAACCAGAAACACTTTTGTCAGCATCTGTTGCTGCGTAGTTCTTATGAAAAAAAGTTGCTGGAACTTCAATAAGAAAAGTTTCGCTGCTAACAAGCGCACTTCAGACTAGGCCCCCCTGTCCATTCCCCCCACCCCCGGGCACATGTGTCCAAAGTCAGCGCGAAAATATCAAAGGCAACTGCTACTAACTGCAAATCCATTGGCTCAGTTCACACGCTGCGACTTCGCTGGACTGGTAGCCAACTTTTCGGTCAGCTACGGCTACCGTTGTAAAAAAATCGAAAAATTTGTGTGCTTGTAGAGCACTGGGTCCATGTCCGTATCAGTGGCTGTCTGACTACCTTTTTCCACTCATACACAGATGTCTGTGTGTGTGTCCAAGGCTGCGGCATATGGCGATACTTGTTGATACTCGGCTGGCGTGCATCAAGAGTGAAAGGTTTTCGTACGTGGGACTGCAAAACAGAAATCAAAATCGAAATCAAATTGCAAAGGCACAAAGCAAAAGAAAAACTTCGAACTTCGATGACAGGACATCAGGATGCTTTGCTGTAGGATATCAGCTTTTTGTGCGAACAGAGGAGTCAAATGCATTATTTCAACAGTAGATTATTTACGAATTTGTATCCTTTTTGATGTAGAACTCAGGTATATGGAAATCTACCATTTTACTACTACCATTGAATTCACTAACAAAATACGTAGAAATAAGAAAATACTTTTCTCTATACCCAGTAAAGATTTCTGATCATCACCTCATTCATAAATACTTGGATGAGTTTAAGTCAATCTCTTTAAAGATTTGGTATTCATACATACAAGTATACATAAATTGCACGGATTTAAATTGTTTGTTTCAAACGTGCTCGCAGACCGATTAATTTAACTGAGGCCCAATAGTGCTGCGACAGCAGTTGTCAATAAATTGCGGGACCATTATTGATAGTCGCGGCAATCGACATTTCAGTCTCGCTTCTACATACCCATATATGCCATGTGCCGGGCAGCAGCCCCCCGGATACTTGTCAGCCATGGGCATTAACTGCTGGCCAACTACTGGCTGTCTCTTGTGTTGTCAGTTTCGCATTTGATGCCAGTATACTCGTATACAAGTACATATAATAAGTACGAGTATATGGGACTTTGGTGCCTGACAAAGTTTTAGTTTCTTTACTTGGTACTTCTGCAGCATTTGCATGCTCGAGATGTATCTATGAGATATATGCTTACAACACGTTTCGCTTGCATTGGCATGTGTGGGAATTTTCGCGTCACCGGTACCGCATTTCAGTGTTTCGTCTGTACTTTGCGGCATCATCCATTCATTCATTTCTTTCATTAGCTGTAATTTTACACAGTTTTCTTCTTCCTGGACTGATAATTTTGGTTGTGTCCCATAGGAGTCTTTCTTTCCCGCTCTTACCTAATTATTCAACCGCAAAGTTGTGTGGGAGGTTTCCCTAGCTTTATTAAATGGCAGTGGAATATCAGTTGTGGTCTGCCTCCCTTCTGTCTGCTATACAGGTATGATCGGGCTGGTATCGCGTGTCACAATTGCCAACTGCCTCTTCATGCAACCGCTTTTCTATTTTCATCCCATTATCGGTTCCTGCTTGGCATTGAGTGCATTTAATCGCGTGATGTCATTGGCCAGTTGAAAAGTGAAAGGCAGGCTGACTCGGTGCTTTTGTAGACGACGTCGTCACCGTCGTCACATTCTTAGTGCAGTTCATGATTGGCTTGGGCGGGAATGTTGGCGCACTGTCAAGGTGTTCCGCCAACCGGCTGGCAATTAGTAAACCGGTTGCCATTTTACTATAATGACACTCTCTTTTTCCTGCCATGCATAGTTACAACGTATACTACTTTTGGGCTGCTTGTGTGGCAGCTTGGCCAGCGCTCAGGACTATCAAGACTACCAGGAGAACACACCTCGACCGGCACCTGTCAGACTGCGTCCGAGCATCAGTGCGCACGTGGAGGCGCAGCGACCGACGCCTGTTCCCATTCTCAAGCAGATCAATAAGTAAGAAGACAGTCTGTGATCAAAGATCAACGCAATAATGTAGCAAATGATTATTATCCAGACATAATGAGGATGGCTCCTACACATACGGCTATGAGGGAGCCGATGGCTCCTTTAAAATCGAAACTAAGCTGGCGACTGGAGAAGTCAAGGGCAAGTACGGCTATGTGGATGAGACAGGCAAGGTGAGAGTGGTCGAATACGGTGCCAATAAGTATGGCTTCCAACCATCGGGTGAAGGCATCACTGTTGCTCCACCAACCCTAGTGGATGAAACGGCCAAGGAGGAGCCAGAGTATGAAGATGAGCCGGTGCAGAGACCTCAGCGGCCTTACGTAAGTCTAGCGGTGATAAGATATTAAAATTGGGTCAAGCTTAACTATGGAATTCTAACATATTTCCTTAATCGAAACTATGCGTATCCTAACAGCGCGTTCAACGACCCCAGCAACAGCAGCATCGTCCGTCTCCATCACCTTTGCCGCCGCGTCCACAGCCTCAGTATGTGCAATATGCCGAGGAGGAGCCTGAGCCAGAGCCACCACGTCGCATACAGTACGCAGCCCCGGCTCAGGCAGCGCCAGTGCCACAGCGCTTGCAAGTGCCCGGCGCTCAGCGTTCCACAGACGTACTTTATTCACCACTTCAGCGTCCTGCACGCCCTGAGCCCGACTACTCGCAATCGCAAAACTTCGGAGAAGGTCCGTCCAACGTTCGTATCTCCAGGCCCGTCTACGCGCCTGCTCCTGTCTCACCAGCACCTAGCAGTGCACGCGCCCAAGGCTTCTTAGCGCCTGCTTCTGGCGGTCGGCCATTGCTGGAGCCTGTGCATTTCGGTCCCACCCAGGCGCCCATTGCACGACCAGTGCAACAGACCATTTCCCAACCACAACAGCCGCGCTATCAGCCACAGCCACAGGGACGGAGTGGCGGCGGTGGCAGCTTGCTGGACCAGCTAGCGCGTGACTATGCTCTACCCCAAGGAAGTGCGCAGCCGTTGCATGATATTTCCTTCGGCTACTATTGAGTTGCTTAGTGTAGCGTCCATTAGTTAGCTGATAAGGGAGTGCGTGTCTGAGTCAGGTGCATAAAACGATGTCTAAATAATATATCCTTTCGTCTGAGTTTTTCCTTCTGTACTCGAGCACTATCCATGCAAATGTTTTATCAATAAGACTTTTGAAGACATAATTAAAGTGTTCTTAACAATAACAAACGCTAGTTTTGAATGCGCACTAGGAACTTACAGCAAGGCGGCTCAATATAAGAGCTTTCGGGTGCCGGTCTAAGTTGTTTTTATATTTCCTTAGTATTGCATACTTTTAGGCTTGATCTTTTCAGAGAAGCTAATACGTTATTACTATCAATCACTATTTAGGAAAACTGTCTGTCTGTTGCTATATACTGTCTATTTTTCCACAAATGGGTTTACTAATAGGATAATTGATTATGGACTAGTTAGGGTCGGCACAAGAATATACTTGTAGAATGTTGAATCATCTAAAATCAAACCAATAATTTCTTGGCCAGTAAAAAACAAGAGAGAACGCTACAGTCGAGCAAGCCCGACAGTGTAATACCCTGTACCAAGGTAAACTTCCGTCACTGAGTTATATGCGCCCATAGCAGCAGCAAAAAGAGGAAGAAGAAGAGCGAACTTGTTGCTGCAGTTTGGTGGGGTTGTACTGGCGAGAATTTGTTTCGCTAATAACTTTTCTTAGAATTGACCGAATTGAATAAAATTTTGAACAACAGTAGACAATTATATATAAATTATGTGTGCAAAGTTAGGTAGCATTTGAAATGTGGACGCTATTGACGAAATTCTGCAGCGGGGGAAGGGGGGGAAAATTAAAAAAAAAAATAAACTCGTCCTTACTCGGACCTAGGAGAATCTGGATGCCAACTTTGGTTATTCTAGCTTTTATAGTTTCTGAGATCCTCGCGTTCATCCAGACGGACGGACAGATGGACGGACAGACGGACGGACATGTCTAGATCGATTTCTCTCGTCATGCTGATCAAGAATATATATACTTTATGGGGTCGGAGATGCTTCCTTCTGTATGTTACATACTTTGCACAAACCTAATATACCCTTTTTACCCTACGGGTACAGGGTATAAAAATGTGCTCATACGATACGAGCATATGCTGCCAATCTAGTTTGGAAGGAAAAACACAGTGCGGATATTTTATTCAACAATTTATTTAATTTAAATACTTAAGCATAAGAGAGGAAATTTCGAAGTGTGCGATCCAAAGTTTAATCGTAGTTTAACACCAGAAAGTAGATGCAGTTCTTTGGAGACAGCAAGAGAAATTGTATGCTCGCTATCTCCTAAGATAAAGAAGAGTATTCTCTGTGATGTAAATTATGTGATCTGCGTGGCGAAGGGGCAGTTTGGCGAGCGTAACTGGCCACTGGCCACTGGCGGCTACATCGTCCTTGCGATCACTGCAGATAGACTGCAAAGAGAGTGGTAGGTTAGGAGAGTTAAGGATTACCTAACAGTTGCCGGTTAAAAAGTTAGCCAACACGTAGTACTCACAACTGTTGGGGAAAAGAGTAAGTGTGCAGTGGAAAATTAAAGTGTAAGCAGTGCAAGCAGTGGAAGATACTGGGTGCTCATTTTGAAATGCTTCTCATACTTTGGTTTCAAGCTCGTTTTTGTGCATGGGAGAGAACAACATGCGTCGAGTATAGCCTAGATGTGCATAGAGTTTAATAAATAACGACCGCTAGATAAGTACATATATAAGTGTATATAGTATATGGATAACATAAATTAATTAATTTAGGTTAAGTTTCAACACACTATGAGTAAATGCTGTATATGACTTAGAGGGCTAAAACTAGTTGAGAGACGTCGCCGCGCGGGAATAGCACTTCACCTGACCCGCCCTGGGCCGACGTCCGATATTCGTGCAGACTAAACATCCAGCAGGCGATTAAACATTAGCGGGTCATGTATTTCATAGTCCTGTGGTCGAAACATTTTTGCCGGCCGCCTACCCTGCACATGGCGGCGAACCTTGTAGCCCCCACTGTAGGCAGGGTGGTTAGGTGGCGGCGGAGCACTATACACGTACTTGGACTTTTGCACCACCGGAGGCAGGAATTGGAAGGGTGACACCTTGTGCACCTGTTTCTCTATGGCATAATTCACTGAGCTGCTGCTGCCGCTTCCGCCATTACGTTTGGCCACCTCCAGTGCGGCGATTATCGGCGTCAGATCTTTGAGCGCATTGCTCTTTGACGCATGGTAGTTCTCGTATTTATAGTCATTGGTAGGCACAGGCGCCGTTGGTGTGTAATCGTAGCCCTCGTTGGGGTGCTTCTGTATATAGACTTCCTCGGCCGTCTGAGTTGTTGGGCGCTTTGCCATTTGATGGTAGATATCGGCGGCTCCTTGCGTCGCTGGAGAGTGTGGGGAGTAGGCAGCAGTGATGGATTCGGTGTGAGAGAGCGACTCCAGTGTGCCCAGATTGTTGGGTAACGGCACGCCATAGCTATTATAGAGATCTGCCTGCTCTGGACCGGTGGCGACAGTGCCAGTACCCGTCGGCAAGGTGTTTGTGTTCAACGCTACTGTCTTCGACGCGGTGTACTCGGTTTTGCCGTCCGGCAACATGCTTAGGATCTCCTGGAGCTGAAGCGCGGCCTTGCGGGCTTCCTCGTCGTTGAGTTTCTTGTGATGGCCATAGATGTTGAAGTCGTTGCCGCTGACGGTGCCTACGCATGGGGATGTTGTTGTTGTGGTGCGGTTGTGTTTGTGTGTTGTTGGTGTTTGTTGTAGTTGTTGTTGTTGTTGTGGTATGCAATGAGTGAAATATCATTAGATTTACCATTTTGAATTGAAGTTTTCATTATGTGGGGCCGTGAGTGTGACTTTGTGGGTATGTACGAGTATTCATGATTTTCAAGATCGTGTATGTATGCGTAGTTTCGGATGATGGAATGTATATATGTATTTATATTTACAAATGATGCGATCGCTGCGAGTGGCTTGTGTGTGGCTTCAAGATGATCTCAATTTTAGCTTTTATGTGGTACAGTTGTTGACATTTTTAGATATCTATTTATATTTGGCTAACAAAAGGATGATGCTATTAACATAGGGCATAAACTATATTTATAATATTCCAGTTTGAAACGTTACAAGGCATGTATGAGACTTTAGTAAAAGAGTAACTTGTTAAGTAGATAACAAATATAAACACTCTGTGCGCACCCAGAGCATTTCGATCATTAATCAGTGAACACATTACCCGATATATGTATATAGTAGAGCCGTGAGTTATTGTTTTGAAAAAATTAGATCTTAATCAATAAATAACCTTACCTAAGATCTGTTAGCAGTACCCTATAAGAGATCACTGATCAATATTCGAATGATGAGGTGAAATGCGTCTTTTCATGTGTTAGACTTTTTCAAAATTGTTGATATGTTAGTAAAAATTAAACACTTTTCAGTCCTCATGGATAAATTTTATACAAATACTAGGGGGACCCCTACACAGACCTTTTGATGTGAATTTATAATATAAAGTTATGTAATAAACTGGTAGGGGGACATTCGAAGACAAGAAGATTGCAGTTCCTTCAGTTGGTCCTTTTTAGAGTAGGTAGGTCAAAATACGCTTACTCATTAGTTTCACATCCAGCTCATTATCTCTTAGATCGACTTAGCAGTATGTTAAATACTATGGTATGTAGGTATGTACATCAGTAGTTATATTAATTATGGCATGTAGGTATGTACATCAATAGTTATATTAATTATGATTATGAACAAGTATTCACAATTTGATATTTTACGAGTATGACTTAATTGCTCTATAAATTTGGGTTTCGAATGCCATTAATTGGTACTTAAAGTAGGTATGTTAAGTGCTGAAACATTTTAAGCAATGGCGACATGATGCAGAAAATAATTATTCATATTTGTGTATGTTGTGTGTATGGACATATGTATGTACACCCAAAAACAATTAACCTCAATTTTGGCACTGCTTCCACCTCAACAGCTTCGAAAGCCACGGCGTCGCAGTTCAGTGGCAGTTGAAAAGTTGCGCAATGCTACAAAATTGAGCAATAAAACGCGTGCCACAGAAATCGAAAGCACCGATAACAATTAAAAATGCTGAATGAGTATGAATAGCTGAATAGCACGATATAGAAACAGAAACGGCGATAATCTGGGTTGAGTATCTGAAAATCTGATAGCCAGTTCAGTGCTGGTTAATACTTGAATATTGGGAGATATAAAGGAGCCGAGTGCCACAGAGCGGTGTATGGATACGTGCCGGAATAGCTATCTGTCAAAATTTATATTTACAAAGTACCCGCGGCTTCAGTTATGTTTTTTCCCATACTGTGAACAGCTGATGCTTTCACTTTTGTACATTGGACATTGAAAAATATGCACGGAAGTGTTGAAGGTAGGTGGCTAAAGGGAGAGGGCGAGAGAGGGGGAGGCGTGCTAATGAAATTGAATGACTGCAGCATGCCATTGTTGTTATGCCTGCTGCTGTGTTCATGCAGTTGATGGTGTTGTGTTGTTAAAAAGGTGTTAAAACATTTACGATCAAGCGTCTGAAAATATGTATATTTACAGGGTATTTACAGAGCCACGCCCACAACCACAAGCGCACAATGTGAGAGATTTTTGTGCCGCTTGCTTAGACTACGCACCATCTTGTCCATATGCGGATGGCAAATAATTGCTCGGCGGCGCCTCAAAAGCCGCATGTCCAACGCTGAATGGCGCACCGCCACCACCGCTGGCATAGCTAGCCCCCGGGGGCGGGAGATACTGATGCGTCGCGCTGCTGTAGGTCGGTGGTTTCGATGGCGGACCATAGTTGGAGTGGCCCGTGGGTATCTCGTATGTGGTTATGGCTGCAAGAAGGAGCAAAGAGAGTCACCAATGAGCAAACAGATCTCAAACGGCCGCCGTCTAGTGCGGTGTGTTGCCTAAAGAGGCTGAAAAATCTGACTGGGTACCGGCGCGTGGCATTAACGCTTAAACGGGTTGTCCAAGAAAACGAAAGTCGTCGTCGTCATCGTTGTCGTCGTCGCCAACACTACAGTCACTGGCGACCAGGTCAATGCACGTTTGCAGCTGTGGCTGGCTAGTGGTAGTAACATGGTCTGTGATGTGGTCTGGTTTATAGTAAATAGTATGTGGTTGAATGCCTGATATTTCAAATAAATGCATGATAGTGCCTGTCCGAGTGTCCGACGGCTTGAGTGCTGTTTTGTGCATGATTGAAGTCTTCCGTTTTGGTTCGGAACTTGTAGCTGTCCCACAGTGGGATGGAATGAGTATATCTTGTGGAAATTTTTAATGATGATTAGGGGTTTCAAAGTAGCTGGTCAAGTGGGTTTGAGATTTAGATTTAGTATGAGATTTATTAGAAAGTGAAGATATAATACGTGTATGTAAAGAATAACAGTCGATTAGGAATCATGTAACACATTTATGATATAGCGATTGCTCATTTTAACTTCATGTTGATCTTAGGTTAAGTTTCTTTTGCAATTGGGAGTGCTGGAGACAAATTGTTTCTGATTGTTACTTTTTCAGTCACCAGATTTATTATATTCTTAATTATGCTAGAAGCTTGTGCTTTTTAATTTTAGGGCAAGAAAAATGTGTACCGATATGAACTTTTTAAACGTTTGTCCATTTGTTGTACATAACTGGGCCAGTAATGTAATTAAGGGTTTCTTTGTACAAACACTATACTCGTATGCTAAATTGAATAAATTCTATTTTCCTGTCCACAGTGCACTGTGCACGTGGTTAGCTGCGCGTTACGCTCGAGCGGTCCATGGCACTCGGTTGAGGTTAGTTATTAAACAATTTAATTATGATACATTTCAGGGGCTTGTTTCATCGGATTACATAATGGTATTTGTTTTTACAAGTGTACATATTGCATGGCTCAATTCACTAGGGCAGGGCGAAATTAGCATGCCGCGTCAAAAGACGAGAAAATTCATGCCGCGCACAAGTCGATCGGCAAACGTATACTCACTCTCTGTATGCAGCACTGGTCCGGGGGCGGAGGAGGAATGTTTGTGGCTGGTGCCGCCACTGCTGCCGCCTGAAGAGGCGCCCGATAACGAGCTCAGTTTGGCAAAGGGATGCACAAAGCCGCCACCGCCGCTGGAGTGGCTTGTGGCATAAGTGTGCGAGTTGATGTGCGCCGAGTTGATGATGGCCTTGCCCACATCCGTGACCTTGTCGCCAGAGGCGGCCACCAAGTTGCCACCGGCACTTAGCGCATAACCGCTGCCCTTGATCAGTTGACCTTTGAGCGCTGTGACCCCGCCAGTGATGGCCTTGACCGCCTGGAAGATGGTGTTCAGCACGGACTTCTTGAACGACCACGGATCATAGTCGACTGAGTTTCCCTGCAAGCGTATGCATCAATCAAATGAATAGTTAGAGCACCCTTTGGCCGGCCAACTTACATGTACGACCACCTCCTTGTAGGAATCGCCGCCGCCGCTACTGCCGCCCGAGCTTCCTGACGCAATCGATGCCGAGGCATGACCTATGCTTGACAGGAGACCGGACTTCAGATGTGCCACGTAATCGAAGCTGCCGGAGCGCTTCGATATCTGTGAGTCTTTGACGCTTTCGCTGTGTTCGCTGTCCACATCGGTATCCTCTAACGAGAGTGACTTATCGGAAGCGATTGCGGCTGCGGGATAGGCATGGCACAGCAAAGGTAATGCTGCCAGCAGCATGAGACAGAAACAGGCCACCTGCAAAGGAACGAACGCAAAATTTACATAACGACCGGGTCTATCAGTTTATCAAATACGCAGATGTCGGAGCCCAGTTGTTTAATTTGATTTAGTGCGACAACAGGGAAAACCACTTTGGTTTTTCATTTGATTCAATCGCCAAAATGCAGCCCGGCCAACAGTTTGCAGGCATGCGCGTCGAGTTGCAACACATTGCGTTGCTCCACCTGTGCATAAGCATTCATTTGTCACACACACACACTCACACATACACACAGACAGGCATACAGAGAGACACACACTCGCGCTGCACACTGCATGCAATCGTAATTTGCCATTTAATTTTGCTAACCGAAAATATTTCCCAGTATGCTGTCACATGTGTCGTATACTTAATTTCAGCACTGCGGTCACAACTCAGCGAATTTGCTGCCCCGACATACGGTCTGCTCCACTGACTACCTTGCTGTCTGTCTAGCAGTTGGTAGTAGAGCGTTCGCATCAATTTCACGCACCATTTACCCATGATGCTGCTAATTGATAAACGAACGCAAAATAAGACTCCAACGTTATGGCTCTATTTGTAATGCCGTTGGGTTATGCAAGCATCTTTCCAGGAGCTACACCATTACAATGGACGAAGGACAAGCATTTTCAGATGAAAGCAAATAAAGTGAATTAACTATGCCTGTATGTCAAAGGCATATTATAAGTGTGTTTATTACAATATCACAATAATAAATGGAAAGACAAAGCAGCAGTATTATTGGGATTCAGGAGCTAGTTTCGAATCCAATTGAATTCAATTTAATACGATTTTAACTTAAGTTGTACAGTTTGGTTTTGTGTTTTGTTGTTATTGCAGTTACTTTTACAATTGCGGAAATCGATTCCTTTATCTAAAGAAAGCAACAATTTACTATCAGTTAATATTAATATTGCATTTGAATGGAATGCTGACGAGCAAACGAATGAAGGCAGGACACATTTTGTTCATATTTTAAAAGGAATATTTTATGCAGATAGCATTTATTGTCTAGCTGATTTTCCACATTTTATTCAACTATTTTTATTTTGAAGCAATAAAACTCTTAAAAAGCCAATTATTATGAACGAATGAATGAATATTTAAAGCTGTTTGGATGGCTCCAATAATCTTAATGATTTTATAGACATTTTTCTCAGTGCCGGTCTTAGAAATGTATAGTACATTACAAGTATATCTTATAACTACATCATGTAATATTCAGTTGCCAGTCATGCCAAATTGTTGAAATGAATTGATAGATTGGGAGTGCATCAATTTGCATAAAGTCTAGAAAATAATAAATAAATTCGCATAAAAAATAATTGCAAAGTAAGTCAAGCCGCGTTGAGCGCTCTTCTAAATATCAAATCATTATTATATCTGAATGGCTTACTGCCAGTCTAGGCATCTTTGAACGATACACCAAATTGTGCAATTGGCAGAGGGAAATTTTCTTGCATATGAGCGCGTACATTTGGTTGCTTAAATTTCGATTTGCAATGCCACATTTTCACGTCAAAGGCGTTTCGGTCATTTAGTCACCCCAAATACGTAATGCACAGGGTTCCGTTTCTTAACTATGTATTTGATTGCTTTAGTGTTTGATTGAGTATGTTTGGCTGGTTGAGTGACCATGCAGCTAATTGCCATTGCAATTTGCATACAAATGCACCAATTAAAAGCCAACTTCTTTTCAATGCGGCTTGGTCCCCAGCCACCAAACATTGGCTGCATACTTGTAAATCTGCATTATGTAATCCTACCCATAACGAAATTGCGACGTGTTTGGATTTTTAATCAAGGCTTGACTTTAAATTAGTTGCAGTTTTTTGGTAGCAGGCAAAATATTTATGATTTGTAGAGAATATATTAAGGAAGTACATTTTGTAGTTGTGTAATAAATAATGGCGACGAACTTTAGACCTGTTTTAATGGTAATGGGTATGCGCCTATACCATATTGTATTCTTAAAAAATGATTTAAACAAAAATCGTGTCGGACTCACTACTTAGAGGCATTTAATTTCAGCAAACAAATCAAAAACATTTTAAATAGTCAAAGGACTTATCGATTTGGACACATAATCTATGATTTGACTTAACACTCGCTTGACGTACGTACTGTTTGTTACATTGTTTGTGGCTAGAGAGTAGAAGTGTGCATAAATTAAGGGATTTATCTTAAAAGGGAAACAAAAACAACTGCTTCAACTTTTTGAAAACATATAACATATATATTTCCGCCTTTAAATAAAGTCAGTAGGCCTTTTCACTGTGAAAGGGATGCACTTCAACGAAAGAAATTCGCTAAAAAGCAGCCTTTTCTTCGAATGATGCTAACTTATTCATATTTGTGTTAAATATTTACAGAAGCAACCAAGAGCTGTCGTTGCCAGCAATGATCTACGCTTATGAGCAAATGTGTCTGCAGAGAGTGAAAGTGTTGTGTGTGATGGCCAGAGACCGGCGCTTCTTTGTCATCTTCTTCTTATTCAATGGAGTGAGATTGCTGTTGTGGTTACTGCTGTGATTTTTTGTAGTTTGCATATCAACATTTGTGTGGTGCTCAATTTTCTGTAACGAGTTTATGTTGAAGTTGAAGTAATTGCGGTAGGTTCAGTTGCAAGTATTTTAGTGCCTTTCTGTTTACTGTTTTCTTTAACGTGTGTCTTGCTGTCTTCTTTTTGGCACGTTTATTCACAAGTTTGCTTTGCGTACAAATTTCTTTATGTTTTCGAAAGCAACAACAGAAATAACATCAACAATGAAACTAAACAGCGCTGTCTGACATAATAATTATGTATGACATTTTACCTTCACACTCAGGCGACTGGGCCGCGTTTCTTTTCATTGGCCCCAACATACTTTATAGTAGATATGACATAAGACGTGCACGAATGAACCCATGACTATATACTATCTAGTATAAATACATATGAATGAGCGGAGATTTAAAGAGTCTAAGCAAGCCATCGAATGCTGGCTAGTCATGCACAAATGAGCACAGAGCCAAGTGCATTGGCGCATCTATTGGGATTTTTGGGTTATGGCGGCTTATATAACAAGCTAATGATCACATTCACACACACACACACACACTCATACACACACAGATACAGATACACATTCGAAACACATGGGGCATCTTTCGCTTGCGTTTTCGTTTGTTTAGCTAATAAAAGCGACGAAGCGAAACCAGTTTCGCATTTTCCTTAGCAGCGCGGAGAATGCGCTGCACTTGAACTTGTTTGGCCAAGACGTTGCATAAATATCGTTAGATGAAATTGGTAAGGTAAGGTATGGTAAGGTAGGGGACTGTATGCATGCGCTGATTTGGCCAGCAACAGATATAGCAACACAACAAACAACAACAACACACATATTTGGTCAATTGGTTATTGGCACTCCTCGACTACAACTACGACAACTACTTTCTCCGCAGCTTCCAAGGCAGCGGGGGGACTGCACTTACCTTCATTGCGTGTGTGTGTGTGTGTGTGTGTGTGCGAATGTGCGTATTGGTGTGTGGGTTGTTTTCAATTAGCGACAAGGCTAATTAAGTTCAAGCCGTAGTCGGTTACACTCGCGTCAATTCAGCTTCACTTTTACCGAGTGAGCAACGATGACGATTATCGTGATAATGACGTCGTCTTGACACCGGTCGCCTAGTTGGCTGCCTTGTTTGCTGCGTCAGTGTCTCTTGATCTCCGCCGTTTATTTGTTTCGTTTGTTTGATTTCCGTTGGTCAATTTTGCGCTCACTGCTTTTTACACAACTTTCTTCACTGGGCACTACTTCACTTGCAATTCGCACTGGGTATTGGTCACACCACAATCTGTAGCCGTTTCGTTTCGTTTTGTTTGGGTTTGGGTTTGGTTTGATATTTCGGGCTCTTTGCTTTTAATACGCGAGACACGAAAATTTCACTTCAAACTAAACAAGCGCGCGTTCGCTGCGGCTTTCTTCAATCTCTGCACACTGCCTTCGACTCGAGCTTGTAATTGCGGGGCTGGCGTTGGCTCCTCGGCAACGTCTCCGTACGAACTGTAGTCGAATTTGTTGTGGCGCAGCTCTTTTAAAGAAAAAATTTGGAGCGCATGCGCACCGCTGCTGACTTTGGTTCCAATCGTTATTTTTTTGAGTGTTGCTCTTAACGAAGAGTCGCGCATGCGCTTTTAAATTACGCTTTGTTACATTTTTGGCAGCGCTTTACAGTTGCTTGACATTTGTTACTCTATCTCAATTGCTTTAGTGGCTGCTGCCAAATGCGAATGCGTTTACGGGTTCAATGCGTTTCAGGTGGCAGCCTCAACATCAACACACTCTGCGTGTGTGTGTGTGTGACTTTTGCAATAGTGCAAGCGGTTCATTAAATTGGTAATTAAATCATATTTGGCTAAAACTATTTGGAGTTCGTTTGATGATGGCATCTTAACAAAAGATTTAGGCAACGAACTTGATTACTTTTAATAGTACCGAATGGTAACAATTATAATCTTTTTTTCCCTATAATCGGTATAGTTGGTGTCGATTTATTACTACGAAGCTCATATGTGTATAACCGAAAGCGTTGTAGACTAATGTTCTATTTTAGTCGATGTTTGGTCCAATTTAGAGTAGCATCAACCATATCTAGAAATAGTCTGCAGAATCCTGTCCAGACAATAGTATGGTTATGGTTGAGGTCGCCCTAAAAGAATACTTTACATTTATATAGAAATTGATTTGGTAATGAAAAACTGACAACGGATGATATGTCTTGCTCAAGAAAGCTTGACGGTGAGCTGTGAGAGACCATGTAGGGTCATAAAGAGAGTTGGGGAATGCTTGATGGATGGCGTTGGAAAAAGAGACAGGAAAACACTGTTAAGAGTATTAGAAAGTGATTGCCGGTAGGGAAAAATAAAGAGACCCTAAAAATGTCACATAAAGAGTGTTTATTAATAAGTTTTACTTAATTTTTACTTTATATTATTAAAGCAACGTACAGGACAATTATAACAATATACATATAAAGGCCTATATTTTTCTGTCGCTAAATGTAATTTCTATTTGAGTTGAGTTTAATGTTTTAACAAATTATTACCTTATTTTATAACACCAATGTTAAGAACGATTATTACAATATATTTCTCATTCTGTGACAAGATGTGATTTTCATGTGAGTTGAGATTCATTTTTATAATTGTGGCCAGTTGCATTAAGCCATGTATTAAACAAACTACGTAAAACGAACCTTCAACTTAGGGATGTTCTGAGTAGAACCTATGAGTCGCATAAGGCACTGCTAAAAGTTGCAAGGACGTGCTTGAAATCCTCTATTGTTTATGTAATTTATTTTTTAGGTAATTACGACCTTTGATAACTATTTTATTTATTTTATAATTAAGATGTATTTTTAATGGGCAATGGGATAAATATGTAATGTGTGTAACTAGCATGACAGAACAGAATGTTGACATATTGCTAAATAGCGCTAACCTATATCGATATTGTCGGTAAATTGCATATGTGTACTTTTATTGTATGGTTTTAATAGAAAGTTACTCTATATTGGTTGCTCCCACATCGTGTTAAATAAAATACTGGACGACTGCCCATGTGCCCATGTAATTACAACCTTGGCCCATGCTATGTGCTTCTGAAAAGAGGCAATCCTTCAACTAAGAAACAAAACACTCAACCGAACTTTAAACTGCAACAGACACTAACAAAGTTCAGGGTGACATTATCTAACATTACGACAAACGTTATAAATTCGTTTTTGTTCAGCTTTTAATGAAAGTTCACTGTCACCAAGTCAGTCGGCAATTTCAACTGCCAAAAACAGTACGTCCGACAGCTGAGCAGTCCTCAGATGTGCATAGAGCAATCACAGCAACACAAATAAGCAAGTGATGGTCATGAGCACAACAACAACAACAGCGGACATAACGACCTCCACCTCGCAGGGGCAAACGGCAGGCAAAGTTCAGCAAATGATGCCATGAACTGTTCCCATTTTACATGAAACTGCAAAGTTACGCGCACGCATTTGAAAAAGTCGTCGTCCGGCAGCCCTGTCACTGGCAATGACAGTCCAAAATGCTTGCATGTACTCGTGTCTGGCCAAAAGTGGTTCCATCCGCAGGTCCACTCCCTCGGCAACTACATTGCTGCAGCTACGTTGCTGCATTTTCGTATCCAGTTACCTAACCGAAAGTGAAATGGACGCTGCGTTGGCTTACTCGTACATGAAAATAAAAATGAAAACATGAAAAACTTAACTAAAACACAATACTCATTCATGTACTTGCAGTTAACAAACTGTAAATTTGCTAAACTGCAAGAAAATAAAAATAATACACACAATAAATAAAGGGGAAACAAATAAAAACATGAAAAACGCCTCTCATGTAATCATCGGCAACTGCCACTATGCTTGTGGCAACTAGTGGCCCATGGTGCTGGCTATAGAATTGCAAAGAGGGAGTAGGAGAAGGGAAACCTAAGCCACAGCTTGCTGCGCAATGCCACCTGACTTGTACTCTATAAGTACGTGTATACTTGTATTATATATAACTACTTAAAATGACCAACTAGTAAATGACGAAAGCATTGCTTTCAATTCTATGTATCAGTCAGTATCTGAATTCGCTGTAAGGACTTCTTGGATCTAAGTAGTCTGCGGGCTCAGAATCCCAAAAAGGTTCTCAATGTCGGCTAGTTAAGGAACCGTTAAGTTGTGAAGAGAACGTGTTTCTATTTCTGCCATAAACTTAATATAAATATCTGTAAAAGCTTGCAACTAAAGAAGCGTATCAACAGTTCGAACTTTCCGCCTGTCATCGTTTATTGTTTTAAGACTATGCTGTTTATTGGATTGTCAACAAAAAGCCATGCAATTTTGAAGAGGTTGAGCTTCCTTCACATGATTGACGCAGCCAACATCTGAAAATTGTTCGGCTTGAGCGATTTCTTGTGCATATTTTTCCCAGCGCAGTCGTTAAACGAGTGAGTAATTTGACAAATGTGGCCAGCTTACGTTGATTGCGCCAGATGCCAGCGCAAAATGATTGAAACAGGTAACGCGTTGAGAAAAATAACTCTTACCACTTCAATCGATTTGCCAAAAACGACAAAAGCACACAGATTTACGGTCTGACAAAGAAATTGAAAGCTAAAGTGCAAGATCAACGGGGCTGAGCAGTGAATATCGTGCATTGCGCATACGCCGTGTCAGACGCTTAAGCCAAAAGGAGTCGAGCTGGTATTTAATTTGCAAACAGGAAGGAAGATGCCGTGATGCAAATCGCAGAAATGCCGGTTTAGTAGTAAAATATTAAAAATCACAAACATACTTTATGACAGGGTCCGGCTGTCGCACGAAGCGAAATAATTTGTACAATGGGATGAATTGTCATAATATTTATTACTTCTCTGAGCGTGCCCGAGGGATACAACTGATATTGGGTTTAGCTAAAGTGCATATATAATACACAGAAGGACATACAAGATTTTGGAAATAGCTGAGCATAACGTGATATATAGACTTTCCCAATCTATGGACTTCTTCGACTGTAATAATTTATATTGTGAAGAATGTTCGCTACACAGTATTTAAATAGCTAATAAAAGCTGAATTGTAGCTGAATATGTTGAGGCAACCTAAGAATATTTGTTACCTATATTTGGTACTTGACGGAACTAAAAAGAGTTAGGTTTATTCCCAAGTCAAAATACACGTTGTTCAAATTTATGCATTTAGTTAGCAAATTCTTACCTTCACTAAATTATTATGGAGAATTAATTGTAAAAACCATTATTCCTTCAACACGGAATTAATTTGAAGCATTGTTTGACACATTATTAATGATTATAAAATCTGTGGATTTGTTTTGCTCCCCCAAGATCCAAACTGTTTCCAAACTGTCATGTCCAGTTGGCTTGCAATGCTTCGTCCCACTTCCTTCTGCCAGCATTGCTCGCACTGCCACTGTCCAGTGGTGGTCGAGGCCATGGCGGGCAATGCCATTAATTTTTTGACTTGCTCGCTTTGTTAATTGAACGTGGGGCAATTGTAACTCTATGCAAGCACATCAAATGAAAATGAAGAAAAAAATTGTAAAAAGTTTTCAGAGTGTAACGCAAAATGCGATAACAGGCCACGCATTGCATTTGCGCTTGAGAAACGGCGTCAAGGCAACAACAAAGCAACAAATGAAACATGGATATATGGATGTCGGCGCCAGCATCGGGGCTGGCCACTTCCTTGACTTCCTGCTCGCTGCAAGTTGGTGGTGTTGGCTCGTTAAATGGGCGCGTATTGCGCAACATTCGTCCCCTTGCCGTCGTGCTTGAACTTCATATTCAACTTCCATGCTCGTTGCCGAGCGACAAAAATCAAAATCGAAATCGGAAATGGACCCGTTTTTGGATTGGCGGAAGCTGAAACCAGGCAGCCTCACCACCCCGCAGCTCGTGCTACGAATAGGCGCA